TCGTGGGCTCACGCTTATCAACCTTGACCTTTGTCGGCTCACGTGCCTCAATCTCTGCCTCATCCGTGGTGCGCTTGTCAACCTTCACTTTCGTGGGTTCACGCTTGTCGACTTTCACCTTGGTTGGCTCGCGGGTTTCCAATTCAAGTTCAGCCTCGGCTTCACGCTTGTCGACCTTGACCTTGGTGCGTTTGTCGACTTTGACTTTGGTACGCTTATCAACCTTGACCTTTGTGGGCTCGCGGGCGTCCAGCTCGACATCGCGGTCAACCTTTACCTTTGTTGGCTCACGAGCCGCGAGCGCGTCTCCATCGACTGTTGGAGTTTGGTTAGTGCTGATGTTTGAACTTGCAGATTGTCAACTCACGACCAGCAATTGGTGCTGCGGCCACATAGCCGACGAACGACACGATAGCCAGAACTTGTGAGAGCTTCATATTGATTTTTGAACTACGAGTAGGCTTGTGATTGGAACGATGGAGTGATGATTTAGAATGGGCTCTATCTGTTATTCCATCCATATATGTATCCAAAATTGTGGAGGTCTCACAGGCGGCTCGCCTGCCTCGATGTCGTGCTGAGTGCTCAAAGCCGAGGCGCGTTGGGACCGATTTCTAGATGCCCCCCCCCCCCCCCCAAATTGGGACACTGCACTTTCTTTCTCCGATAGCTCCGGACATTTGTCTTAGCTCCTTCATAGTATTCGGAATGCCTATTATAACCGCCGCCGATTGTCATGCACATGTCTGGTCTTCGAGCTTGAGACCGGGATGAACAACTGCAAGGAGTCCACCATTTTCGGACGGCTGATGTGGCAAGCGACCGCTCTCGGACTCCGGGATCTAAATAACGTTTCCTTCCAAAAGTGGACTTTGAAAGTTGCTATTGTTTGAGTTAACTTTATTTGGTTTGTATTGGCAAGCGTGGCGAGTTTCTATCTCACGCACTGTGTCTTTGAGAAGCTGGGTGGGTTTGTCAAGTGTCAAGGAATATCTCAAATCCTCTTTTATTATAGAAATTAGAGTAAATTCTAAATCTATTCTTGGATGTGCGTTGGAATTTGACCGGAAGTCGTGTACAGAAGCACTTTCGCGTAGACCTTACTTTTCTCCCAAGACATGTTCTGGCAAGATAGTCACAAAATGATTTGATATGATTGACAGCCAAATCGCACTTGTCATTCGAGGAATTTATAGAGATCTAAAAGATAGAGGATAGTGGTCTGAGAGTGGTATCAGAAACATAGGATTACCACAATTTCCTGGCAGTCCAAGCAGCACAACAAGCAGCCAAAATCCCCACCCTCAGAACCCATCTCATTGCGTCAGTTTCCCCAACACCAAATTGCCCACAGATCCAGAAAATCAAAGCTGTTACCACAGCTGAGAGCATCTGCGGCGTTGCAATAGCCACGTTGTGGATTGCCATCGTTACCCCAGCTCTTGGTCTAAGATCCACAGTCTTGGACGCGCCCGATTGATCGCTTGGGCATTCTTCGATGTCAGATAATATGGGGTCAGAACTCGAAGCGATCTCAGCGCTGATGAGAGCAAATGGGGCCCACTGAGTCAATGTCCAGGATATACCAAGAAGCGAGATGAACGAGACGCTCGCCATGAAACTGTTCCCAATCGTTGCTCCGAACAGCCCCAGAGCGGTAATAATGTGTGAGATCATCCATGCTCGGGGCAGTGTGAGGCCTCTCAAAATCCTCCTTTCCCCAACCCCAGGAGATCCAGAGATCGCATCGGCAACTCCCGTCGTCTTCTCCCACTCCAGCTCCAAAGGAGATGAAGGCTCAGTATTAGTGATAAGATATGGTAAGCAGAGATTCACGCCAAGTGCTACAATTGAGAACACCAGCATTGCCAGAACTGCATGTCGAATTGATTGCTCTTTCAAGGCATTGTAAAACCTAGTCGATGGTGGTCCCATTTTTTCAAGGAGAATTTGTGCTTCATCTGAATCGGTTAGCAGTGCGTATTAAACATTTTCGTTAATGGGATAACTGACAAAGTCTGCCCAGGTACCTTTACGGAAAACATAAAGTCAGCCTCATTTTTGCAACAGTAACAGTGAACTCACAATACATTATTGAAGAGAAACGGAAACCATGCAAGCCATGCGAAGAATTGTACAATACAGATCGTTTTGATTGTCGAGGGTAGTGTTCGAATGGATTTCCAGATCTCGCTCCAAATTTGAAGTACGCCTGATCTTTCATAATCAGCAGCATCATTTTCCACAGGCTTCTCCTCAATCATTGTGGATGTTATCATGACAGCAACTCCCAATGAAACGGAAGCTATAAGGGCAAGACCCTTGAATTGAGGATCATGGAACCATTCTGCGACCTTGGGTATTTCGATGAAACCGCAACCATAACCAATTGCACTTCCAACAATGACAGCGAAGCTTGCGAATGAATTCGCCTGGGCTGCCTGACTATTAGGACACGCATCAACTATCAGCGCTCTGATACTCGACTGGACTGGCTGGATAGCGATGTTCAATGCCCATACCAGTGTGATCGCGAAGACCTGGATGACGGACTTGTTGCCGAGGCCGTGAGCTGATGCTCCTAAAATGTAGCTAATTAATCGAATAATCTCGCTGGTCCAAGAGAGGAGATTGATGCAGATTATTGTTGCAAGAGTTCCATAGATCATAAACGGTCGTCTTCGACCCCACCGATGAGCGCAGAAATCGCTTTTATATCCGATGTATGGCTGCAGAAGCGTGCCACATATTGGTCCGGCCAGCCATGTTAGCGATATGACTGATGGCTGCAGACCAAGAGACATCAAAAAGCTCTGAAGGAATTCAGGATGAAGTTGTGACTGAACAGAGTGATGGCCAACTTACCGATCCTTCTGCCATAACAGTCGCCCAAACAACTTGCAATCTAGGTGAGTACTTAGCACATGCTCAGATCAACGAAGTTTCGTCTTACCCTCCAATGCTAATCGTAAGGCAGAGCAAGTACAATTTGCTGCGGCTTGGAGCTTCATCTTCTCGCCATCTCAGTACGCCGTCTGTCGATGACCTGACTGGTTCGTAGCGGTAAGACATTCTCTATGGTTGTTCTCGCAAATAGTTCAAATTCTATACTAGGAAGAGAAGGGATCGTTCCAAACGCCTCAGCAACAAAAATTGTGGAAGCCACTGGGGGAGGGTGGTTTTGCGTCTGATCACGTGAATTCAAGCAGTGTACGCCCCGATGTAAAATCCTGCGGATTTCATGTAAATTCGCGGTAATGGGCTCGAAAATGGTACTCTATGTCCCTGTCAAGATTCGCAGCTCTATTGCCGCACATTTGATGGTGTGAGAATCGGGCTAACCAGAGGTCCGAAAATTCTCGGTACACTGTCCCTTCGATGAAAAACGAAGAATATCAGGATTTAGAAGCGAACCTATCATGAGAAAGCTACAGTCAATCTCCATATGAACCATATCTGACAATCCGAGATGGTCTTTGGATTTTTGATCAACTTTTGCAACTTCGTTTGACTGAAATCTCACCCCGTGCGAAATGCGTACTGACTTCCTCCCCAAAGCTCATACAGATCACTGACAGTGTATAGAATCGCTTCATGATAACGAAATGAGCGAAAAGCTCTACGATCAAGTTCCTCTCGTTGATGAAGATGACGAAGATGGACCGATAATGGAGAATCCGATGCACCATCGTTCCCAGAAGAAAAGTCTTCGCATGATATGGCGAGAGTGTATCCAAGCACCCAAAACTCTCATCATCGCGGGCAGTCTCGTCACACTATGTATCTTTATTCTCACCATTGCGAGTTTCACAGTCCATACGCCAGGCTCATATGTCATTTTCCGGACGCTCTCGCAACAACATTCTCTCCAGCCAGATTTCGTCGATGCTGGAGAAGGACCTCTTGAGCTCGCAGGCACGACGAGATGCGGAAGCTTTCCAAGTCAGGCTGTGCAATACGGATGTGTGTTCGACTTGATGAACTATGGCTTCACGGCACCAGAGTGCTTCTATGAGGATCTTTACGAAGAAGCTCTCGCTACGGGACCATGGCCTTGGTATATCGGGGAAAACTTAACTTTGCCACTGCCACAGGATGTCAATATCCTCATGCGATCCGTGGAGGTCTGGACACAGATCAAGTATCACTACGAGCACTGCAAGTACACGCAGAAGATTGTGGCACGGGCTGTGGAAAATGACGATATATTGGTTCCTCAGGAGATTGCGAGGGACTATCACAGAGAGCATTGCACGGATCTGGTTGGGCGTTATGAGCGGGGGACCTGGGGAACAGGAGAGGTGATGAATACTTGGATCAGAATGCTGTATAATCCCTGCGTGCGATTGAGCGATATCAACAAGGAGAGTGTAAATTTTGCTTGAATGATACAATTAGGAACTTGAGCATGGACTTGTTTTCTTGTCTGGTGGATTTGACATTTTGAGATCACGCAGCAACAATAGAATGTCTGAATTCTCTGCATCAAACCTTCACGATGATTGTACTTGGGTGGCACTGTTGTGGGATCAAGATGAACGCTTTCTAATTACGGACTCTGAACATGATGCAACAACTGTTTAACTTTCATCTCTGACAGCTCTACTTGTGTAACTCTCGGAGCAGCCAATGATGAACATAAGGCTCAGTAATTCCATACTTCGAATAATCTTGAGCAAGCGTGCGCACGAAAATAAAGCCCTGTCTTTCATAAAGCCCCCTCCCAGCGGGACTGGACATCACAATCGTCTTCTGACCTATTGCGTCTACTTGCTTAAGCGCCTCCTTCAGCATCATTGACGCCACGCCATGGCCCTTGTGGGCTGGATGGGTGGACATGTAGTCCACAGCTACTCCAAGTCAGGAATGTTGACTTTCAATAAACATTTCAACTTTACCAAAGCAAGGTCCACTCTCCTTCAAAATCTCCTTTTCCACTTTATCAAGAGGACCCCCAAACTCGGCTAACATTGCATAGTTCATACCCCGGATCCGGCCATTATCCGTCACGCTCTCAAACCTCTGCTCATAGCCCAACTTCTCCTCAGGGCTCGGTTCGAATGTCTGCGCATCAATCCACATCCCAGCATGGCTCTCAGGCACAATGTATCGTGAGTATCCCACGATTTCTCCAGAAGATGTGTCGACGACTTTGAGGTGCCTTTTTACATTTCGACCGCTGATAAGAAGCCATGGCAATCGCTCGGCACAATCTTTGATGATGGCCTCAAGATCCATGTCTGCCGCCCACAGCTTCTGCCAGTGTATGTCTTGCCAGAAAGCGCTGAACATGGCTCGCGCTACACCAGGTGCATCACTGGTGGTCACAGACTGCACGACGTATGACATGTCGAATTTGAAAGTATTTAATTGCTCTTAGGTAATTTCTTGTTGGTATCTTGCCAAAACACTGTACTCATTTCGTTGGATTTGCCAGTTGTCCTTGTGCCAACTTGGTTTAGCATAGTGTACTGTAAGCCTCGAAATTACAGGGGAGATCTCGGTTAGGTAAAGGGGGGGCACGTGCGCGAGCTTTCGGACCGCTGTCCGAGAGCTTTTGAGAAATCGGACACCACTCCCAGGCACTTTTCAGGACCTCGTCTAATTTCTTCACCCAAGTAAATATTATCACACGAGAATTGTCTGAACTTATCATATTTTCATTTTCTGCTTTGGTTCAACGAAGAGGATGTCTCCCACAGCTCTTGGAACGACGGTTGGAAGGATAAAAAAAAGTGAGTGTTCCTCTTTCCTTCTCGGGATGTTCGAAACTAACGGGTTTTAATAGCACTATACTCTGACCTTCAAAAATACGTTGCTACCCCAAGTGCAGAAGATGAATCATTTCTTGCCACTGGGGGCATGGACCTTTCCGAAGATGGCTCCAAGTTCGAAGAAACCAAGTACTTTATACCCACATCCAGACGTCGTTGTAATTTCACGACCATCATTGCCGTTGTTTCAAGTGTCCTAGCTGCAATCCTACTTTTTACCGTCGCAGCACTCCTAGACCACAGCCACCCTTCAATAAACTACGTTCCAGCAATCACTGATAACGTCCAAGTCGGGGGATGGCCTCTTGTAGAAGCAGGAGGCAATGTCATCGTGGACTGTGGAGGTACTCCTGCCGAGGCCAAGGATAGAGGCTGTGTATGGGATCTCATGTCATTCTCCTGGACCCATCCAGCATGCTACAATAAAAATGAGTCGGAGACCTTTCTCGCTGAATACGGCCCATGGAAGTGGTATGAAAATGTAGATAACAAGCCTGGAGCAGAGGTTTTGGACGAGAGCGACTTGCCGTACATGTCGATGGTTTGGACGCAGGAACATTACCACATTGCACATTGCACATACATTCTCAAATTGTTACACCTTGCTGTAAGTCTCTCTGCACCCATCTCAAAATTCAGATCGATGCTAATGCACTTTTCTCTAGGCAATGAGCGGGCATCTGGTCACGGACGAAGGGATTGGCATGTTTCACACGGATCACTGCGTGAAAGTTTTCTTAGACCCCGAACGAGTTGTCTTTGAAAAAGTCACGACTAGAGTGCAGTTGCTATATGGAAAGTGTGTCACAATACGAGATGTTAATTAGATGGAGAATAGAAATGTAACGCAGTCCAGCTACCTAGGGCTGCTAATTAAAGACACATGTACATGACTTTGTGGCCACCGACAGTTTCTCGCCTTTGTAGCTGAATACTTCCCAAGTGACTGCGAAAAGATTAGAAATCGAGTGTTTGGGATGAGCAATTAAGACGATGCAATTATGACTGTACTTCTCACCTGCAAGGCAGGGGCTAATTCTGCTGTGATTGCAGTAGCACAACTCCATGCCCAGCAATTACTTCTGAGAAGGGGCGGCATTCTCCGTCAGCTTACGGGACATGTACAGAGTTGCCGAGAGCGGGGCGCATACCTACCTACCTAGTACTGTATCTCACCATGCAGATCTAGCCAAACAATTTACTTGTACCACAACTCCGGTTCTTGCACGCTGACATGCATCTTAACCGGAAAACCCACAGTAAGCATACCATACCTTGTTACTTTGTCCGAAAGTTCTCGGCAATGCAGGCATACATTTGGTAGCACTCTACTCTACTCAGCTCGAGTCGAGACTTGAGAGTAGCTGTGGTACCAGTATCCAGCTTTTGCCCACGATAGTCAATTGAGTTGATGAATATGGCATACCCAGGTTCGTTTTAATTCCCTACCATAGAGCACACAGTTCCCAATCCTTGAGACTCCAGCAGTAAAGTCCTCATTCTTTGTCCTCAAGACTAACTAATACTTTGGGTCCAGGAAAGCCAAAGTACACACTCCTCAGCAGCATGTACGGAAAGGACGACAAAGAAGAAGATGTTCCATTTCTATCACCAGGCGCAACTCGACTGCAACGAAGATTCAGAGCGCCTCGAGCCGAAGTGATACTCCAAACCGGCACCTTCCTTCTCACTGCCATCATTTTGGCTCTCTATCTCACCAATATTTCATCATCCTCGCTATTCCACGACCACCCCGTCGGCGGCGATGGCACCCTGCCTGTAGGCATGTCGCGCGTCAATCCAACAACCGCCCACCAGCTACAACCATGTGGTCTCGACGCCGCCACCGCCAAGAAGAACGGCTGCATCTTCGATCTGCTGACCATGTCTTGGCTAGCGCCTGAATGCTATGATGAGGAACTTTCCGAAGAATTCCTCGAGGTAGCTTCCGAGCCATTTTTCTATGACATGGAAGGCACGAAACCCATCAAAGATTACAATGAGCTGTCAGAGGTGACGCAGATGGTTTATACGACAAGGAGATATCATATCTTCCACTGCAGCTATGGATGGAGGATGATGCATCGTGCTTTGGTGAGGGGAGGGGTTCTGGAGAGCGGCTTGAGTGGATATCATCATACGGAGCATTGCACGGATCAATTGATGAATCAGACGATTCCGTACGATAAAGTCATCACAAAAATCAACATTGACTTCCCGGATTGTTGAAGCTGGGCTGGTCGTACTATATAGGAACAGAATTCGAAATAAACAAACGAGCATGCATGTACTGAACACGTGGTCCTACTAGGTTGCAAGCACCTTAGAAATAATCTACCTTCCTATTCCTATATATCTAAGATGCTTGTAGAATATATTATGAGCATATATGCTTACCTACCTAGGTAGTTATTCTAAGGACTAAAAGATAAGGTTAATATAATCATGTGACTAGCAAACCTTTATTGTGATTCCGTGGAGTTTTAAACTTATACGGATAGACCCACTTCTTCCATATTATGTAACTTTTGCACCACCTAATTAATATTAATATTCAAAATGGCATATTGTCTATTAGCTTCTTATTTAATTTGTTAGTTAACTCAAACAGAATTATAATTATAGTGTAGTAGTTATATATTAATACGCAAAAGTGGGGCTTATTTGTGGTCTTTGGACGTCCTCCACTATACTTACTATAGCGGCTATCCGGAAGCATACTCCGTATGCAGTCTAAAATTAGTAATGGAGCCATCACTCGCGTGCTAAAGGCTACTAGCATATAGGATTGGCGTTGCAATACGCGTCTACTTCGTAAATTTGACAGCGGATGTGGCCGGTGCTTTGCTTTGCACGGAAGGACCAAGTGCAGAATGCGGGGCAAGCGGCGCGGGGCATAAGAATGGGCTGTGAAGCATAATAAGCAGCCGAGGCCTCCACTAGCTGGGCTGGCTCCTGCCATACTAGGTTCAATGCAGCGACACCTTCAGCTCTATAGGGTCGAGTCGCACGTTCTGCACTTATATAATAAAGTGGAATTTTCTAGCTTGATAAAGGTTAGCTATATTTGTACGATTTATTTTAAAGATAAGTAAAGATAACTTTATATAAAAGTAATTTTCTAAACAAATGATATCATAGTAGACTAGTAATAAAAGTTATAAGAGATTAGTATTAATACTTATCTTATTATAGGTTCGACTATACTTCCTATAAAAATTATACACAGGCTAGTGTCATAGAGTAAGCGGAATCGTTCATGCATATCTTGACGACATGCGGCGAGCGGCCCTACAGATCACGTAGCACTTGTGAACTTCATCAATACAGGGTGACACTACAAAATCCGGAAAGTGGTTCAAAGAACAACAAGGTTAAAAGATTAGGAACCTGTAACGTCCCGCTGTCAGCATTGCACCATCGATTGAGCACCCTAGCTTTCGACAGAATGAATAAATCAGAATGCATAGGCGGGGTTGATTCGACGAAGACATAATTCTAGGGCATACTGAAAAGAAATAGAGGGACACACTGCATGCACGAGTCGTATAGCCTCCCCCATAAGGATAATGCTAACTACCCCGCCACTTATTAAGCAGCCCCGATTAATAAACAAATCTATAACCGGCCCGGAAAGGTTCTCGGACACCCTATGATCTAGGGTGTCGTGCTACAGTATAAATACGAGGGCGCAACTATACCCTCATGCGTCCTCTTACAGTGGGCATACTTAGTGTAGATAGTGCTTCGTATACATGCACATGATACATGCACATGATTCATAACATCTAGGCAGAGGATAAGCATGATCGCCAGCGCCAGCGGACAACTTCTCTCTCCGTCCGAGAAGAAGTATACGGAATAAGTCACGTGTATGCACCAAAATTCAGCCTGTGCATGCCAATTCATTCCGCATGCTAGGTGAAATAGAACGATATGATTGGACTAGAAAATGTATAGTGGAGTAGGGGAACAAATCTAATTGGCTCAAAACAGTTATAGTGGTAGGAGTGTTTCTACACGTGTTCTTAGTCATCTCTCACTTACAGGCTGTTGTAGGCTCAGTTGTACTTCTCCATAGTATACTTTCTCTCTCTTTAGACGCAGTCGTACTTCCTCCCCTAGAATGCGCCGGCATCTTCCCTCACGGCCTTCTTTTACATATACATAATTACCCGCTAGTCTTGTAGCAGGCAATACATAGTCAACGTCCGGGAGCTTGCGCAGGGCGGCGGGGGTCATGATTAGGGACTCATCGTGCCACGAATGTGATATTATTAATCAGTAAAGTTCTATCTTGAAAACACTAGGTGGAAGCTTTCATAAAGTTTGAGAGCTATCGGAGCATTATTAAGATAAAAATGAGCATCGAAAAATCAAACACTAAATTTGTAATGCAACCTGAGAACTGTAGATTTGGGAGCAGCACTCTTAAATAATCAGCTCTATTTTCCCTTGCACTTTAATCCTTTCTTCTATGCTGCATGACGAAATTCAGCTCGATGTTAAGATATTATCACACCTATAGTGGGGTATTAAAGTTCAAACATCCCCCCTAGCTAGAGCCCGCTCGATATATGTTCAGGGCATTTTAAAGCCCACTTTGAATCATGATACCCCGAAAGTACGGCTTTGACAGCACGCCAGCGGGAGCTAGCAGGGGATGGGGTGTTTGAAATTTCGACACCCCACTATAGGTAGGTATACGAGCTGTGCCGCAGAGCTGCCGGCGGCGCAGTCTACGGTAGTGAAAGCTTAGCAGTAGCGGACTATACCTCCGTGCGGTGTACCGAGCAATTGATACTCCGTACTCCATACGCCGTATGTAAGTTTAAGGGTTTTCCTCTAAGTCGGCGGTATGGCGTGGCCTTAGCTCTTACTATCCTGGATTCTGCTGTTTGCTTATTAAGTTGATGAATCACTATAGATGCTGCTTACTATGCTTACTATGCTTATGGCTATGCTAGTTTCGTGGGCACGTATTAGTGTATTTTCATAATAACATAACACTTGAAGGATTATTCTTGTTATTGTTTCTTTAGAGCCTACATCTGTCGCATCCTAAATGTTAATAAATAGAAGAAAATATGAGACCCGGTTGCGGCGCTATACTAGCGGCTATAGTGCACTCTGCTTTCTCTCGAAAGTGGGTCACTTCGTATGACTAGCCCATTACGGCCACTTTAAGATGTTGACGACTACAGACGCTTTAATTTAGCCTGAAATTTATATGTATAGTCTAAAAGTACGTGTGACTTGATTGTACCGGAAGTCGGAATCTGCAATACTTAGTTTGCCACCACCAATTGCGTATACCGCATAGGCCGCATAGATAGAGGCGTTATCTTGCATGGAAACTAGGCCTGGCTCCCGCATCCTGGGCAGCTAGTCGTCTAGTACATCTACATAGATCTTCGCAGTGTACCCATGTTTCTTAGATTCCTAACCCCTCTCTAGAATGTAGCGGTCTAACCTGTGGACCATCTTATTTGTTCGCTAAATAGAAGTATGGGCTATCACCGATATGTCCTTGCACTTTCTATATGTTGTGACCATCTTGAACTTCAACGGCCCGATAGACTTAAGGTCGCAATGGGAATTGCCTTTCGTGGCTTCCTCGACCTCAAGATCTTTCCTCGTTCTGCCCATCATGCCCGACGACTGCAAGACTGGAAACAATGCTTGTGATCAGTGTTTCCGCACAAGACAAAGTTGTTCAAAACACCCAACACAATGCCAAAGGTGTGCCGAACTAGGGAGCTCATGCACTTACAGCTTTGGGAAGTTTATGGGACGGCCAAAGAAAAGTATCAAGAGCCACAGGCAGGCCCCCAATGACGATAATAATCCTCCTCGAAAGCAGCAAATACCACCTATTCAAATAGACACCTCAAACAGCACATTAAAAGGCTTGCTATGCACATACCTTTAGCATATATTCCTATTCTGACAGCCGCATTCAGGAGCCAGCGAACTCCAGTATCCAACCCCGCGATCAGTACCACCAACAAAATCTGACGGTATAATTCTACATATCCAATCACAGAAATTTAGCACTCACATGAACAGACACACAGTTCTCAGGTTGGTGGGAGTTCTGTGGCGACGAAAATAAGAGCAATGAACGAACAGGCCCAGATGAGCCCGATACTCAGTACGCCAGGGTTGACGAAACCCGGACCAACCCCAAACAGACCTCGAAAACAACTGCATGCGATCAATGTTACCGTTTCAAAGTCAAATGTACGAGAGAGCCAGACTGCTGTCAGAGATGTAGCACGAACGGTAATGCATGCACTTATAGTTCTGCTGTCGAAACGGAACGATCTCGAAAACGGCAAGCTCCAGGATCTCCGAGAGAGTCTTCTGCGAAGAAAACGGCTCTCGCTTCTCCGTCCAAGTCTTCTCAGATGGAAGAAGGAAAGTTGAGTTCCTAGTACATCACTTCTTGCTAACAAGTATCAGATTCCATGAGAAGTTCAAACACGTCAAGATCGAACCATAGCGACAGGGAAACATTATGTATGTGATTTGCTCTCGTTCCACTGTATCAAACTAACCTAGATCAGGTCTACGTGATACAGGTGCGGGTGACACTGTGAGCGTTCAGACCTCAGCGCTACAGGAAATGAATCATAAATCAAAACATAGGCTACAAACATCTGCCTTTGAAAGCGAGTATCAAGCATCGCTAGCTCTACAGGAGCAACCCAATACCACGGGTGACAGTCTTCCCTTCTACGATTCATTCCATTACTACGGCGACAAACTTTTGCCAGACCTCTCTTCTCAAACTTCAGATTTCCTGTTTGAGAGTGACAGCGAGGCACTTGATGCCAGTTTTGCGTTCGATAGCCACGAAACTGCAGTTCAGCAACAGGGCCCTGAGCTGTCGTCCAAATCTATACCCCTTGAACCTGCTTTCAAACATTCTGCCCCCACTACCTGTGGGTGCCTTCAATCAACAACTCTGACCCTTTCGACTCTACAAAAAATAGTCCTGAGCAACTCTACATCATCATATGACAATATCCTTGCGGCAGCACGCAGTGGTTTGTCTGAATGCAAGCGCCTAGCAGCAGCTAAATGCAATTCCTGCCAACCAAGCTCTACTTCATCTTTAATCGTGCTGTGCGTAGCAATCTTACAGCATGTATACAGATTGTACGAATTGCTTGATCATCCATCGAGAGTTGCGGCAGACACGAGCGACAAGACGGAGAACAGAATCGCATTGAGCATCAAGTTTGGAGACATGGAATTCGCTGATATCGGACACGATCCAAGCATTATGCGGGTTATTCTCAAAATGGAAAAGATGCGTGCCCAGGCTGTGTGCGTGGAGCTGGAGAAGATGGTTGCTGTGGATTCAAGTGGAGAGGGAGACGTTCATAGCGCCGGCAAGGATGACAAAATGATCCGGGACGGCTTGATCACCCTTCTTGGTATATACCGCGAAAGGTTCGCCGCTGAAGATAAGAGGTAGCTGTGTCTTTGGGGCACAAAATGACGCACGGTTTTCCCACTCAAGACGTTCAAAGTGATAAAATGCGTTTAAGTGTTGCCTTTCAACCCAATGATTTAGCGCCAAGCACCAAGCAGTAAGGGTAAAGGGGCTTGCTTGCACGCTTACTATAACCTATGCATTAGCGAGAAATAAGCATCAGTCTGCCAAGAAATAGGGCTTACTCCGTACGTAGGTCAGCATCCTTCATGCGGCTGTATTGCGAATTTCCATGGATTAGTACGAGACCACGAATGATATGCCGCCGGCTTAATGTGACTGGAAGAACCACGTAGGCATCGTATATGCGCTGCTACCTTCCAGATTCAATACTCGCGACATCGGACGTCTCCACTAAGAATCGGACCTGAATCTCGGACCCAATCAATTACAGCTTTCTGAGTACGCATACGAAAGCTACCGGTGGTCTAGATTCCTCGGACCTCAAGGTCGGTGTGGTTATACACTCGGCTTGGCTGCAATATGTAATGCAATATACTTACGGACGACCGAGTATTGGATCCTCGACATCTGTGTCACGAGTCCGAACATTCACGCGGAATCAGAAGATTGTTCATGCTTGACCTAAGACCTTTATACAGAACCCCAAGCTTCAGCGGTATCTGCAGAGAATTATCGATGCCCTGAAACTCAAACCTCTAGTATCATCATACTCGAGATGGCGATACCAGAAGCAGACATCGCTACAACTAGTCATGAACACTCAATTGAAGGCAAATTCAGCGACGAACCGAAATGGCCATCAGAAGTCCAACCTGCTTACGAGCCAGTCAGTGAAGATGGAATGAGTGATGAAACTCTACGAGACATGGACTTTCAGCCTGAGACCTCGCCAATGTCCAGATTTCGAAATGCCTTGACAACCTTCGCAATCTTTCTTCTGCCCAGTCCAATTTCAAGATTCTGCGGATACAGCATCAAAGAGTCAAAGAAGCATGGAGTAACGTCCTATTTGGATGGAATGCGAGGCTTGGCATCATTCTGTGTTTTTCTCGAACACACGGCCATGAAGTATCATCCTCATATGTTTGAGGAATACGGCGGTCATCCTCATTTCTGGCAACTACCAATTATTCGCCTCGTCGTTTCCGGATCGGTCATGGTCGACATTTTCTTCGTCATTTCTGGCTTCTCGTTATCGCTTCGGCCAATGGAGTTGATCTATGAGCAGGACTGGGAGAGGCTGTTCATAGCAGTATCTTCTGCCATGTTCCGCAGGACTTTCCGCATAGTCCTTCCTCCTGCGGTCGCTACCTTTATTATTATGCTGGGCGTCAGGATGCAACTATTCGATTCCAAGGTTTCCGGTGCTGTAGATATGTATCTCGATGGTCCCATCTATCGTGGGTCTTTCATGCTCCAGGTTGTCGATTGGTTGGAATATGTCTTAAGCAAGCTGATTTACCCCTATGAGTGGGCAGCCCCTCTTTACAACATCACGGAATCAGAATATGCGGCGCCAATGTATACCATATCGAAAGAATTGTGGTCCTCTTTTCTCCTCTTCATCACGATCACCGGCGTAAGCAGGCTGCGAGCAGCTGTTCGCCTTTGCTTTGCCGTAGTACTGATCTACTACAGCTTTTGGTGTATGCGCAGCGACAGTGCTTGCTTCCTTTGTGGTATGCTCATGGCTGAGCAGCATGTTAGGCGCACTCGATCTAAAGGTGTTTCTAAGTCAGCCGGTGGGAAAATCGTGTCAACCTTCGGTTGGTCAGCTGTTTTGCTGGCTGGTTTCTGGCTTGCTTCGATACCTCATACTCATGGGTCATATGGATCTCATACATATGGATTTCAGATGATCTCGGCCATCATCCCATTTGGCTCCAACGTCCGCGTAACTGGATCACTCCTCATTGTCTGGGCAATTGCCAATCTACCTTTCCTTCAACGATTATTCACGTCTGCGATCCCACATTATCTTGGCCAAATCTCATTCGCATTGTTTCTGGTGCATTGGCCGGTTCTGGCTGTATGGGGATGGCCACTTCAGCCAGTCATATGGAAGCTTACAGGAGACGACACAGATTTCAACCACGCCGTTGGATTTTCAATATCGTTGGTCTGTATCACGCTTGTTACGTGGTGTGTAGCTGATCTTTTTTGGAGAGCTGTCGATATTAGGTCTATCAGGTTCGCCAAGCGTTTAGAGACAGAGCTCATTGTTCCAATGTAAATAGAGACTTTCACGGAATATGTAAAGTGTGGCTCGCAATATAAAGCGAAATAACTAAGTATCTGCGTGGGGAGTTCATTTCTCTAGTTCGGATACACAACGGTCTTATAAGTGGTTTCATAGCTGCCATAGCAATAGCATAGAGAAACTTCGCACACTTCAGATCGACTACTACATAATCGTATGGAATCTCTTTCAGTTGAGCTGGATATACTTCTCCTCATGAGCTGCTCTAAACTGTACCATGGATCTATCGAGACTGTGACACGTGGGAAGCATAGTGCATTTATGAATAGATCACTAGCATTAGTAACAGTCAAGGACCTTCCCATTACGGCCGGCTATAAATCAAATCTCATTGTCAAACATAACAGCAGTATTGGGAAGTTCTAGAAGTTCAGCGTGGTGGCGAGAGTCTGATTAAGGTTTTGTAGCGCCCGATTTTAATCGAGCTCCTCGCCGAAGTTTGATCTCATTCCGGATGTTACTCTCGGGTTGAACATCCGAACAACCTTGACTAATCTACATGGATGCATTAGCTGGAAACTCGGCCTGCACGGATTCCAGCAGTCGATCGGCCCGATTTTTCTAGTTTACCTCCTCTATATGCGAAGCGGGCAGCGTGATCGCCCCTGGGTTTTGCGCCGAAGGTGTATGTGCAATCCACGGGAACGAAATCGGTCAGAAACCCCTAAACTTAAACTCAGTTTCGGTTTGCACATCGTGATACTAGCACTTTCTCGTCTATCTTTATGCCTTGCACACAGCTTTCAAGATGCTCTGCAGACGCTGTGATCTCCTGTCGAGCACATTTACAACATGTCTGATTTAGTGTCGAAACTGAGGACATGTATGTAAAACCTCACATTGGTACAATGTTGCGGCTCCCACTGACGTCTTGCCGCAGGGGCCTTCTCATCCATCGAAAATGATGAGAGCAATGACAAACTCCTTGCCGTTCCATCATCACCCTCGAGCTCCGTGTCATCTTCAGACGAAGAACAAGGTTCTCCGCGACCTCGACCGCAGACAAAACCTCACGCTTATGACAGAATCCAAGTCTGCGCCAAGATCAGCTTTGGCTTGGTTTTTCTAATCATTATTCTGACTGCAGCCTTCATCGTCAATATTCTGAGCGAAGATAGCAGCAGTGGTATCGTTCCCAATGCTCCGTTGCCACCATCACAAGGCGGTAGCAAAGTCGTCGAACACTGTGGTCTCTCGGCACAAGAAGCCATAGATCGGGGATGTTTATGGGACATCATGTCTTTTGGGTGGATTCATCCCGCCTGCTATGACAGAGAAGAGTCTGATAGGTGGGCAGAGAAATATGGACCTTTTGAATGGTATGTTGATGAAGGTCAACCGGTGGATGAGAAGGAGGAACCCCTTAACGGCACTCTTACACAGCCATTGAGTCTTGACGAGATTCCGTTCACCCAGTCAGTTTGGACGACACAAGGGTATCATGTCATGCATTGTTTGTACCTGTTGAAAATGGTCCATGTAGCGGCGTTGCATGATGCGCCTGTTAGCAATGAGGCGGTAAACTTGGGACATACGGATCACTGTGTTGGCTTGATTGGAAATACAGATCTGATTGAGTATGATGTTATCACGACACCAGTTAGACTACTCTTCGTGCAGTGTGTCACTTTGACATAACGCATACTGGAACAATTTTGTATATAGGCGGCGAGAATTAAGTTTGGGATAGCTTCAACGTATTCAAATGCCTAATACTGGGAAAATTATCGCACGTGAAACTTGTCGAAACCTGTCGATCATTGTATATAGGTCCTTAAAAAAGTCAATTTGTTCCAGAAAGATACTGTGGAGGGACAACACAACGCGGACTCTAGGCTAGGATCTGACTTATAGTTTCATCATTGTATAAATATATATATTAGATAGACTGTATAAAAGAGTGTGTTGTAAAATAGATGATGGTCTAAGTCCATAGAAGTGTCCGATTTTATAAGGTACGGTGCAGTGCTAGCTGCATACCCCACTTCACGTGACAGCGAACTTTACACGTCTCACATCATATTCATGTGGTAAGCAGTACGACGTGTAAGTCGAGCTCCCGATTCTTCTCGGCAGCCATAGAAATGCAGCTAGACTACCTCTTTAAATCCCCACGATCGACGGTAGCCCCGTTCTTGGAAACTTTATATTTGCATTCCGCCAAGTGGATCTCTCCACGTTTTTTCTTTCTTGACCCATTGACCACTTCCAAGTTGTTACATAATGACATCCCTCCAGTCATATACAAGCCTCCCTCAAAGCGAAGGCTTCGATAGCAGAAACAAGGAAGAGCCAGATTCAGCGCGCTGGCGCCCACATGTTTGGTCTCGCAGAATTATAACCTTTTTGTCAACGACATCCATATTCTTCGCCATATTATCGGGCTGGCTTGGCTTGCAGCTGTACCGGGTCCGCAACGGAGAATCACTTGCTAGCGGATACAAGAATGAACTGCGTGAGAATTCGATACATGTTCCTTCCTCCTTCTTTCCTTCCTGCAACTTGCAGGAGTTATGCTGCTAACCAGAGTTATTCTCGCAGGGGCCGCAACGCATCTCATAGAAGTCGAGGAGCAATGGTTCGAAGGCGCCCCGCGTTTCTCGAGTGATGGAACAGAGTATATGCCTGGCGAAGGTCATGAGGACTCTGGTTACACGGGCGAGCCCAGTAAAGCGATTGACGACAATTGGGAATTGTTACACTGGGGTGAGATATTTCTTTGCACCAAGTGTACTATTGAATAAGCGTTGACGTAGACCTAGGACGCTTTTTTCTCCTTTCGGAAGACGAAGCTCGTGAGGCATGGGGACCAGGATATACTGAATATTGGGCTCCCAGGGAAGGTGGATACCTTGCGGCGTAAGTAGACGCTGTCTGCCCAATTGGGATCGTAATCTACAAAGAGTAAGAAACTAATGCCGATGTTGGTTTTTTTTTAGTCTCGATGTCATGCATCAGCTGCACTGCATAGTAAGTCCCTCAAATCTCCACACTATTTTAGAATGTGAGCTAAAAACTTGCAATTTTAGGATCATCTCAGAAAGGCATACTTCCCAGACATTTACCCTTCGGACAGTCCAGTCCATGGCAGCATACATCGCGACCACTGCTTGGACCATCTTCGGCAGATGGTCATGTGTAACAGCGACTTGACTCCAGTTCCATCACGTTACTATACCTCTCTCGATGATAATTACATTGATTCGGATCGACCCCATACTTGCCGGAACTTTGGCAGGATTCGGGATTGGGTTTCTGCACGATATAACGGAACTTTGGCAGTTCCAAGGGCAGACGGGTTGGGCAGGCAAAACGACGAGTGGGGTGGAAGTCCAGGTAGAAGATAAAGAATGCTGTAGATCGTTCAGCGAACGAGTCTTTATCAAGATGGAGAATGGGAAAGTCTTTGTGCTGCAGCCTGCTGGTTGGAAACACTTTAAAAGGGATATATGATTCAAACTTGGAAGCGGCATATAAAAGAGCAGATCACTGCCGCTGATCCGTTAAAGAAGAAGGCAAATATGAGCTGGGAAGCAGAGTGAAGAAAGGGTCAGAACAGTGTCAGAAGATGGATTCATTATACAGGGTTGTGATCTTACATCTTCACTCGTACACAGACCAATAAGAATGCATTCGTTGCACAAAAAAGGATATTCGCTTCATTTCAATCATTTCAACGCTAAAGTTAAAAAAACTCCTGCCCCTGAACAAGTCGATCAGGAGAACGATATGGTATCTGCGGTGCATCCTTCCTCGGCTCCAAATTCGTCACATACCTATCCCTATCATCCACATCCCGCCCTCCAGTAATATTCGTTACAATCCCTAGCTCATTCTCTTGCGTCATGACTTTGGGCCTTTGAGGTCTGCCTGGCGAATAAGCTGCTTTCTCGTTATTCGCACCACCTTGGGTGCTTTGATCACTCCACACTCCTGAGTTCCTCTTCTGCTTCTGCTTCCCACTCCGACGACAGAACCAGAAGATCAAGCCCGCGAGCACGAGGAGACCACCGGCCGAGGCTCCAACTGCTATTCCTACTATTGCTCCGGTGCTGAGGGATTTGGAATTTGGGGAGTGAGAAGGAGAGGCTTTTGCATCGTCACTGGCTGTCGGGATGCCGGTCGAAGTGGGGGAAGAGACGGTACTGGATGCGGTGCTGGAGGCTGTTGGCTTTGGAGGTGGAGAGGTATCGTTTCGATCAAGAAGACTACGCCCGTTCATTAGCTTGGCTGTGTGGTTGAGGCACATGAATGGCAACTGCTGCTAGCTGAACTCACTTGTCAAGGACATGGACCACGCCATTTGCAACGATAATATCCGACGCGATGACCTTTGCACTATTGACATACACGTCACCATCCTGGACCGTAATAGTGACATTTTCCCCCTGTGCCGTCTTCAAAGACGTCCCGTTTGTAAGATCCGTGCTATAATCTACGACGCCTGGAACGATGTGGTATTCAAACACAGCTTTCTTTTCGTCGCTTGATACTTTTGCAGCTAGTGCTGTGGCGTTTGCGAGCGCTGCTGCTGAGTTCGGGATGAAGTATGTGATATTTGGCAGCGCGAGCACCGTATCAACGTATCCTACGTTATCCGTGTTCAAGTACCCCTCGTCATTCAGGATCGAGATGAAGTACTCTAAGCCGGACGCGGTGAACTGCGATACGGCTGGGACAGGCACGGAAAGCACTTCATTCATGATGTGAACTACGCCGCCCGTGCAAACGATATCCTGAATATGGTATATCTGTTAGTTTAGTACAGGTAGCTTGAGCAATTGCACATACCGTTGTGGCTGGTGTGCTGATGCTCTTATTCCCAGTCACGGCTTGGGGTGTTCCATTGCTGTCCAGCACAAGCTCAACCGCTTGGCCAGCGGTAACATTGGTATAGCTCCCATTGACCAAGTTACTCGTAACGAATTGAGGGGTATCCTTAAAAGAGAGTTCAGGATATCCTCCACGGAGCAGAGAATACTGTATTGTCGCTTGCAGCAGCCCCTCTGTCAGTATATCCGGATTATTGTTCAGGAAGCTATCAATTGCTTTGTTATTAGGCGCAAGGAAAGTAAAATTGTTCGCATTTGACAGGAGACTCGTAATGTTCGTCGAATTATTTATATACGTGTTCAAGATGCTGAGGTCCGGGTAGTTCTGAATAACTTGCAGGAGAGTGACAGCTGAGGCATAATTAAGGAGTGTCGCGAGCCAGCAGCAAAGATCCAGTCTCCGTAGATTCATTTTCATTTTCTCGATATGACTCCGTATATCATATCTTCAAGACCAACATCCAGAGAGAGAGAAGAGGTGAGGAAATCGGAGACGGGCATGGATAGATAGATGGATAGAAAGAGGGGTTATTGAATGCCAGTGAAGGATGTGGGGGCCCGGTGCGGTGGCGCACGAAACCCCAGCAATGTATGGGGATGACCGGTCCGCGATACCTAAAAGGAAGGCGATCTGGGGTGCGCGGCGAAATAAGGTTGCATGAATTCCCTTCCCTTCCTGCCTTAACCCTGTCACCTTCCCCTTGTAGCACATGATGCCGAGGTTGTCATTAAAAGCAATGAGTGGGATTCGTTGAAAAGGATTGGTATTACTGCAAGATAAATTGTCAATTATTGCTATACGTATGCTGAGAATTTTTGCTCTTTTGAATGTCCTGGTGTTGTTGCGTGTATTAATGTGCTATACTCGTAAGGCTGTACGAGTACGTATCGTATAGTCTCATAGAGCGTATACAACTTCCTAATTGCAAGCCGGCCCAGTATTCCGGCTCGCATAACCTCCAATCTTTTCTTCTTATCCTTCTTCATTCATGGTAGTGTTATCGAATTTGGATGTTCTTATAGTATACGCGTTCTCTATGCGGATGGCCTGAATCCGGATATGGGAAACATTCCTATTCGGTAGACTTAGAGTTTCTTAGAAGTTTGAGATTCAAAACAAGAAGTTGATTTACCCGCGCTAGGTTCCAGGATATGCAAGTTTTGTTATAATACGATGTAATAAGTTTTTTCGTCTAATCTGGAGCTTGCTTGGTGTCGTGACTTCAAGAAAGATACCATTAAAAGCATACCTAAGGCTTGAGGCAATGTTTTCCGTGCTAGCTATTTTCTGCATTGCTTATTATATAAGCACGCCAATTACAGATCCCTGTGTTAAGTGGGCTATAAGCATGAAATGTTCATTATTTATAGCAGTAAGTAAATCTAATTAAAAGTATAGTTTTCATTATCCTCTTATTCCATTTCCGACGCCAGAGTCTGGCGCTATTCTACTCCCTTTTAGAGGGTAGATAAATTATTTTAAGTTCTTAATTCTGATATAATCTAGTAGATTAAGCTTTGTTGCCTAAGCCCTTTCATATTTAGAGTTCTTTAATACCAGTATTAGTTTTAAGCTTCACAAGCCTCGCGAAGCCAGAGCGAAGCATGTCTTGGAAGAAAAGCAGGCTATCAACCTTGGATTCTCATTTCCACAAACAATTTAGTTCGGAACGTTTATATCTTTGAACCTCTCTCTCCCAAACCATCATTGGAACTGTAATAAGAAACAAAACAGGCAGGGTTCCAGGCTATGTTGTACAAATCGACTCCCTACAAACTACGTCTCCACAATCGATCCATGCCAGACCATGCCTAGCCGCTGGAAGAACGCGAATAGAGAATCCTTCGTCACGTATCCTCTGTATGTTGATTGCCACCAAGCCGCAAAACTTCCTGTAATATGGATCAATATACGTTCGCAACTTGACAAGGAAGTACATAACATACCTTCAACAGGACCAAGTTCGGCAAATCCCAAAGCCTCGAGGACCCATGGCATCAGGATGGCCAGAACCCCAACTGCGATCACTGCACAAAAGTATGGATGGTCCAGCGCAAACCCAGTAGTCTCGGCGATCGCTTTGTTGGCTGCTTCGGCCATGGTCTTGCCCATCTGAGCACTATCCCTCAAGGCATTCTCAATCCCACCTAGAATCCTTTTCGCAATGTTTTCGGTCCATCCACGTGCTCCTATAATGTCCCGGACGCTCTTCCTGAGGTGTTCGCCCCCTTCGTTTGCATTGAATAGAGCTCTCAGGACATCTGCGGCCACGGCATTTTCGTCGGAGGTACTATCGATCATGTGGTAATCGGCACCGAAGAGACACTCGTAGATTGATTGAGTTATGGAAGCCATATTCTATTAAATACTTTGAGCGGATGTGGAGTTGTTCATGGTAGGGCTTGTGGGTCGAAGCGAAAGATCTGTGGATGAGGTTCTTAGCTCCTCTGGGAACATGCATGCTTCTATAGGTAAAGACGAGACGTTCTGAAAAAACTTCTACTGTTCTCAGAAATTCACCGATACAGAGAGCTTTCTGGCGCATTACTATATGTTGTGTCCCTACGGTTGCAAATGCTCCTAGTTATCAACCAATAACTAGACGACACAAAGCCTTGCATGATTTCACAAGAAGCATCGGCTTCACCACGGTTGCGATCGATTGGCGTAGATTGATGACTATTGATTAGGCCCGAGACACCTCGCTAATTATCGCTACGTTATAATATCTCGGGGTCCCAGCCAGAAAAAAGAGGGCGACACGAGCAAAATTTGGAGGGACAGTTGCACAAATGTGCTCGTTCATGGCAACAACCCTACTCTCGCGAGGCTGTTAGCTTTGAAGCACCTACTCGATTTGAGTATCCGAAAAAGAACAAAAAAAAACCATCGATCAAACACTGTTGCTTAAGAGATCGACATACGAACGGCTATGTGTTAATACAATATAAAGACAAATACCATGCACCACTTCATCCATGTATATACAGCTAACAAAACGCCCCAGGGATTCAGGGAAGGAGATCATTCAACTAGGAAAATAAAACCATCAAAATGCAACCTATTTATATCCACAGAACTCCTTGCTCGACTACTATGCCTGTCCAAGCGCTTAGTATAAACCATATCACCAGTACGACCATGCCTCATTCCAATGTATTCCTCCATACATGTTATGAACAGTCTATGTCTTCCCAACACGACGTGCACCCGGACGGTTCATAGTATCTGGATCAACTTTGTGAGGAGCTTCAACGCTTAAAGCCGACGTACTTGACCCAGCGGTGGATGATATGCTCTTGCCATTATTTCCGAGTGCCGGAGGAGGGGTATCATTGCCAACATCTCCAATTCCAAGAGCCGATTGCATGATGGACTCGACTTGTGCCGTCATGAAGTCGTGCATCATGGACTTGGAACTTGATGGTAGTTCGGAAGAAGAATCGCTCGAGGAAGCGGAAGCGGTGCGATCAGAAGTATGTGGAAGAATGATGCCGACGACATGCTCGTCTGTCCAACTGAGTTAGTGGGGAGACTTGGCTCTGTATGAGAGGCAGGGAAACACTGACCATCAACTGCTCTGACCGGCTGCCGGTACGCTCGCCAAATGAAGACAATGCTCACAATAACCATGATAACTCGATACACGACAGTGGCAATGACATCGGGTGTCCATACCTGGGATGGGTCTGGGAGTGGAGGCATGATAGGAATGTTTCGCGTGCAAGGCTGGGATCAAAAGCTATCTGAAAGACTTTGTTTAGAAATAGCAAGGAAGCAAGTAAAGAATATCACAAGAAGCTGAAGAAGGAGGTTCAAGATGGGAGAGCATGGCTATTTTATATTACTCTACTGAGAACAAGTCGCCGCGTTGGCAGACTAATGCTCTGCTTTCGTGAGATGGCGAGGTTGAGAGCATCGCCAGCACGGCGACGTTAAAAAACCCGATAATCATTTTAGAGATTCAACGCGACGCACCGTAGAGATAGGGAGCTGTAAACTGCATGCTGGCTTTTAGCGCTGACCTGCGTCCTGGGTAGAACGCCATGTTTTGTTTTGCGTGTCGAATGAAGCTAATTTGCATCGCCTTGTCCATTTGGAGGAATCATGTCTGTTTGTGAAAGACCAGTTGTGTGGTACATGGTCGTTGATTTGCACATGGTCTTTGATTGCATGCAGTCGTTGACCTTCATACATGGGAATCGGGACCCTCCTATTCACTGGGCTTCGCCCCGCCTTATGTATTTCAAGCTATCATGCATTACACCCTTGTCGTGCTAGAGTGGATCGGGAGAATAATTTCCGTACGAAGTACAGTACTCCGTAAAGCCTTGCATCGCCTTGAAGCCGGCTAGAGAGTGTGAGTACTCCGTAAAGACTTGCATCGCCTTGAAGCCAGCTAGAGAGTGTGTCGCTTGCACCCGCACACCATCATTGCATTGCCTTGCATTTTCTCGAGTGTCCCGATTGGCTACATAGTGCATCGGTGAAAGTCCTCTCGCTGTCATGCTGATAATTTGGTACGTGGCTCTCCACTAGAGTATCCAGAACGCATCCCCAGGTCCAGGATCGATGAAAGCTGCATAATCAATCACCTTAGGCAGCTACTGTGTCACAGAACCTCTCAGGCTCAGCCCCACTGCAAGACTGCGGGGCTTCTTTTTAATATCAAGGCGATACATTCCCTCCTTTAAACCAAACATCGCCTGGTTAATTCGCCAAGTGTTCTTAAGGTACGCGTATAATATCATAGCCTTGCCCGCGCTCTGCACGGTGTATAGCTGTTTAAAGCCGTCAACACGTTACACTTCCAATATTTTCGAAGACATCAACCCCAATTTCAAATCGAAAGATTGGAGACAACGGATTGGAGAATCAATAGCATCTCAAGATGTCCTTTGTACAGTGAGTCAACATCGGCTCGGGTCATCAATTTGCAAAATGTGTGACTGACGGTACCTCTAGGTATTATGGCACCGCGCCTGCTAGGACCCATAATGTTTACCACCAGGGAATTGAATTTGAAACGAATGCGGTAGAGCACGAAGACTTTGAAAGAATGATCAGAACTTTAGAATTTCAAGCAAATATGCCATGGGACGAGATCCAGGTGATAAAGCAGAGGCGTTTGGAAGAAATTGTCCAGGATATTTCCTATATAATGGACCTATGTCCTTTAGAGAGTACTTTAAGGCCGATGCTTGCGAGTTTAAAATGGAGCGTTGGGACACTTGCGGGTTTTTTGTATACACCAAACGAACGCATGCACGAGCAGCACCAAAGCACTTCAAATAGCAAGAGCAACCATCAAGAACAACAGCATGCCCGGGATGGAGAAATCCTCGGGGTGCAGGAGGAACTCACCACGACTGGTAGCGAGCACGAAATGGAATCACTGGATGTCATAGTAGGGGGAGATGAGGTCGAGCATCAGAGTTCGCCCTTGTCGCGCGAAAACCAAAGTGCCGGGCTAGGGCACAAGCTCGAGTCGCCTCAGATGGTATCGAGTGCCAGCAACGGTGCCGAGCAAGATGTATTTGCTGCCAGTGTTGGCCCTCAAAATACACAAGGAATCTTTGAGGGCCAGCAAAAAGCTGCCAGACATCGATGCAGAGTTTGCCAAAAAAGCTTCACTCGCGCAACAACTCTTCGTGAACACGTTCGTAGCCATGACAACGATCGACAGTATGACTGTGCTTCGTGCTCGAAATCTTTTGTGAGATTGAAAGACATGAAGCGCCACGAAGCAACTCATTCAGGATCAAAGCCATACGCTTGTATTGGCCAAAGCTTTGGCGCAGACTGGGGATGTGAACGCAAATTTGCACGGGAAGATGGACTATTGGCGCATTTCCGTACGAAGACTGGTTGGGAGTGTATACAAGCTCTCGGCCAAGGTATCATTGCTGATTCCATTGGCAACCAGATCCAATCCAAAGTTGGGCCGGCTGGTGCTTATCAGTGCGGAACCGTGATAAACGATGTCTTGCAGGTAAAGGAGAACGTTGAGCACAGCAGGTCACGAGCTAGTCACACTTCTGAATGTGGAAGCTCGTTTCCCACTCTCCAAAGTTTCAAGTCTCACCTCGAGTCGGATGAGGGCATGAAATGTCTCAAATCGCTAGTTGTGCAGCACGCAATACACAATACTCGAAGGACAGCCTCGAGCTCACCACAGAGGGAAGGTCGGGACTCTGACGTTGAAAGCCGAGAAAGAAGTCCAATACTAACAGATAACACAGCCGAACAGGAAGAATTGAAAACCCCACACGAGGGCTCCGTCAGCAATGTCGGTAGGGGTGACGAGTCAGAAACCTTCGGTTGGGGTGATATATTCCGTGGTTGCTATGTTCAAATCAACGCCCAAGTCCTTACTCTACTTTTCTGGGCACCATATGAATATTGGGACGCAAACAATAAACTGAAGTTACGCTATTGGGACACAAAAAATAAAGTGAAGTTGCGCCTGAGAATGTTGGGGAATGAATACATCTGGACATGTGGGGCTCCGCAAACCGAGGAGAACAAGCTAGAATTCAGACTCCCTAGCCTCCACGAGATCGAATCTTCTACTTCAATGCGCTTGCCACTTCAACTTCGCATCATGACACCAGATTCACAGGAGTGGCGCATGCTTGGATGGGTCATATATGAAGACAACAAGGCGGTGGAATTTAGAGATCCCTCTGGGAATTGTCGTTGATTGGATGAATACGTAACTCCCTCTGGAAAGGAATGTAACAAAACAGAGCATAAATTTTGGGTCTCAGATATGAAAGTGGCAAAGTTGTTGGAGAAGGAGAAGAGGAGAAATTGACCGTTTGCACTTGCAAGGCACTACTTCATAGCGCTGACCTGTTTGGACTCAAGATGCAAAGCAAAGGAGCAAGGGAGGGCAAGTGCAAACAACATCGTTTGGTTTGAAGCTAGGCAGGCACTTATCTATTATACACCTACAATTCCCTCGCTCAGCTGACCCCTCTCATAATTCCCTGCAACCTTCCTCGCTTTTGGATATCTCTGCCAAAAATGAAAAAAAAGCATCACTTTTCCGCCAACACAAGCAACTAAATTAGCCCTCGGTACCACTGCTTCTGAATGTCGCGCAGAGCGCCGCATAATGATGCGTCAAATCTAGCACATTCTGTGGGAGACTAGTAGCTTGAATGATACTCCTGACTTTGACCGCACCCTCGTCTTCAATCAGCGTACGAATCGTATACAGCAACTCAGGGCTGAATTCCGAATACCAGCGATACTGCCACGTGACCAAACGAATAACACTAGCAATCGTATCGCGTGTATTCTTCTCCTTCTCCACGTCACCAAGAATACCAGTGAGGGCTTTGGGCGAAAAGCGGATAGCTAGACAGGCGCGGTAGGCTTCGGCGGCTTCGGCTTGGTGGTGGAGGCGTTCGGCGAGAGCGCCGAGGATTTCCCATTCTTCGGCAGACTTTTTGTATTGCATAGATTGGGCGCGATATTGTGCCATCTCGGTACGCCAAATTGTGTAAATGCGCAGGTCTTCGTAGAGGACCATGAAAAGGCTGTCGAGCCAGCGTTCGCAGAGGCGTTTGTTGTTGAAGCGGGATAGCTGCTCTTCTGTTGCTTCGGACTGGGATATGTTAGTACATGCATTGGCGAAATGAGACTCACTACCGACATCTTCATTTCCACCCTTAACTTCCTCGGGTGTCACCGTGTGCGGTGGCTTCTCCACAGACTCGTCTGCCACGGATCCTCGCACCCCGTTCTCAGCGATCAAGGTTGGCGCCGTTGAATCACCATTGGTGCTGTTCTCATCACTGACGCTTTTTCCATCGTCGGTATGATCATCGCCGTTTACGGGAGGACCTGGACTGCCTCTCAGTACATCGGTGCTTGGATTGCGCTTGGTTATGTCACCTTGTTGACCAACTGGTGGCTGTTTCTCGCTGCGGTACTCCTCCTCCATGACAAATACGTTACTCCGGATCTTCAACAACTGATCCCATCCGATCTTCGCAGTCATTTCAGTCAAAATGCTATAGGCATGCTTGAATGTTCCCTTATATCCAGCAGCTCGTAGACTCAGTAAGCTAGGATGAACTTGCTCTCCGTATTTCGATTCTGGTTCGCTGTCAATCTCGTCCAACCGAGTTTCGGGTAGGGTAGGTAAGAATATGTCCTTGGGTTCAGGCATAATCGGCGCATCTTTGTCCTGGTAGGTGAACATAGGACAAGAGTTCAGTGTAGTCAGCGCATTCTCCCAGTCCTCCATCGAGACATATACCTCTGCTAGTCTTGCCCACGTGCCAAATTCGCTGGGGGCAGCGACAGTGCTACGGTCTGCACATCCAAGTGACATCCGTAATCTCTCGTCCTTTAATTCAGGCGAGTTTGGATTGAGAGCCTTCTTTTTCAAGAACTCTGATTGCGTATCGAGCATAACATAATCCATAGGTGATTGCTTTACTGACTCATGTAGTACTCTGACTGCTTGGACCTCTTCGTTGCCCATTAGGAGCACTTTTGCTAACAGTGATGAAACCTCTACATTTCGAGTCCGTAGCTTCTCGAAAAGGTTAATGCCAGAAGCAAATCGCCCGGTAGTATAAAAGTACTTGAGGAGGCCAGCTGTGAGATGATTCGAAACATTGTTAGGAACTTGGACGATGGAATCAGACCCAAGTTGCCAGCCTATACCCGTTAGTCCTGTATATTGAGCTCAATGAAGGAAACCTACCCCTGAAGAACAATTGCTCGGCGGCCTGGAGGAATCTATGCTCTGTTTCTGTGTTTGTAACTGGGTTGAATCTCCGAACTCCCATTATCTTCCGAATAGTCTCTCCACTCCCATCGTCTGCGTATGAATACGCACGAAGTACGCTGCACAGGTATGTCTCTAACCATAATTCGTCCGAAGCTGATCTCTTCTCCCCCCGCTCATCAATGCAATAACTATCAACGGTTCCGGGTATTGTAACATGAACGCGCATATCGAGTCTTGAAAATGCATTGTAGCAGCTGGAAAGAAAGGGATTAGTGAATCGTCCATCAGAAGAAAGGGCGCCACCTACCAATAGACTCCTTCCACAATTTTTGTTGTAGATTGGTGAGTCTCTTTGTATGTGAGGGTGTTTATATAGGCTGCTAGACTTGCTGACGATGAGGCATCGACGCCAGTAACATGGTGGTAGACTCCAATCTGCAGGTGTTTTAGAATGCATTCCGATTCCACTCTCAGAATTCAGCGTACCTGCTTCCCTGGATTCCTTGGGGCTTGTTTGATCAGTTGAACCAAATCTGGAGGGCCTAATTCTCGGAGCGCAATTAGGACTTCTGTTCGCGCATCGATAGATTCGTGTAGGATTTCCTCTGTGAGCCTAGAACAAATCGATTAGCTGATGCTCCCAAGGACAGAGAGACAGGACTACGTACTCCGGGACAGCTGGCGCAACCATCTTGCGGACCTTTCTTGAGACTTAAAAGTGGCAGAAACCGTTAATAGAGAGGCACGGTATGATTAGAAGCAGACAAGCTGCAGCACGCACATGGAATGTCAATGGCGACAGAAACGAGGTGGTTGTTGAGTATCTGCACTGCAGTAGGGATAAGCTCACAACATCAAAATACGGCAGTGGAAATGGACAACAGCTGCTTCCGCCAAGGCAAGGATCTGAAATGCCGCTAACTTCAGCCTTGCCACGCCACGTGCTACGATCCATGTCTATTCAAAATAACTTGGGAATACTCTAAAGATAAAAAACTCGCCAAGAAATACAATAAATTTGCTTTGATTCTAGCTAAGAACATATATATCAAAAAGTACTTAGATTAACAGCCTACGAACTATAAAAAGTACTCGACATATATAGCCTAGCTGGAGGTCTAGTTACCAGAAAACCCCATTAATATCTCGATCTCTTTTTTAATTCTAGCAAATTTTGTTATTGAAATGTTTATGTTTTGGCTACCATTTAAGTTCTGTATATATAACTTCAACGAAATCCCTGAAGTATCAACCAGTGCCGGATGAATATGGCGTATATGGCGGCGGCGGCTATATTAGCATGGAGAGAGGGAAACTGCCGCGCGGCAGTTGAAGTCGGAGCCAGAAACCTCCGATGTGATCTAAAATAAGGAAGTCAGTTGTGAAGCTGCAACGCCTCAGCCTTTCAATATTGTGATCCGTGTATAGAATCGTTTTCGTGTATGAACCGCCTGTTTGGTTTCTTCACGTCTGGCGACTGATGGCGGCAATTCGTGGATCCCAGACACCATCCTAACTGTAGTTCTCAACCCCTCCTATCGCCAGTGCATTGATACCGCGACGAGCATTCGTTCAATATATCTCGTCGCAACATCATCCATCCATTGCGTATTGCATTGTCAGTAGCCGGTACAATCTCCAGGTCTATAGTTCCACCAGTCAAAAAACTTCGAAGGATATAGCGAATAGCAACGTCTCGATACAACAACACCACATCAGACAGCAAACCATCTTCCTTAGAGGACAGTGCATGTATACATTCCCGCGACCCGCAAACATTCAACCACGGTCTATAACTTTGCTGCTGGAGGTTTGTAGGCTGGAGGTGGCCTGACCTACTCGGCACTTCTCGCGGAGGGTTGCTCCCGTGTTCTAGCTATACACTGCATTGACTTTGGTCGAATCCTAAACTTCACACCGGCAGCAAAATGGTGATATATCTGCATTTGATCCTAATTTACAACCTGCTAACTTCGGCCACAGGCTTCTTTTACTGCCCTCAATATCGAGCCCGATGACAATCCTGACGATGAAATCGATAACACGAAGGAACTACAGGTGCGCCTGATTGTGCCCTGCATACAAGAAACATGCTAATACCCGTCGCAGATAGAGGATGCCCTCAAGCTATACCAAGTAGCCCTGAAACTACACTCCCAAGGCCCAACTCTATATGCAGAAGCTGCAGACGCCTACACGAATCTTTTCAACTCCGAAATCTTTAAATACCCAGAAAGCGTTACCGAATTTACACGAATAGACCAAAATCCGGAGCTCGAGCTTGCAGATACTTCCTTCGGACTTGCTCTCGATGGGGGAGGAGGTGCAGATGAAATCCCAAGTACTCTACCCCAAATACTATACTTGTCTTACAAGAACCATGGGCAATTTATCTTGGACTGTGTCAAGAGTCAGTTGAGACACCCGGATACCAATGTACAACAAGTTGTGAACAAATCCGCGCTCGATTATCAAGCAAGAGCTGCCCTAGACAACTTCTCCCTCGCGTTAGTCAGTGATGAATCGGATACCGAACTATGGCGTCGTGCGGCCCGTGTAGCATCCATGCTGGGAAGCAGAAGAATTTCTAGGTACTGTCTGGAGGGCGCGGTGGAAGTAGACGATGACCCAACCGTGGCTGAAGTCGACCCCTCATCCCTCGAAGAGGGTTTCGCCGGCGAGCAGTTGAAAGAGAACCTCGAAGTGTTGTCTGATGAAACTGCATTATCCCACCCTATCATGGGGCCATTTCTGAAGAAGACCATGCCTCCTTTCTTGACTAAGGCCATGGATTTTTATCCATTCTTACCAGACAGTACCAAGTTCCTCAATCGCGAGACACCGGATAGTGAAGTTCCTCGAATCGAGGAAACCCGCTCTGTCTTCCCAACCCAGCAAAGAACTTGGACTTCAATTGGAGATGCTTTATGCGGTGCGTTCATGTCACCTTTAGGGCTTTCAGGGACGGGGATCGTGATTCTTGTACCAGAAGAAACAGAAGAAGCTCCACAACCTCCACCAGAACCTACAGCACCCGAGGCTTTAGCAGAAGACCAAATTATGAAGGACATTGGGACTACGGAATCACCGACTGGTGAAAGCAGCGAAAATGCTATCACCACTCCCGTCACAGCCAAGTCTGTTGAACCATCAGTTGAGATAAACACTACCACTACATCGGTACCTCTGGCTGATGGGCCATCCGAAAAAACTGTCAATCTACCTACCCGGAAGCGATCCCAGTCTGCGGCTGGAATTCGTGAGACGCCGGAAGATGATAGTGGGACACAGAAGCGAAGTAAACGGATCCGGAATCGAGATAATACTGAGAGCTCCGTCGTTGATCCTACTACGAAGTATACCGAACAAATGAAAAACTTCGTTAGAGCAGATGAAGACGTGTTTGATTTTGTCAATGGCATTCTTCTAAAAATTGGCATTGAGGATCTAGGCACATTTACGGACTTGCAAGCCGCCTTAGGAAATGATGATAAATCAGACCGGGAAGAAGTGGTCACGAATCTTGCTGTAAGGGATTTGCGCGATACCTTGCGGACCTGGGATGACGGTAAAGCATCGACATTTCTGAATGGCAACGCAGCCGATATTCTTGGCTCCTCGGCAGCAAGTGCGAATGCCGGCCTCGCAGCTTTCCTCGAATACTCCAAATCGGGAATTCAGAAGGCTAGTACCATTCCACCATTTTCAGAAAGCGAAGGAGTATCGTTATTCGCAGCCAAGGTGCAGGCCAGCTGGGCGCCTCTTCTAGACGTTATGTTTGATTGGCTTTGCATAATCCTCCTGTCATATCGAGGAACACTGTGGTCTGAAGACCTGAAGATTGCTGTTGTTCGTATCATTAGCTATGCAGATGCAGAAATCTTCACCCGGTTAAAGCAAGAGGTGGAACAGGCTCGCGTGAAAGAACTGGAGGCTGGAGATTTGGCACAATTGGAGGACATGACGCAAACTCTTTTCGAACTTCATCTGGACATATACACTCGAATCACGAATCCCAACAGTATTGTCAATTATGAGACACGCATTATGACGAAGGAGCGGGTGGACCGTTGGGCCGATTTTACTGCGGATGTAGTGCAATCAAGGAACGCCAAAATCGACGATGACCTCTCCCTGAGGTATCTTTGGGCCTCGGTCTTTTACGCCACCATGGGCGACAGCGTTGCCCGGGAACATAAAGTTCTGTGTTGGACAGACGTGCAGACCCTACTTCGTGAGGCCGAGAAGCCGATGATCGAATTGCAGAATAATGCCATAATGCCAGAAATATCGGCCGAAGCAGCTGAGCGTGAAGTGTCTAGGCTTACCACAATGGATTTTTTCTACAACCTGTTCCAAGCCGACAGGTCAGACCCAGTGGCGATAATTGAGACTCTGGAGCCAGTTCTGGATCCTGAATCGGCCTGCCAACCAGCAGAACTTAATGATGATACTGCGGCCAGCTCGGACGCTGCTGACAATACACCAGCAACACTACGTGATATGTGGAAGTTTTTGAAAACAGGAAGCACCCCCTTGCGTATTTTCTTGTGGCAGCGACTCCGGGAGGCATACGCAAGTATAGGCTACAATACAAAGGTATTCTCTTGCAATTTGAAGAGCATCGAAATAATCGTTGGGGATCTGCGAACAGACGATTATGTCGACAGCTCTGATGAGCCCCGCCGACACAAATTGCTGACTTGGCTAAAAGCCTTGGATGATCTGTTGGTGAAGTCGCTCTCAACTGCTCTCAACGATGCTGCATTATGCTTTGAAATCATCGATGAGCGACACCTGAAAAGCACTTGTGCTGCTCTCGCACAACTCAGTCGCGTTCTTCATTCGGCAGCTATATTTGATGACGAGATCAGGGTTGGGATGACCCAGCTGCCGCAAACTCCAGCCTATGCTCCACAAGGGTCCTTCAACAGTTTCATAAACAACCTACGTGAGATGCAAGTGCGGACTTGGGCGTTGCAGTACACAATGGTAAAAGAATCTATGAACCAGAACGCTGAACTGTTCACGACGCCAGATAAGGATCTTGCCGATTTCTTAGCCAACGTTCACTACTGCTTGGGATTGCGAAAATGCTGCAAGGCTTCCAACAAAATCTTCTTGAAAATGATGAAGGTTGAAATGATAAGGCTAAAGAACATCGACAAATGGGAGGACTATATTGGCCAAGTAGTCTATGATCTTTATGGCATTCGACTGGGCGTCGGGACCTATTTGTTGGAAGAGCACGGTTGCCCTCCAGAGTCACTTGATAGGCGGACTGTTATGAACATCGCAGAGCAAGTCATTGATTTAGCAAACCAGATGCCGGTGAAGGACCTCATCAAGCATGAACTACGCGCTGCCATCGAAAGGATGCAAACCGCCGTCGGCCAAGCGAAATCTACACCGCAAATGCTTCATAATCTTCGCAACTATACGGAGTATCTGAAGACCTCCATCCGCCCGCTAGATATGTACAAAGCATTCAAAGGACAGGTACAGGTAGACTCGCTCCCTGTTATCACACCGGAAAGCCCATTGGCGGACAAGGGATGGTATTTTTTGCTTGGTATTATTGCGCTGACCAAATTTCGTTCAACGAAACGCCTTGGTCCTGGGGCTCAAACGGACGATATGCGAGTCGGTGCAACATTTATGAGGTTACAGCTGCAATTTAGCGCAGACCACTGGGAGACTTGGTACCGCCTTGCTCAATGCTTCGACTATGAGCTAGAAGAAGAGGTCATGTGGACCGCTGACAAGATCAACAACCATCGCTCTGACCTGGTTAGACTGCAACGAGGTTCAATACATTGCTACTTGATGGCACTGTCGACAGCTGTCCGGACGGCCGACGATACACTAGCTACTGCACAGAAGCTGTCCGAAATGTACCATGAGTTTGGAATGCGGTTGTATGCATCGTCTCGTGAGCCTTTTGGTATGGAAGCCTTCTGGGTTGATGAATTTGAGAAGCACATGAGTGGGTCTACGGGCATGTACAAAAGGCCTTTGCATGATGAGGTGACCCGATACAAAGCCTGGAAGCATGCCGCAAGGCTTTTCAGAACATCTCTAGCGCAGCGGCCCAAGTATTGGATGTAAGTAAACTAGTCTTAATTGTAAGCTAATCCATTCGCTAACTTGTCTAGGAATCATTTCATGCTCGGGAAATGCTTATGGAAGATGTTCTGCAAAGCTGCTGACGAGTGGGACCCTGCAGTGCAAGCAACCAAGCCATCTGTGGACGAGGTGCTTCGCGCCTTTATCAACGCCATCAAGACTGTGCCCAGACCGCGAGATAGCCGTCAAGAGCCAATCCTTGAACCCCACTACAAGCTCGTATCAATCGTCCACAAACTGGTCATGAAGGGTGCATTACAGCCCCAGGCTGCAGCTGATATCTTACAAGAGCAGCCTTACGCCACACGAAAAGGAGAGCCTGTAGTGATTGAAGGCCACGAAGAGTGGCAACCGTATATTCTGGAAAGCCTTCGTCACTTGCGAAGCTTGGACAAACAACATTGGCATCATCGAATGATCGCGCGATATGCAAACATCATCTACGACGAAAACAGCCAGGATTATGTCCAAGCTACCGCTGCTCGAAATGAGTTCCGTGAGTCCATATTCACGAAGACGATGCATATCCAAGTTTGGAAGCCGGACGCGGAACGGCCAGGCAGGCATTGCGTGTACATGGAGCGTTATGTCAAGTACATGACCAGACTCCTCAGTCTCCTGAACGACAAACCCCACATGGAGCAGCTGGCCAAGCGAGTCAAGAAAAAGTCGAACGACTTTCACAAATTCAGCAATGTGTGGAACGACGTATGCTCAACCTACCTTCGCCTAATCAGAAAAGCAGGAAATATCCCCTTAAACATGGATGAAGTCTTCAAGAGCATTCCCCACGATGAGTTCGACATTCTTTCCGAGCGCCTCACTACCTGGATTGCAGATCCCAACATGGACCACCCAGCTCTAGAAGCTCTTCGAGAAACTCTGGAGCTCAAAAAAGTGAACGCCAATCAGATGAAGGCCGCGCCTATTGACGATCTCATCAATGATGCATGGGCAGTCCTGTACACCCAGATCGCAAAGACACTTCCTGGTCCTGATCTCCCGGCCCTCGAAGCCGCTCAAAACGACGGCGGCGAAGCAGGACCGGCGCCAAAACCAATAGGGCCAATGAGTCTTAACAATCTCGTTATGGACATGAACGGCACCCAAATAAACGTTCCCCTTACCCTTGCCGTCTCAGACCCCCGATCGCGCAAAATCGGCATCAGCAGACGCGAAGTTCTACGTCGTGCCGAACTAGCCATCAACAGAGTCCTCGAACCTTCTCGTACCACAGCTCCCTCGCAACCAAGAGCAGGATCATCAAAGCATGTTCTAGGCTCGAGTGTAGACCCGGAAACAGCAGCGCGCAGTGCCTCGACGCCTCGACTTGAAGTCCCGGCACCGGAACTTTTCGAAAAGAGAGATGATAGTTCGGCGCCGGGAAGTCTGCATGATAGTGCGGATGATGAGAGTGATTTGAGTGATGTACCTGAGATGGAGGATGTGGAGCCTGCGAGTATCTTTCCGAACTTAACGAAGAGTGGTGAAGATGATGAAAGTCCTGACCGGGAGTAGGAGGAAGTTGTATGATATGATGGGCGTTTAACAGTGAAGTTTTTAGTTTGGGGTGTTCGGGTATACCCTTCCTTGGTTGGTAGCATTTGAGTAGGAGATGGTTGTAACATGTATATTATGGGAAGATGATCAAAGTGGTCTAGACAAAATGAGACACTAACGTACATGCATCTAGTTTTCTTGAATTCAGCTTGCTATGTGCCCTCGCCCGTGACTATAACTTGAGGTCCGTCCGTACTAGAAAAAGTACCTATATATATAACGTCCTAGTTCTTGCACGATAGTTTTAGTACTCTATGTTTTTTCATAAAAAGGTCAAGGCTCACCTTAATCCGCAAGTGTTTTCTTGCATCACAGTACCAGAAACTCAATATTCTTCATCGTATCTTTCCCTACCTCGCTTACTGAATCACATGCCGCAGTATTCTTTTCAGCACCATCCCTAGGCATAACGCCCAACTCCGAGCTTCACATGATTGCTCCGCTCTAGGGCATTCACTCAGGAAAATACTTCCAAGTGATATTTAGATAGAGCTTAATATCTATTCTCTTATTCAAATCTATATATTAATCTTTAGCTTGCTTTTTGTTCTTAGGTGACGTACATACCTAGCCTAGGTATGTGCCTCCTTCCCTGACGTTTAGCGACGATCGCTAAAGTATAGGAAGAATTTTACTTGAGTATGGGAATTCCACCTTTCACTTGAAGATAACGACATAAGTGTAGAACCCCACGCACTTGGAGTATCACTAAGAGAATGTTGCTAACGATAGTGTGGGGTCTTATCCGACTAGGCTCAAGTGATAAGTTCAATGAAATCATTAGTAATCGGCCTTGTATGCCATCGGGCGGCGTCAATGGAATAGCCGGTGAGGGGGAAAGGTGTTAATATAGTTATCAAGCACTTTTAAATTAAAGTGCTGTAGTATTGATAGAGTTTTAGTGAAGAGTTCTTCGTAAATTCGTAGGATTTCCTAATAGTAGATACGAGTATATAAATGGTTCTTGGACTAAAGTAAACGCGACCTGCTATAAAATCAAAAGGGGACTAAAACAAAGTGCGTGGCCTAAGAAGTGTAAATTTGACTAGTAAAAAATACTTATTTACTATGCAGGCGTATTGTCTCAATAACATACATATTCTTACATATCAATTGCAATGTGATCGTACAGATACCCTTCGCTCCCATATCTTTGCGTCTCATATCCTTTCATCGTACACCTTTCCGGACACTTCTCGACTTGAACTCAAACAGGAAATCATAAAAAAAAAGATAAGAAATCATAAAAAGCTCCACTTCCTCTGATAATCCAATAGAACCCAACTAGAAGTACCAAAATTGACACTGGAAAAAGGAAGTGCTCGCGTAGCCATACGAGGGTCTGGAGGCCTCGAGTCGATATGCTAAGATTTAGAAGACGTAGCCGATCAAGCGGTTGGCGATATCCTGGCAATAGGTGGGGGTCGCATCAGGTGGGTTAGAGAGATCATCTCCAGCCGCATAAGAGTAGTCGCCAGAGTTGTAGAGGCGGGCCGCAATATAGACATCCTGAGCCGCCGTTGTTCCTCCCAAGGTAGCTGCCTTTGCAATTTCCTGCTCGAGACCATTTCCACCACTGGCCTTGTAGAGAGTTCCGCCTGTGCCATCGTTTATCATGCCGCTGATCTGAGTAGCTGAGCATGCGCCAGCTGCAACCCCAATGCAGTTGTAATCCCCATCGTGGTCTTGCATGAGTCCGGGGTTGGCGTTTCCGCCGGCGGTCGTGCCAACGCGGACGCAGCCATGGGACTCTTGCATGATGGTTGCTAGGATGTAGCGACTGTCTACACCATATGCTGAAGCTGCTGACAAGATACCGGTCTTGATGTCTGCGGTCTCCGCAGCGCTGTTCTGTATGGCACCAGTACATGCAGCGTTGATTGTGTCAACGTTGGCAGTCCACCTGTTGAGGTTAGGAAATGGGGCAATGATAAGGGCTATGTTCTCACAAAGTATCAAATGTGAGCCAATCACTGGTGGCGGGCCATCCAGCTGCAACACTGCCATCTCCTGATCGAGTTGGCCCACTACCACTGAGAGCTGGCTTTCTGGCTGTAATTTCTTTTGGAGTTGGAGCACCCAGGGACTGGGAAGCCAAAGATAAAAGGACTGTGATAGCAGTTAAAGAATACATGATGTTTGAAGAATGTGAAAGTTGAATGAATGTATGTGTGAAGTAATGTTTGAATGAATGAATGAATACTGAATGAATGAATGTCTGAATGATTATTTTTGAAAAACCTTGGAACTCCCCGTGCTACTTAACCTCTTCTCTGGATGATATTCTTGAATAAAGGGGGGTAAGATCGAAAGAAAGGATGGCGGATTGATCAAGGTACTCCTCTGATGTGTGTGTTAGAAAGGAAATGATCATCGAAAGTGGTCAGTCAGTATGACTCCATTGAACAGGCGTACGTATGAATCCAAGACGACGAGTTTATGTAGCAGTAACATAGTATCAACGGCCCATGATAGAAGCGTTAGTAGTGTTGCAGGGCCCGGGAAGAGTAGGTGTCAGTCAATTACGAGCGGAGATAACCCTCATGTAAGTCATTACACGCTTCCCTGTTAAAGGAAGTCCAAGTCCCCAATCCTCCTCGACTACAGCGTTACAGTGCCGGCATGTAAGCGGCTCTGCGGCGAGCCATCAATTAGTGTTGGCCCTGCCAGGCTGTGGGGTGATCTATTGCCAAGATAGGACTCAGATGGTACTGTTAGCACTTTCCTAATATGAACTTGCGCTTGAGCAAAGAGCCCTTGGATGAACTGCTGCTCACAGTTCAAAACTTTGTTTTGATACAAAGGAATAAAACGAGCATGAAATTTTTATTTCACGCACAGTTAAAACCTTTAAACTAATGGAATGTGATCAGAAACGTGACTTTGCTCCGAGCATCTTGCCCGATATGGAGAATTGCAGATCGGACCCGAGGAAGCGGAAGGATTTTCGGGAAATTTGGGTGGCTATTAGGCTAATAGTAGTATCCTAATTCATTATGCAAGGTACGATAAACTGCAACGTATGATAGTAAAAGATAAGGATGCCCCTCCTTCTAGTAAAATGAGGGGAAGATTTCGCAAGTCGGGGATGAGATTCTGACAACTGTGCCGCGGTTCACTTGGACAGCCTAACTCGGCGCCGCATGTTACGCTTCTTGGAAGCCAGTCAGCCCTTCCTTTGTAATTGCATTGGACAGGTGATGAATTGAACGACTCGTCCATTTGAGTCTAATATCCCTTCGCCTTGAAACCGTGCGACTTTGGAAACCCTGGAGTTGAATATTTGCGGGCAGTTTCCTTTCCGTTGACGTTAGACTCTTAACTTTTCCATGAGCCATAATAGCTTTTATGAACGGTATAAGACTTAGGGAGTCAAAAAAGTAAGCATTCTGTGTAGTGTAAGATCCACAACCCTTTTTGGCTGAATCTTACCGGAACGACTTACAGGGGGCCCTCTGTTAGACGTGCTCTTCGAGGTTTGCTGACTTACGAACATTACGACAATCGAATCAAACTCCACGTACGATTGTCAGCCTAGAAGCAGACGTCAAAGGATGTCCCGTGCCTCTTCCTAATTCATGGGAATTAATAATCAAGAATTAATGTAAAAGTATACAGGGAGTGGAATTTAACCTTAAATCCCAAAGGATGGGTTTAGCCGTATGTACGAGTAAAGTAATGTCTCAGCCTTACATACACTCGTATAGTAGTCTTGGCATGTCATGCTTACGCCCGCCCCCCTGTCGACTTGATGGGCTCTTACTCTTGTCAATATAGGGTAAAAGCCACGCAGCCCTGGATAGAGCCCTACGCAAATCAATACTTATAAGAGACCATCTCATCCTCAGCCCATATTCCTCAAATCCTCCCAAAAATTGGTCCAATGTGTACGAAAGGGAATGGGACCGGCCGCTTTCAACAAACTAATTCCATTTTGCACGTTTCGCCATTGACGTGAATAGTTGAATTGGTTGTTGCAATCCTCCTTTTCTGTCCGAAAGGAAACACTTTGCATATTTAGCGGATGCATTTGTAGGGCGAAGAAGAAAGGAAGGAACGACGAACGGACGAACGTGAGACTGACTTGCCATTCAATTTTCCAATATTACTTACGCAACGTTACACTAGCGTCAGTAAGTGTTCAATTCTGAATGCATTCCGAATATGTGATGATGTGTATAATCAGGGTATAATCAGAAGACAAAAAGCTAGTTCTTGCAACGTTGCGTTATTTCATGAAAATGGGCTTGTTTGCTAGAAGAAGAAGGTTCAAAGCTTGAAACTATGCGGAGTCTAAGCTTTCAGGGGTGACGGCAGACTAGTTTCAAAGAAGCATCGCGGCCGATCTGGCTATGATTGGGTCGCTTAAAATAAGGGGAGGGGAAGGACAATTGAGTCAAAATATGAGTTTTTGTGAGAATAATGAATTGATTGATTAGGTAGCGACAGTGGGCTTTGAGGTGAACTGATTGGCCCTTGAGAATCAAATCTCAATTAACCAACAAAAGAAAGAGGTTCAAGTGAAGACCTCGGCAAAGGAAAAGCATCTTACCGTAGGATCTTCATAATAATAATCAGACTCTGGACGTCCAACAACCGAATTTATCCATAAATTCCACTTCAGCAGTAATAAAATAACGCCTATTGCAATGATTGCGATATTCATGACGATACCTACTTTTCTGAAAGTTTCCCCAATGCCGAGGGAAGAGCCGTTTCCAGCAAGCAAACACCATGAACTATCCATCTGACAAGGAACTTCTGGATGCTGCCAAGAAGCTGAGGCCCAGTTACCAACACCTTGGGCGCCTCAAACTACTTTCTCTTTTAAAAGAAATCCATTCTTGGACGTTGAGCGAGCAACGCTCAAAGAAGTGCCTGGACAAAAACAGCTTCAATGCAAAACCCGAGTCGGAAGACCTTCCACGGGACGAGAAGTTCAACGGCATTGTCAGATATGCATTCATCGACTTCAAAAAACGGAAGAGAGACGTTCTGCTCGCTTTGTCAAGAACCCAGGCCAAAGTCACCAATGGCTACACGTCCGATTCGATGTACGTGGCTCGTGATATGCGTCACCACGTGGAAGTTTTGCTGGCCTTGAAAGAGTTAAAACCCTGCACCCTCTTCACACCCCACATCCCAAGACATCTACACCGACATGATCGAAGCGTGCCTGAAGCCGGTAATCAAAAAGTACAAGCTCGTGCAATATGGCTCCAATCTTCAGCAGATTACTCATCCGATGCCGACGATTGCGTACCAAGGATTCCAGAACGGATGGATCTTTGCTGACACGCGATCGCCTCTCTGGTCTGAAATGAAGAAGCTGTTCTTGACGCCGAATAAAGGGAGAGCGGATGAGAATCGTATTCGGAAGGCTTTGGGATACCCGCTAGATCGGGTTGTTGGGATTACTGTTGGGTCCACCTCGAGCCTATCGTCTTTCCGTGCACTTGATGAAACCGAGATGCATGATATGAAATGAGCGTTTCCTGCCAATGCCTTTAAAATTTTCACTGGCAGTGGGAAGGATCATTATGCAGATATCTTGATACATTTTGATAGGTATTCCCGGGCTGCGGAGAGTGTCGGGACACAGCTGCGGATGGATTTCAGCAATCATAAAGAGCTTGGGACTTTCTATAAGAACGTCATGGGCGGCACTGAAACTCGTTTTGATTGAAAACATATCAGGTGCTGGATCTGACCTCTTTGGGGGTGAAATGTGAGAGAGACAGAGAGACAGAGAGACAGAGAGTTCTCTGAAGACCTTGAAAACCTTGGAGTGTCACTAGAAGACATACATACATGAGTCCCCAAAACAGTTTATATGCTGCATTCCGTGTCTACACATACAACATTAAGTATAACCTTACGCACCTCTAAGTAGCTGACGACTTACTTCATCCATCTCCATATCCACGGCTCCCCTGCTTTCATTAGACTCGGGCTCAGATGTCTCCAGCGACTACTCCCGCAAAACCCAAGGGGAAGGCTGGTTCACCGAATGCAGATGGTAAATTATATCCGCTAAAACCACCCCTAGCACCCCCTGACCGTCAACCGCGCCTGGTTGTGCGTGGAAAAAGCGCCCTGTTGGCTAATCTTCGAGGACATCAACTCCCTCGATTCATATCACCCTACATGCGCTCCAGCAGCGTTTGCTTAACGAAGGTCCATCGACGGGCTGGAACCCAACTACGGCATCCTGATGATTGGTAGCACGCTACACTAACCATCCGGAGCGTCTTCATCTGCGCATAGGGAGGAGACTGGGCCATTTTGATCGCAGATATGGGTTCGAGAACCCGGGACTGCTGGAGAGGTTGCGTATAGCGAGGATTTGCACGAGAATGTGAATGTGGGAGAATGTGGATGGCGGGCTTGATGGCTAGGTTTAGCTTTGCGTATGTATAAAGGAGGCGTTTGTGGCTGCGCTGCTTGTTGTAGTTGCGCGGAGTGACGATGAGAGGAGTTATAGCCGTATGAGTGAGGAAGGGGAAGGTCGAGATGTTTTAGATGGTAGTGTATTATGGACGGAGTTGCAGAAGCATATTGATAGGTTGAGGAAGGAGATGGATAGAAAGCGGGGAGGAGCTCGAGCTTGATGGATATGAAGAGTGATTTTGGCCAGCTATGAGTGGGATTCTTGATAACAAGTCTACACTACCACAGATGCAGACGCCGACGCAGCTGATGGATGTTCGCAGTGCTACGCCGTGGTATAGGTAAATAGACGAGTGATGAACTGGAAGTTCATACTTGTGATTTTGGGAGTAGGGCTTTTTTTAGTGCTATTGAGTCCGTGTGATGAATGTTGAGGAATTAGTATTGTGTATAAGTAAGGGGCAGCTATAAAAACATATACAAGGGAATGGTTCAAGTCAGGGTATCTTCAAAGCAACGCCGAAAGAATCTCGTAGCACTCCACTCCACTTGCACTTCCACTTCTCTCCCCTCTCCACACAGCATCCATTTTCCCAAACTCCATACCCCTCTACTTCACCCCCTCCACCCCCTCAATTTCTCCTCTCTTGCCTCCTACACCCCCTCCCCGCAAAATCATTCATCATCCAAAATACTACTCGCTAGCCGCCCAAAAAACGGCACTTCGCACCGATCCAGCGTCTCAGCATCCCTATATGCCCTAAAACTCAAATACCCAATCCCCACCATATCACACACAAATATGGTCCAACTGAGGAACGTACTCCAGCTGAATATCAGATGCAAGACAAAGACTGCCGTGAAGAGTAATGCGGATTGCCAGGCGTGGAATCTAGTTGATGGATAGATATGAATTAGCCATCTTCTTTCTTCCGTTCATTCCTTCTTTTTGTTTTATGATTATCGACATGGTTTTTCTGGTGCAGGGAAATAGGAAGGACAAAGGCAAGGAATAGGCAGAGTCCGCGGAGACCATAACATACCGCACATAATCACTCTTCTGCTCCAACAGCAGCAGCAGCACGCCCCCAGCAGGCGGTAACAACAAATACGCCAGACACGCCTCGTAATCCAAGCGTATGGGTAAACTGGTCTCAAATTCATTTAATCTTTCTTCCCTGCCACCAAAATTACCACCTCCTCCTTCCTCTACATCCCCGCTTCCGAATCCTTGTCCTTGTGCTGAGCTTGGGATCCAAGGATTCGATGTCGGGTGTGCTGGTGGAGTGCTGGTGGGTGAGAGCGCGGGTGCTGGACGGACGTTGGGGGAGAAGGAACGGCGGGTTTCGGAGGGAGGGGGCGAGAGGGCGCGGTTCGTTTCGGGGGATTGGTCTTGGTAGGGTGCGAAGTCCATTTTGCGCGCGTGTGATTTTAGTTTCGTTTCTGTTATGTGGTATGGTGTGGTGGGAGATGTTGTAGGTTCGTGGCGTCGTTGGAGTTAAGTGAGGGAAGGCCGCGCGAATGTGATGTGATAGAGCCTAAAGCTCGAGGCTGAAGCATGCCGTGCATGGCATGCATGGTTTACCCGGTCCACCATGTGTAAAATCATGAATTGCACAAATGTTGCACATCACATATACTTCATAGAAGAACTACATGGCAGAAGACGTGTGCATAGACACAATTGAACTACCTATTACTCCCAAATCATCGACTCGCTGAAAATCAAAATAAACTCCTCCCTTTATTCCATGCCATACCTATACCTCCCGTAGGTATGCATTGATATCATTATCACGCCTCTGTCCGTCATGGATATAAGTTTCTTCCCACCCAAGAAAGTTTGCTTGTACCCATTCTGTTGCTTGATTATTCGTCCCTGACCATTGTCTATTCATTCAATATATGCTTTCATCATTCGTTTGTAACTCATCGAAACTCCATTGCTGCAAAGCATCCTCGATCCTCGACATGCTTTAGCTCTAGTTGTTGGAATCTGTAAAATGTCAGTATGCAACCCCGCATCCTGTTTCAATTTGACGTACTTCTCACTCTTCGCGTGGAAATATATCCCACTCACGGTCCCATGAATCTGATTGAAGCAGATATAATAGAACCCCTCAAAACTCGCCCCGCTAATCGTTCGAACCCTATGATCCGGAACCAAGAAATGTTCTTTCCATCTCATGAAAATATTATCTCTTTGCGCCAAATTCGGTATATGAAAGTGCCCCTTTCTGGCCGCTTTTTGAAATGGCCTGAAAGCGGCGAATTTGGCCCAGTGTTGTAAATCCACCTTATCATTTGAGCCCCAGTCTTGGTGTTGGGTGAGGAATGTGTACTTCGATCCTATGATCTCCCCCTCGAAGTAGGTGGTTAGTGTTGGGTGGTCTTCTGTCAACCCTAAAATAGGAATGTTAGTAGGGCATCCTTTGGAGGAGTTGCAGACGGCCAAGGTGTACCTTGAATGCGCAAGTATCCACAGAGAAATGATTCTCGCATATCTACATGTTTTATCTCGACTTGGACTTCGTAGACTTGGCGTTCTGATTGCTGTGTTCCCCGGAATTTACTTCCGGCGCGTAGATATGACGAGGGAGAGGAAGGTAAAAGCTATCAATGTGTCAATATAACGGCTTGTCAAATGTTGCATGTTCTAGACATTCTACTCACTCGAACGTTTGAGAATTCGTATCCCATGGATGGTGAACATAGATCCGTAACGGGCAACGCAGGCAGACCAGTCTCTTCCTGTTTATCACCCTCGGCACTTATCGGGGACAGCATATCCCTCGGCGCAATCTCCTCATCAATGTCCATTCGTTTGATGTCTTGCGGATCGGCGACGCGGGTATCCGTTGACCCAGTCACTCGCGAGTCTGACGGTGGAGGTGTGGGCTGCTGGAGGATTTCGGGAGATGTTTCAATGGCCTCATCGTGGGTATCGTCCATCTCTAGGCTCCTCCAGCTGGATCTGTCATCGTCGGGTGGACATGAGGAGTGCGAGGAGGGGGCTGCAACGATGCTCTCGTCGCTCGAAGGGGTGGGCATGGGGGTGGGTCTGCGCCCGCGCAGGCGAGGCTAGAAGGGAGAAGGGAGAAAGGGGTTTTAATGATACAGTAAGGGAAAGGGAATAAAAGAGAAAGAAGCACAAAGCAATTTAGCTGGACATGGCCGCCGTTGAAAAGACGTTCGTTGCTGGTGTTGAGGTTTTAAGCTGTATGGAGATGGATGGTCCTGCTTGAATCTGGATTGGGTGGACTGGACTGAACTGGGCTGGATGGACGGAAGCGAATGTGGAGTCGAGCGAAGCGACTGTAGTAAAACCCTTGCAAGGTGTGGGCGGGCGTGTCGTGTTCCCCACGTTCAAATTCTTCCACAGTAATAATATGGAGTAGTCGCGTGGGATGATGCAAGCTTCTTTTTGATCAATATAAAGTATGGGGAAGTCGATGGTTATTTATAGTAATGTGTGATTTCATGGGACTTGTTGTCTTTGTATAGAATTGGTTACTCGTACTCGTAGTGAAGTGAATGCCATAAACAAGCTATTTAATATACCCTTTCACTTGATTCATACGTGTAACATGAATACCATACAATACAATCACACGCATTATCATTTTTGGCATTAGGGCATGAAGTTCTGAAATGGATTCATATCATATTGCAATTTTCCGACTCTGTGGTATTCTTTTGGTCTACAAATCTGCAAATCTGCAACGCCTAACTCCTGGACTCTATTTATCCTTTTCCTAATTCTTTTCAAATTGGCTTGATCTTGAAATGCAAAGCTATCAAAGAGAAGACCAATGCCTTCAAATCTTGGACGAGGTAGTAGAAGACGCGCAGTCCTTCGGGGTCTTGCGACTCTGTGACATCGACGAGTGAACCAATCTTGGCCGTCTAGAAAGTCCTTCTAGTTAGTATTTGAACACAGAGAAAACATGGGTTTTGGGCATAGTGGTTTTCGCACCTCGAAAGAAATGTGTTCACCTCCCATTCGGATTTCCAACTCTTGTCGTCCGTCTTTGTTCTTCTGGGGCCAGTTCTTGTCGTCTTCCCTATTGAGATGTCAGCGAAGAAACTCGATGCAGTTGGTAGCTTTCCATACTTCATAATCTCGCTCAATTTGATGATCCGCTTGATTTCCTCCACAACGACAGAGCTGACACACACTGCAAACATCCTCAGTCAGTCGAGCGCAAACATGGTGGGGCATATCATTACGCACTTTCTTTGCGGATGAGGGAGTCATTTCTGTAATTGGAGTTGTTCGCATAACGAGCAGATGCACTATTTCCGTCTCCTAGCACTCGGAAATCGAATTCTGGGCCATGTTAGAACTTGCGCCGAGTAGTTGTGTTGATATAAAGCTCACCAAGAAATTCGTGGCCATGGCGACCTTGATGCCCCGAGCTGTACGGTTGATTACATTAGCAAATGATATACAGAACACGGGAAATCCATACTAGTAGCGGATGTAGAATTGGTCGTTGGCAGCCATTTTATTATGTCGTGGTTGTTGTGGTTACCCAAAGCTGGTGGACGTTCTTTCCTCGAGAAGGCTGAAGCTTTCCGACCAGCGCGCCATCCATGCGGTTCAATTGGCGGGGGTCGTTCCTGCCTTGCCAGAATTCAGGCCACCACGCACGCTAAAGTCGAAGTTAACAGCACTCCAGAAAGATGCGGCCACCACCACTTCACGGAAATTCTATAATGGACCTCTGATGCGCTGCACTATCTCCTCCCTCCCTCCTTGTGCGATTCCGAATCATTGACAATAATCTCAACTCGGATCATTTGCCCCCAAATCCAATCCTCTCTTCCTCGAACCCAGAGCTACGCACAAACCGTTAACCCATCCCTTAAATCAACCTCGAATCCGCCAGATAGTCAGTTAGCACATTCTGCTGCACCACACCCACCAACGACAGCCAATATGGCTCATTTTTTAGATCATTCCTACAGTTTGGTACACCAGGACAATGCGGCAGATGTACCAACCATGTCCGAGCTGCGGACGCAGTTGGAGAAGGGCACAGATGAGTCCAAGGTAGAGACAATGAAGCGCATCCTCACCGTCATGCTGAATGGGGATCCAATGCCTCAACTACTCATGCATATCATTCGATTCGTCATGCCGTCGAAGCACAAGGCTCTCAAGAAGTTACTCTACTTCTACTACGAAATATGCCCAAAACTTGACGCCAGTGGGAAATTGAAGCAAGAGATGATCTTGGTCTGGTAAGGCTGTTGCAGGAACTTGAACACGGCATACACTAATTCCCTCTAGCAATGGCATTAGAAACGACCTGCAACATCCCAACGAATATATTCGAGGCAACACTTTACGGTTCTTGTGCAAGTTGCGAGAAACCGAGCTCATCGAACCCCTCCTCTCCTCTGCTCGCGGTTGTCTCGAGCACCGACATGCCTATGTGCGAAAGTCTGCTGTCTTCGCGGTGGCTTCGATCTTCCAACACTCCGAAAGTCTCATTCCAGATGCGCCTGAGCTAATTGCTACGTTCTTGGAGGGCGAGAGTGACCACACCTGCAAGCGCAATGCATTTGCAGCACTCGTCAGCATTAGCCATGACAAAGCTTTGGCGTATCTCAGCAGCGTCTTTGATGGTATCCCGAATGCAGACGAGCTTTTACAATTGGTTGAGTTGGAGTTCATCCGCAAGGATGCAGTTCAGAACTCGCAAAATAAGGTACGGGATTGTTACGACCTAGTAGAGCACATATTGACATGTTTAGGCACGGTATTTACGGCTTATCTTCGACCTTCTCGATGCCGGTGCAAGCACAGTTGTTTATGAGGCAGCTTCTTCGCTCACCGCTTTGACCAGCAACCCAGTTGCTGTCAAAGCTGCGGCAGCCAAATTCATCGAGCTTAGCATCAAGGAGGCAGACAACAATGTCAAGCTTATTGTCCTCGACCGGGTGGATCATTTGAGACAGAAAAATGAAGGTGTTCTGGATGATTTGACCATGGAAATCCTACGGGTCTTGTCAAGCCCAGATATCGATGTACGGAGGAAGGCTCTTGCCATTGCATTGGAGATGGTGTCTAGCAAGAATGTTGAGGAAGTCGTGTTATTGCTGAAAAAAGAACTGACAAAAACGGTCGACCAAGAATACGAAAAGAATAACGAATACCGCCAACTACTGATCCACTCAATACATCAGTGCGCAATCAAATTCTCGGAAGTCGCCGAAAGTGTTGTTGGACTTTTGATGGATTTTATTGCGGATTTCAACAACACCTCGGCTGTCGATGTTATTTCATTCGTCAAGGAAGTGGTAGAGAAATTCCCTAAGCTTCGCCCCTCCATTGTTGAACGTTTAGTGTCTACTCTTAGCGAAGTCCGTGCAGGCAAGGTTTACCGTGGAGCGCTGTGGATTGTGGGAGAATACTCTCTGGAGGCCAATGATATCAGAGACGCTTGGAAGCGGATACGAGCAAGTTTGGGTGAAATTCCAATTTTGGCTTCAGAGCAACGTCTTTTGGATGAGGTTGCGGAAGGTCTAGAACCTCGAAAGGAGCCTGAGCAAGTCAATGGGCACTCCAAGGCTGCGCCTACAGGTTCTAGAAGAGTTCTTGCCGATGGCACCTATGCTACCGAAAGTGCTCTCACAAGTCAGTCCGCGGCTGCTGCCAAGTTAGAAGCTGTCAAGGCTGCTCAAAAGCCACCTCTTCGACAACTTATTCTCGATGGCGACTACTATTTGGCCTCGGTTCTCTCCTCTACACTCACAAAACTTGTTATGCGTCACTCAGAAATCTCGAAAGACGAGGCTCGTACAAACGCTTTGCGCGCCGAGGCTATGCTCATCATGATCTCCATTATCCGCGTTGGTCAATCACAATTCGTCAAAGCTCCCATTGATGAAGACTCTGTCGACAGAATCATGTCTTGTGTGCGGTCTCTGGCGGAATTCGCTCAGAACAAGGATCTCGAGACTGTGTTCTTGGACGATACACGAAAGGCCTTCCGCGCGATGGTTCAAGTCGAAGAGAAGAAGCGTGCCGCAAAGGAGGCAATCGAGAAGGCTAAGACTGCGTTCAAGTTGATGATGTGGTCGCCATCAGACAGTTGGCGAAGAAGAATGCTGGTGACGGAACAGATGAGATCGAGCTTGATCTTGAGAAAGCAACCGGGGGCGAATCAACTGTCGATGATTTGACATCGAAATTAAGCCGTGTTGTTCAACTCACAGGATTCTCGGATCCAGTCTACGCGGAGGCATATGTTAAAGTTCATCAGTTCGATATTGTCCTCGATGTACTGCTGGTAAACCAAACCACAGAAACGCTTCAAAATCTTTCCGTCGAATTCGCCACGCTAGGCGATCTAAAGGTTGTGGAGCGACCAACCACGCAAAATCTTGGACCTCACGACTTCCAAAACGTTCAATCTACCATCAAGGTCTCCTCAACAGATACGGGTGTCATTTTTGGAAATGTTGTGTATGATGGTGCGAGCTCGACAGAGAACAATGTGGTTATCCTTAATGATGTTCACGTCGATATCATGGATTATATCCAACCTGCAGTGTGCACCGAAACCCAATTCCGAACAATGTGGACCGAATTCGAGTGGGAGAACAAGGTGAACATCAACTCAAAGGCCAAGTCATTACGCGATTTCCTCACGCAATTGATGGCCAGTACAAATATGAGCTGTCTGACACCGGAGGCATCACTGAAGGGCGATTGTCAATTTTTGAGTGCGAACTTATATGCGCGAAGTGTTTTTGGTAAGTTTGCAACTCTGGCTTCTCGGACAATTGTCTAACAATTCTTTTAGGCGAGGATGCACTTGCAAACTTGAGCATCGAGAAAGAGGGAGAGGATGGGCCAGTGACAGGATTTGTCCGAATTCGAAGCAGGTCACAAGGTCTAGCGCTCAGCCTCGGGTCGTTGAAAGGATTGAACAAGGTTGGAGAAATCGCTTGATGTTGTGAAGACTGATGACAGTGCAATGATGTCCGACGTTGCAGGCCTCGTATAGGTGGATGACTCTCGGACTGGCTGGCACACTTCGTAATGAACTATGAACGAGCGTTCAGAGCGGCGCTGATGGAAAGCAAGGGCGTCAAATCTTGTGTTGAAGTTGAGTGCGACAAAGCCCACTGGTTAATGCGACTGGGGCAGAAAAGCGCAAAAAGGAGTTTATCTAGATCCTGACCAAAGGGGGCATTGCAAAATATAAACATTGATCTCCTGATACGGTACTGTAAACCTAAATTATCTGCTTCTTTGTCTGTATGGGTGTGCCTGCATAGAGGCGTTCTTTTAAGGTACGCTGCATGTGACAAAGGGAGAAGGGGAAGGGGTCCTTTTATATGCCTAGGTAATGTGTAGATGCTGATTTGACAGTAAAGCCGGGGCATTACACCGAAACCGAAGGCCCCTCACTTTACTGTAACACCAAAACTGAACTGTAATCAATAAAAAATGATGCTGTCGTCTGACTACAACTGCGGTCAAATTACCAGTTCCGGCAAGTAAAAGTACTTCGAAAATACAAAGTAGAAATAAAACCGGATTTCCTTGTGATACTTGTTCCTGCACTGGACTGTGCTGGGGACCACATGCTCTCGGCTTCTCCACACCCGGCAGTACATTACTGGCTTTACTTGACAACTTCAACCTCTACAACCACAACAATTGTTCCTACCCAGGGAGAGAACTGACCACCAGGCAGGGCATGTTTTGCTAGACGTCTATGAATATGGCCGCGACAACAGACAACCCCTTTGTGGACCCCATCAACCCCTCGTTTGACGGTGGGAGAAGTGCTGGGAATTCCTTTGCCGTCGACTCTACGCTGGCTGTAGGACGCAATGCTTCTCTCACGCTGGGGACGGACTCTTTGATTGTATTGGGTAGGCTATTCGGTGCTTCCTCCTACAACGATACATGTTGCTAACAGCGATGTGTCTACAGATGAGCAATTCGAGAAAAGAGACCGGAGTAATTGCTGCGGTCTTTGGCCCTCAGGTACTTACTTAATCCATGATGATGGGGTTTAGATATATGGGAGATATATATTGATCAAACTATAGGAACCGCAAATACCCGCGCCATCCCCTTCTACAACATCCTCTGGGCCGCCCTCGCCGACTCCACCCTCACAATCTCCTATGCCTCCCCCTCCGCCAGATCCCGCGTCCAACCCGCAATGTTGTCCTACCCTTTTGAATACCAGGCCGTCGAACTGGTCAACAAATGGGTCTCCAAACTGCTCGACCGCTCCTACGGCGAATCCCAGAAACAGAAACGCGCCAAAGTCCTAGTAAACCCACATGCCGGCAAGGGCAGCGCGGAAAAGTGGTATAAGAGGGATGTAGAGCCGCTTCTGAGGGCGAGTAAATGCGATATCGATATGGTGAAGACGAGGCATGGCGGGGAGGCGGTGGAGATTTGCGAGAAACTTGATATCGAGGCCTTCGACATGGTGGTTGCTTGTTCGGGGGACGGACTGGCGCATGAGGTGTTCAATGGACTGGGCCGACGGGCTGATGCGAAGAAGGCGCTGAGCAAGATTGCGGTTACGCATGTACCGTGTGGCAGCGGGAATGCAATGAGTTGTAATCTCAGCGGAACGGATAGTCCGAGTTTGGCGACGCTGGCTATTATCAAGGGGATTCCGACGCCGCTGGACTTGATCAGTATTACGCAGGGGGAGACGAGGACGCTGAGCTTTCTCAGCCAGAGCGTGGGCATCGTGGCCGAAAGTGATCTGGCGACGGAACATCTCAGGTGGATGGGCGCAATGCGGTTTAACTACGGCTTCCTGTCGAGACTAGTGGGGAAAACGGTGTATCCGTGTGATCTCGCTGTCAAGGTTGCGATTGAAGGCAAGGAAGAGATCAAGGAGCATTATAAGAGGGAGAAGGGGAATCATGAGCCGCCGAGTGAGAGGAGGGGTTATAGGAGCTTGATGGAAGATGATGCGAGTTCGAGTAGTGGATATGATGAAGGGCTCCCTGCGCTGAGATACGGGACGATCAATGATAAATTGCCAGAGGGATGGGAGTTGGTGCCTTATGATAAATTGGGGAATTTTTATTGCGGGAATGTAAGTATCCCCATCGATTTCCTAGGGGTTCCTTCTTACTAATGGCATTCACTGTAGATGGCATACATGGCCTCAGACGCCAACTTCTTCTCCCCCGCTCTCCCAAATGACGGCTTCATGGATCTTGTGTGCATAAACGGTGACATCTCCCGCCTAGCAGCCATCCAGATGATGCTGGCCGTCGAATCCAACAAACTGTTCAGCAACCCGGGTGTCTCATATCGGAAAGTGCTCGGCTACAGGATCATCCCCAAGAACCAGCCAGATGGCTACATCAGTATCGATGGGGAGAGAGTCCCTTTCGCGCCCTTTCAAGCAGAGGTGCACAAGGGGCTAGGCACTGTGTTGAGTAAGAGTGGCCATATGTATGAAGCGCCTGGGCCGCTGTAGGATGTGTTTTGCTTTTGCTGTTTGTATGCATGCATGCATTAATCTTTGACCTTTGATCTGATCTTGAGGGCAGCGAATAGAGGCGTTATTTTCTGTGCATTGTTCTAATAGGGCGGTGGGAAGAAAGAAACACAAGTATATTCTTGCGACGAGATACCCAGATATCAGGTGGTCGGCCCGGCTTGGTTTAGATAAGATGAGCGGTTTGAAAAAATCTGTATATTTGCTAGGAAACCAAAATGTAATATTGAACTGAATTGATTGATCCGGAACGCCTTGCTATGCTTTCCCCACTTTCCTCTTCGTTCTTGAAAACGTAATTTCCCTTGCACCTAATGCAACGCAGCTTGAATTTACTTAATCTTCAATCCCACCCCACTCCTCCTCTCCCCCATCACCATCCTTCCCCTCCACAGCCACCTTTTCATTCCCAGGTAACCGCTCATCAGCCAACGCCTCCCTCGCCTTTACCCTAACAGCCTTAACCGGACACCCCTCCGCCAACCTCCTCAACGGCCCCAACAGCACACCCACCGGCGCTCCACTGCCCTCCTCCAGGGCTCCCACACGCTCCAACTCATCGACAAAAACATCCACGCAGTGAAACCTAACCCCGTTCGCAACCTTCATATCCCCCACATTAAACGCCACCTCCTCCCACACCGCAGTCACCTCTCCCACCATCCCCTCCTGCCACGCGCCATCTCTCAACACCGCCAACGTAGCCCCGATGTAGCGGCGCGTGAGCAGCAGGAACTTCTCCATGCGCAGCACGTCGATGCCGCCCCATTCGCGGGACATGGTGATCCAGAAGGCGCGCAGGAACGGTGTTAGAGTAGTGGATGGGAGGATGGTGAGGAGGGAGGCCAGGGAGGTGGCGAGGTGTTGTTGGGGGGAGCGGACGGTCGCACATCCACATGCTGTAGAAGAGGCCTTTGTGCAGTTTTAGGAGCTCGATGGGCGGGAGGGTGCGGGTTGTGGAGGATAGGTAAGCGCGGAGGGATAGGAGGGCTTTGTCGCGTGTTGGACGGTCTGGGGGTGGTTAGCATGGGGGGGTTCTTGGGTTGGGTGGAGGGGGAGGGGAGAAAGTACCATTTGCGGCTAGTTGTTTTATGAAGGGCGTTTGTTGGATTGAGGAGTCGTCCATTTTAAGGGATAGGTGAGGCGAGTTGACTACACTCTGGGCGACAGGGCGTAGATATCCCGATGTAGACACGGACTGTGATTGTAAGACTGTATTTTTGGATATTGTAGGTAGAGAGTGATCTGATGGCGGGGTTTATTTCGAGGAAGGGAAGAAAGGAAAAATAATTTTTGGATAAAGGTCCGTGCACGCGCAAGGCTGGAAATCAGCCGGCGCTAGTTGTAGTGGAGTGGAGACGACGGGGTGGTTTTGTCTCATAAGGTAGCTTTGAGATGCTCTCCCTCGTGCTAATTCTTTGATTGTGGATATTTAGGTCCTTGGGCGAATAGGTATCAAGGTATTAAAAGCGTTAGGATCTCTTAATACTTGCTGCCTTATATGATAAGACCTCCTTTCTATCGGCTTAAAATTGGTTATTATCTAACTTTAGGTAAGAATCCTATTTAGCTACTTATTATAAAATGCGCAGCAAACTCGCTTTATTCTAATATCAGAGATTAGTGAAGTAGAGGATTGATTTCATTCTTTTGAATTTTGAGAATCTTTCAAACTATCCTCTGTTTATAACCCCGCAATTCCAAAATCGGGTTGTTCGGATATCATCCCCACGCAAAATATTGATAGCACTATATCCGCGAGACCTGACTCTTCATCTCAGTACTCAAATATCTAATACCAGATTCGATTTCACAAAGGTTGGCGGAAAACAACTTTTCCAAATCTCGAGATGTCCTGATACTTCGCATCATTGCGTGCGAGATCTGGGGATGCAGGGCCCCTGACTGCTTGAGGCTGAAGGCTCTACCGCCGAAATTGAGTTGTGAACCCTGCCTGGTAATAGAACTTGCATCGCAGGGTCTTAGGTCGACGATCCAAGTCCGGAAGCAGGCTGCATCTGGGCATGTGTCCTATTGAGCAAGGGAATACCGCTCCCTTGATCCACTCCTGAACTAGAAGAATTTGGATGCTGTCCTGAAGATGTGTTATGTATAGGCAATGTAAAACCTTGAGTTTGACCAGATCGTTTCTTTCGGCAAAACAATTTAGAATGCTTGATCGATTTGAAGTTTTTGGCTACTAGGGTAGATAAATTCAGTTGTTTTCTTGGCAGGGATAATTTACTTTGATTCACAATGGAACTCCTTTACACAAACATGAAGGAACGACGTTACCACAGGGGCCCAAATGAAGAGGGAAAGAATCTGTCCATACGAAAACCGAACCAGATCCGAGCTCCCTCCGACCTCTTGTTCAAGGTTGCGCCACTGCGAAAGAGTCATCAGCCCAATGCACATGTTCATCCAATGCATATTGAATATGCATATCTCAGCCTTGAAAACATATTCTGAGGTAGTTTCGGTATCCATCTTGCTCGGGTGCATTTGTGTCGCGGCTGCAATAGCCCCGGCCAAATTGCCTTTACCCATAGGAGAATGAAGCCGGAAATGAAGAAATAAACAATTGTTGCTATTTGGAACGACGCCCCTAAAGCCTTTAGTAGATACGAAGACGAATTGATCCTTATGGCAGCAACAACACACAGAAGATCCGACGGGCTAGCCAAGCTGTTGATCTGTTTGTAAGCTAACCACGACGTTACCATCATAGCCAGCATACAAATAAAGAACAAAATTCCAAAAAAGCTTGGACGAGTATGGCTACGGGGTAGTGCCGCTACAGCAATCAAGCCACTTCCCATCGAGTAGCTCGCTGACTGCGATATCAGCATATCGTAGAAATTATTATCATTATGGCCTTCCACAAGAATTGCTACTAGTAGGGACAAGACAAAGAACAAGGCTTCTTCAAGAAAGATATCCGTTACTTCGGAGAATCGACCCAGCTTAGGAGACCCCTTGATAGATTTATTGCCGATTGGTGAAGGACCATTGCTAGCATTGTCTTCTTTTGCTTGCTTCGGATTCTTTCGGGTCTTCCAATTATGCCAGCAACTGCTCACAATGATTATTGTTACGAGGCATGCCTCGATGACATATGATGCGAACATCTGGGCGCGATCAATCAGTACTGGAACATTAAATGATGAGACTTCTGAAATCTTGAAAATAAGCTTACGCCTATCCCAGCCAGGTCAGTATTTACCTGCACGTATGGAGTGCATGCTTCTTGCAGCCATTGATTGTTTGCTTCTTTCAACCAACCGGCAACTAATTGGGCCTCTGGAGTGAGTGGAATGATTGGCCATTTGGGGGCACATAATCAAATTCATCTCGGGTCGCCACCAATTGGTACCATTCCCAAAGTTCAATTTCCGAGATATTTTGGTATTTCTGGGGCATGTTGTCTCTGAAGGCAGCGTAAGTGTTGTTTCCAAAATAGTAGTTAAACAAAGTGCTACAATTTTTGGTGAGAGGTAGGTTGAAAATGCTGGGGATTTGCTGCGCAAGTGCTGGCGCGAGGCAGTTATACTCTATAACTCAGCCAACAACTAGAACATTTTGGAGCTCGACTGTCATCTCATTTGTGCCGTTTGGCAGAACCGTCGTATTGTATATGAGATCGGTATACGAGGCGATACTAGAATCCTCTAAAAGAGTACTGTTTGGACTAATCCACGTCCTCTCAAAATCGATATCAATTGCGTCATTTGGAGATTCAAAGTCGCTGGGAGTAAGCCAGTCAAGGTGATGGGCGTAGTACCAATCTTTTGCGATACTGCAGTTGGCTGTGATATTTTCCGGATAAAAAGCCATTTCGAAATCAGAAACTGCGCCGAGCATAGAGCTCAATACATCAGCAGTAGAAGAAGACAACGCCATGTTAACATGAGGTTAATTTCCCTCCGTGGGACTGATCTAAGAACTGTTCTTGCAGCAGGCACACTGAACGGATGTGAACGGCGTCTTTATAGCTGGTTATGAAAGTTGATAGATATTACCGGACTCTTCAAGTGTGTAAGTTGAGGGCCAAAAACTCACACATTTCGATGACGGGGTTGCTGACCTTTTGCACCATGTCACAAGCATTGCTTCCTGTGCTGTCTTTGGCAACGAGGCTCTTTGGGCTTGCTATGAATGGTGTGTAGGTGTAAGTTCACATGGTCGAGGTCGTACTCAAGGGCCAATAACAGGAGACCACGTTCGAACCAGCCTCAATAAATGCAATTGCATCTTGGCTCGACAATACAAAAGGAATAATATGGGATTATCGTAATGTCGAGTTCAAGGTGTGGTTGCACTATGAGAAGTGTGGCAGCAGCATGCTACCTATACAGCCGTGTAGGCCCGAGGCCCCACAGGGCCACAGGTTCCTCAAACGGTCAAACCGTATAGGATTATTATTTAGGGACATAAACACACGGATGGTTCACCAGGTAGAGGTAGAGGTGCGACGGTAGCGCCTCCCGAATGGATATGCGAAAAGCGACACCTGAACAGACCTGGTGTAGAATTTTGCATAAAATTGCCGTGAAACCTTCCGCTTGTGGTGTCTTATACTTGTGAAACCCTTGTAGCCAGCAGTACATCCGTAAATCCTGAAGACCTAATTCCTGTCCCCACAAAAAGCTCAGCTTCGCCAGGAAATTTCTGCTCCCACTGTCAGCTTCATCTTCAAAGGCTGTACTTGCAACGCTGACTTGCAGTATAGGGTTGGTTGAAATTTATCATCTGTAAGCCAATTTCTACAGCCTGTAGCTAGGGTCATAGCGAACAAAGAAAGCGACACTCGTTATCATCGCCTTTAATCCAGCCCGGGGGCATGTTGTGAATTCAGTGCCCTATTTCTAGTTGACCGCGAGCCCCTATACCTTAGCTTAGTCTCCACTTTGATTTAGCGAGCCCCGTACTATTCTTTAGGGCTTTTTAAAGGTTAAACCATCTGAGGCATAACGTGGAAGCAAGTCCAAAAGGGTCTGAGGGTGTAGCTAGCTATTGGCGCTTAATCACTAGTGCAGATAGCGTTGGCTTGGGCTTCTCCGGCATCAAGTTTAGAACTTAGGGAGTGCATTTCGCTCACGCGATTCTTACTTATTCAATGGGCATTTTTTCCTAGCTTTTAATCTGGTGTCCCTTTCTCTTGTACAATGTGTCGCTTTTATCATTTAGTGCAATGGAAACTGAAGAATAGAAGTAGCATTGTTCCTGAATTACGACTCTTGAACAAGGATTGTAATAATTTTGACGAATTAGGAACTACTTGAGCTTATCGTGAGGATACCTTCCGTATCAGGAAACCATGATCTACGTAACGTTATGATCGACATCCAATTTGCGTCAACCGGTATCCCAGATCCATTTTAATACTTGTTCTGTTAAATCTGCGTACCGCGCAGCTTTCGCTATTTTCTACATCTCTGTTTTATGGCAGTGTGATTTCTCCAATTTGAGAAGGCGTTCCGCTCTGAACGCCCACGATGCGTACTTCCTCTGTCTTTACCGTTTCTTGTACGTTACTGGTATCTTATATCCATAATGTTGCAGCTGCTCTCAATTGTTCCAAGGCCGCGTTTGTTCCCCATCTTCCAGCAAATACCACAATACTCTCAGCTACAGTAGTTGCAAGTAATGGTTCTTATGGTGGAGGGAGTCAAGATAAAGATTTTCCCAAGAGTGCGACGGGACTACCTGCACTATGTGCCGTCCAATTACATGTCAATCAGGAACACAGCTCATACATGGTCGGGGTCTTCTTGCCCTCTAACGCCACGTACAATGGACGCTTCATGACAACTGGTAATACTGGGTTTGGTGGCGGGATCAACTGGCCTGCTATGGGGACTTTCGTACAGTACGGCTTTGCTTCAATGTCCACAGGCTCTGGGCACAACTCCGGCGCAGGAGATGCTAGTTGGGCTATAAACAACACTGAAGCTCTCACCGATTGGGGATATCGTGCGATGCACGGTTCTGTTGTGGTGGCGAAAGAGATCGTAGCAGCCTATTATGGTAGCTCGGCACAATATTCTTACTATTCGGCATGTTCTGGCGGAGGTCGACAGGGCCTCAAGGAAGTTCAGCTCTACCCCGAAGACTTTGATGGTGTCGTTGCTGGCTCTCCTCCTTGGTGGCTCACGCATTTACACACCTGGGTGGTTCAGATCGGCATGTGGAATCTCCCCGAGTCAGGCAAGAACCGTATCCCTCCATACATGTTTCTCCCAATCAAGCATGAAATATACCGGCAATGTGACCCGCAAGACGGTCAAACAGATGGTATCATCAGCGACCCTTACTCCTGCAACTTCTCTTCGGCCGCTCTCGCATGCTCCAGCACAAACTCAACCAACTGTCTGCATCCTGCGGCATTGGATACCCTAAACACCCTCTACAGCGACTGGCGCGATCCGTCCGGCAATTTTCTTTTCCCACCTTTCGCGCTGGGCGCCGACTATTCTGGGTTGACGAAATCGACATCTGCACCAAGCGGTTTCGGCACCGATTTCGTTGCTGACATGGTCATGAATGATGCTAATTGGAACTGGACTACGTTTAACACGTCAATTGTAGAAAAGGCAGATCGATTAAATCCTGGCGGTGCCAACGCCGATGACTTCGACCTCTCGTCCTTCCAGAGCCGCGGCGGCAAGCTGATCCATTATCATGGGCTAAGCGACTCACTTATCCCCGCCGGATCCAGTATCTTATTCCGCGAAAAAGTTGCAGAGGCCATGAGAAGCACTAGCCTGGATGACTTCTATCGCATGTTCTTGATTCCTGGAATGGGACACTGTCGAAACAGCGACCTTGCGCCTTGGTACATTGCAGGTGGTGGGCAGACTATTGCTAGCTCGTCGCACAGCGTGCCGGGATTCAGTGATGCGCAGCATGATGTTGTTCTTGCTATTATGGATTGGGTTGAGAAGGGCGACGCGCCGGACTCGCTGATCGCTACTAAGTTCCTGGATGATAAAGACAGCACAAAAGTTGTCAACCAGAGACCAATATGTGCGTATCCAAGCCAGGCGCAGTATGTGGGCTCAGGAAACATGAATGAATCGTCGAATTGGGCGTGCCAAGCTGGAAAGTCAATTAGCATTCCCGAAGCGAAGTTGGGACATTGAAAAAAGAGGGAGTAACGAGTGGAAAGTAAATAACGCGGACCTGGCTGTAACAGTAGATATTCACATGGCGTTTAGGTGTTTATGAGGGAAAGGATAGTTAACTTAAGAGAACATATAATGTAGCTTTGAAGAAGTTATCAAACCCCATAGCTGCGCCCCTAACCCCTTTTCTAGTAAGCGAGGACTAATAGGCCAGTGGCGACGGCTCTACCGAAAATAAAGCATACCATTATACCCTTTAAAGTCTATGAAACTTGTACTTGTGAACATTTATACATGTTTTCCCGTCAGTCATTTACGGCCATGCAGCATCCCACTTATGTTGCGTATTCGGCAAGGACGTTGGATCACACTCAACCTGATTGGTTGATATTTCTCCACCGTTCCCCTCTTTCAAGCTTCACCCGCAGCGGCGCAGTGAGGGGAAACTGATACTTCTTAAAACCCCAACTTCCAGAAACTGAATAGCGAGCTTTTCTAATTATATGATCCATAAAGCAATGCAATAACTTTTCCCCGCTGTACATAGTAGACAAAAGATGAAATTCATCTGGATCCACCAGTATTTCATTTAAAGTTTAGTGATTATTTAGTCCTCAAAACAGGAAATCTGATTAGTGTTTAGTGCAATGTACAATTTTTTAACCTGAACCTACGTTTCTCGCTATTTTTGTGATTTACAATAATTCTGTATTCACAAATCTTGGGCGTTAGTAATGAACAATGAGACTCAATGCAACGAAGGTGGAGAAGCATGTTTACGGAGTAGTAAAAGCAATTTATCAAAGTCTACCCTCCAATGAGATTGAAGGGAAGCCCTTTAATATGGAGCTTACGTCAAAAATAAACGCTAGTGCTCAAATGGCCCTAAAACAGAAGCTCGGCTCGAAGACAGTTAATATGAAGGTCAGCCAAAAGAGGAATTGCTTTGGGTGATCCTCCAGAATGAAGGTATTCCCTGATAGTGGGCACACTAATAGCGTGCTGTTTAACCCCACGACTAAATTCCAATGTTCAACAAACTCTTTTGACTTAAGACACCCAGTAGAAGTTCGTTTTTCCTAAACTAACCATTCAAGATGAGGTTGTCAATTCCACTCCTCACGTCCACCTTATTTACAGCGGGCTGGGCACAAGATGCGCTCACTCAACTAGACAAGCAGAGGTTGTATGATCGAATGTTCCAGACAGCTCTCCGAGGCTCTCGTCTACGTGAGTTCTCAATTCACATCCATTGCCCATTAAATTTATACTGACCCTCTATTTCTCTCGATTGTAGCTGGCAGCGATCAGCAAAACTCAATGCTCGATTCCGTAGCCGGTGCAATGCACGTCGCCGGTCTAACGACGAGTACTCTGAATTATACATTCTTGAGGTAAAGTCTACGAAGTATCACTACTATAGAAAAAAACTTACATGAGCCTAGATGGGACCCACGATGGTGGAGTATCGAAGCAACCCTGAATAACGGCACCCAACTTGGATTTCCTACAACTGGTTACTATCCTTATTCTGGAGATTCGGGCGCGGTTGGGATCACTGGCAAAGTCCATGATGCGGGATCTTACGCTGTAAATCCAAATACAGAGAAGGCTGTCTTCAGCAGTCTTGACTTAAAGAACCTGCAGAAAGGGACGATCGCATTTTTTGACAACCCAACTGTGACAAAGAACTATAGCTTGCCGAATTATGGTGTATTTGGGTCAGTGGAGACTTACTCCAAGAATAATTAAGGCGAATTATATAAGCTGACTTCTAGAAAAGTACCTCGCGCAACATCACAAAGCAGGATATCCCTGAAGTAAGCATTAGCCTTTTAGAAACCATGTTCCTGATTGATTGACACTTCCATTTAGCTTGGCAACTTGACCAATCCCCACTGGATATCTGCCAAGTCGCTTAATTTCACAAGTAAGCCCCTATTCTTGCTCTACGACCTTCTTTCGACATTCATATTGACATCATTCCCTTACAGCCATGAACGATCTCAATGTGTCAGCCGCCATCCTCTCCTGGACTGACACTTCAGACGAAAATGCAGCTCTTCAATGGCTTCCTTCTTCAGCCCCCAAGGACAACTTGACCAATAAGTGCCCCACGCTTTATGTGGGCAATTCGACGGGAGAGAGCATTCGTTCACTCATCAGCGGGGGTGAGATTGATACTATAAGAGTAGTTCTCGATGCACCCAGCTCACAGGCGCCTACTTACACGCTGATCAGTCATCTTGAGGGTCAGAAAAATGCTACGGACACCATTCTGCTTTACACTCATAGTCAGTGCCTGCGCGACTCGTATATCTGACTTCAGCTAATTGGTTTAGGTGACGGGCCATCGATTATTGAGGAGAATGGTCAGTCAATATATACCACTCGTTCTGAATTCGTGATTCTGTGGCTGACACCTCAAAGGTCCAATCATGATGCTAACTCTCGCTGAATACTTTTCACGCCATCCACTAAGCATAAACCTCGAGTAAGTTTCCATGCTCATCAGAATCTTCGTACTGACTGGTACCCTCAGCTTTGTGATTACAACCGGGCATCTTGGTACGTTATCTTTTTTCCGATATACTTTTCGTTCTATGATCCAGATATATGCTTATACTTCCCATTTTTAGCCACTGGTAAACTCAACGAATCATCGTGGATGACCCAACGTCCAGAACTCATGGCCAATGCCAAAGCCTCGATAAACATGGAGCATCTCGGAGCCATTGAGTGGAAAGACGTCCCAACTCCTTGGGGTCCAGTCTACCAACCCACGGGTCTTCTTGAGCCTATGTGGACAAATGCGTAAGTGTCTGTTCTATCTCCTCGGCTAACCCATGCAAGTAAAAAGATAAGTGCTAAATACCACATAGCAACGCGTCAAGTGCCAGCGATAACTTGCGCCAAGTCTATCTCGAGGCTTTTAATGGCTCTCCTGACTCCCTCCGGATGGCGTTGCTTCAACCACTTGTAGTCAACGGCACGCTTTCGACATGGTATGGTGTGGGTGGATCTAGTACACTGGGATATAGTAATATTCCGACAATTGGGTAAGCTCTCACCCTTATCCCACCCCTCAATATCTGCTAATAAATATGCCCTATTTAGTATTATTCCACAACCTGATTATCTCTGTAAGCTAATTCCTCATTACTCATTGATGAAAATTGCGTTCGGTGGCTTATATTCGTAGGGACTTCAATGATGGACGGTGGATGGTCAAAATACGACCACGAGCAGGCGATTGCGCAACTCGAGGTTTTGATCCGGGTTATCACTACTCTTGATAGACAATATGCCACAGAGAAGTTTGGGATTGTGAAGAAGGATAGTATAAACCGACAGAAGTAAATTACTTGAGCAGCAATAAAACTAGATATAACATACGACTAGGGGTTCATCATAACCATGCATGAACAGCTTCTGACCAGTGTGAACGCTTGAACAGCATATGCTCCGCATAAGCTGCATTGCGAAGTGCAACAAAACCCAAAGGGGAAATCAGATTTCTCGAAGAAAGTGTCATTGGAGGGGACTTAGAGTCATGTGACCTAGTATGGCTGACTAAGCGAAGAGGCTAGTTACATTTCGTAACATATACATGTATAATACCTCACTTTGCCTGCGTAGCAGATCGTGCAGTAAACGCGTCCAGGTCATTTAAGCCCTTCTCTAGTACTTTCTGTTTTTTCTGCAGCTAGGCTTGTTTTGTGACGATGCCAGCATCTCCGGAACCCAAAAGCTCAACCTGCTCATCCGACAGATCCCATGCCACGTCGGGAGAAAACCTAGGGGTAAGTCAGTAACGTCTTAAAAGTTCTTATAGGATAGCTGAGCCTCAATGCAATCTTCCCCGAGGCTGGATTTTCTACATCTTGTTTGAAAAACGACAGGTTTGACTTACACTCCTGGTAGGCGCTGAACAAGACATGTCTCAACAGCCTTTACGCTGATGTCGTCAATGAACTTTTTGAGGGCGAACTAGATTGTTTTAAGCATTGCATATGAAACTAGAGGACTTTAAGGCTGTTTTACCTTATAGTAAGCTGCAGCGATATCAGCAGCAAGCGAGACAGAATACTCTTCCACGTCTGGCCGAGTACCGTCCTTGAGTGTCCGGAGAAGTGGTATCAAGGAGACAGGTGTCAAAGTTGGAGGGTGCTTTGAGGTATACCCACAGGTTGCTAAGGATAAGCGGTCAAACGCCCGGTCATGACGATTGCCTTGGAGTTTTCGAACATTATTTGTGAGGTAGTCGTGATACGTGATCGGATGAATAGCTAGATGCGGTTCGAGCAATTCATCTAGCTTTCCTTTCAGACCCCTCCAAAGTTAGTGCATTGAAGGTTGAATTAGGTCCTTCATCAAGCGGGATCCATTCAGAGCTTGGCAAGTTTCAAACACCTGCGAAGCCTTCACCTCGCTTGGAGGATGTTTATGGATATTGGAGAAGAAATTCTGGCCTCGCCGCTTTTATAGTGTTCTAAAGGTATGATTATTGCAAATGTATCATTGAGTGTATCAGCAAAAATGGACTAGCGAAGTAGAATTGGTAGTAAGTCTATCTGATATTATTCATATGTTCCGCTTTGTTCATGAATCTTAGTATATAATTAAACGAGATTATTCATAAAGGCGGCTTACTCCTAAATATTAGCTTCGATTCATGAGTTTCCCAGATTGACGAGTGAACTGGAACATGTGATTCATGCCAAATGTCCCCAATAACAAACTACCAAGGCGAAATTGATAGTTATGGTAATATCAAGAATTATTCATGACCTATATATGACTAAACTACTCCTCGCATTGCATTCATGCCCTGCTCATTTTTGATTCATACCTCATATATTATTCACGCCTTTTTATTAAGCATCTATAAAAGGATCTAAACTGTGCAACTTCCCAGAAACGAACACACAATCCAACTACCAGACAAAGTCCACATCCCAGCTTATCAACCACACAAACCTTGCGAACACCACCTACACACAAGCAAACCATCATCAAGTACCATCCAAACCCACACCTCAGACAAGAATTCCAACCGCCAAGTAAGAATCCCAACAAACCATCTCTGTCCAAGTCAACTAACCCAAAAAACAAGCACAACCACAATCAAGATGCACTTCCTCACCTTCACCCTCGCTCTATCCCTCCTCCTAACCCTCACTACCGCCCTCCCAGCCGCCTGGACCACAGGCTGTCAATGCTGGAAAGTCGGCAAATTCTGCGACTCGGACTGGAGTCCGAACAGGAACAAAGGTGCAGCTCTCTATGGCGGCTGCGACCCCCACACCCTGTACCAGTGCGACAGTGAAGGAGGATTTGCCACGGCCATTGGTGAGGATAAGAAACAGTGTCCCAAGTGGTAAGAATTAGGCGTCGTCGGATATTTGGAGGGACAGGGGAAAGAAGGAATTCTATGGGAAAGGCGCTAGGGGAGATGGATGTTGTTGGTTCTGAAAGCGATTTAAGTTGCTGGTCTCCTTTTTAGCTGCAGAAAACAAATTATCCTTTTGAAACTACTTATGATGCATGTCTTTGAGGTTATGCTGAATTGTATTGGTGTGGATTATGAATTGTGTGAATAAGGATGTGTCATGTTTGACTCAAAGCAAGGACTGCCTTGAATCACAACAGTCTTTGCTTACAAATTCCGGGCATATGATTATACTTTCTACTTAATCAATGACGCAGGATTAGATAATCAAATCGATATATTTCTCAGATCCTTTGTCGTGAAAGACTGAAAGTTTCCAAGCTCACTATTTACGATATGTATACAAGCTGCTGTTCTGCTGCGGAATGTCATATGCATTGCAGTAGTGCTGTATCTAAGGAGTGAAATGCCCTCTATAGGACGAACTAAAGCCAACAGATCATTTCAAGGAAGTGATAGTATAGGGATGAAGCAGCTGGCCGCGTACTGACTTATAGGAAAATGAATGCGTTGACTGCTTCCTTAGAAAAGAATGAAAGAGAAGTTGTTTAGCACAAGAATTAAGACCTAATAGTCGTCACCTCGACTAATCACCTCTTTTCCACCACTGTGGAGTAGAACCGTCTATAATGCATGGTTAGTCCCAGAAGGTACCGTCGAAGATGGAAGGAGTCCTACATGTTCAAATTGTGCAACATATGAACCCTTCACGTCAACAAGTGGCCCATAAGACTGGACGATTCCATTATCAATCAAATTTCTCAACTATGCACCACTACATTAATAACCGGAAGAAATCAGTCAGTGGATTGTTGAAGCTGCTTACTCCGAGAAGATAGTTTTTCACTCCCAGACGCTCAAGATATCGACGGCAGAAAACTATGGTCCCAAAATTGGCGTCGATGGTTCTGAGAAGAGACTTTGCGGAGGAAAGATGCAGGTTAGCAGCACTGACATCGTCCTGTCGCCCATAGCCATAATTTCCCACCTAGTAGCGTTAAAGAGTTAATTCAAATAAAAGAAAAGAATTGAAGAAATATGCCTACATCGTCGTCCAAGTAGCCTTTACCAGTAGTTCCAAAAGTCTCAATAGCAAACACTTCTCCCTCCTCCATCTTGTCTCGATTCTTATTTTTGACAAAGGGAATTTGTTTACCGCCATGAATATGGTACCGGAGAATATCATGGCCTGTAATGTTTCGCACAGCTTTCACAGGAAAGACCTTTCCGGCAATTTCGACTTCATAGCTTTCCATCACCTCCTGGATCGCAGCGCCGATCTCACTCATTCTTGCATCAACGCCAGCATGCTATTCACATGTCAGTTTCGTAATTTCCGATCTAACATCGCACTCCCAAGGAAAGAGACGTACCGTAATGCCAGTGTTGGTTGCCGCTCTTACAGCAGCAAGAAGAGGGTCGTATGTGGGGTCAAATGCAACTGTGAAAGCGGAGTCGACAATGCGTCCATTGACATGCACACCAAAATCCACTTTCAAGACATCACTCTTCTGCAAAATAACATCTTTTCCGCCAGGATTCGGTGTCCAATGGGCCGCAATGTTGTTTAAGCACAGCCCAGTAGGAAATCCCATGCTCGCTTTCAAGCTATCACCAACTTCAAGTCCCTGATGGCCAGAGAGTGCACGAATTCCATCCTCAATACCCTCAGCTATAGTCAAAAGACTTGCTCCGGGATAAATGAGCTCTTTTTGGGCATACTGGCGAACCTGACGATGAATCTCGGCTGCCTGGCGATAATCGGTGAGAAAACCTTCGTCCCAGAGACGAGAATTGTAACGCGACTCTTCATCTGTAGTGCGAGACAGATTGTCGTACGGTACGAATTCTCCTGCGGGATACCCAGATGGGAAGAGACGTGAGATCCGCACACGTGGTGGGCTCGTTTGCTTGAGCTCCATTGCCGGAGGAGTTCCGGTTTTGGACTTCTTCTTCTTCTTGGATCTTTTGCGTTTCTTCTTCTTTTCTATAAAGAAGCAGGCAGTCAGTCGTTAGGATATTACTCAATTGAGGCGTTGATGGATAGGATATCCGCATGTGAGATTTACACGTACCAGCATTAGAAACGGAGGGGTTCATCCCGGCCTCTTGGTTTGCATCATCATCATCCTCATCACTGACAATCCCACGATCCAAATCGGCAAAGCTGGAGCCTCGTTGAGAGACTTCTGGATCAGGATTGGTCGGCTTGAGCCCGTTGGAGTTGGAGCCTGGAGTGGAAGGTTAGGTGAGATTTTTCAATGAGATATGAGAAACATGAGAAACTTACCATCCGGAATCTGCTGGTATTCTTCGGGGGTCTTTGATCCCATCTTGTGGTCTCAAAGTTCAATATTGGCATGAATGATTGCAGAAATTCTATGAATACTTTCGGGAAAGAAGAAAAACGGAAGATGAAGCTCGAAGTTGCGCCTTTCAGTTGACAGCTTACTAATAGATTATTAATATTCCCTGCCGCAGTAAGAAAGGGCGATTTTCCTTTTCATAGTCTACGATCAATAGTAATCTTACTAAAGTATATGGGTCCTTCAAAGGCATATAACTCCCGCAATTATAGTCAGGGTGAACTTTTATGTTAATACCCCCCAAAAGTATATATTGAAAAGTCACCATCACGTGGTGCACTCTCCTATCTACCTAATTGACGCGCGTTGGAACCGAAATCCTTCACCGAAACACCTTTTCAGAAAGACCTCGATTTAGAGTATCCCAGCTCATCTCCCGCTTACTTGAAATTTACATCTCCCATCTAGGTTCATCATCACAATCAAACACTTCCTTCATTCCTAAAACCCCTCGGTACCCCAACCAACCCACCTTTGACAAACGGATCCAACATCCATCCTATACCTCCTACTAAAAATGGCCTCCTCCCAACAAGAACAAACCCTCTTCCCCTCTACCCTCATCCCCCCAAAAGCGCAAGAAAATCTTCCTCAAAACATCCTAATCCGCCCCCTCCAACGAACAGACTTCCAGCGCGGGCACCTAGCCGTGCTCGCCCACCTCGCACCAGTGGGCGACACGCAAGAAGAAATGTGGGTTGAGCAATTCGAATGGATGAAGCGATGCAACGGCACCTATTATGTAGTCGTGCTTGTAGACGAGAGCAGAGATGTTATTGTAGGGACTGGGACGCTGATGTTGGAGAGGAAGTTGTAAGTTCCCCTTTTCGCTGGTGCAAGATGGATAGATAGACATATTTCTCGATATGGAGTTAAAGAAAGCTTTACTTCAGTTATCTCGAGGGGGACTGTAAACAGTATCGCGTTTATCCGTATGCTCTGCTAATCAAGTATCACAGTATGCTCAACCTAGCAAAACAAGGCCACATCAAAGACGTAGTCATAACAGCGTCCCAGCAAGGCAAAGGACTAGGCGCCAAACTTATCCAAGCGCTAGATCTCATCGGAGAAGGATTGGGGTGTTATAAGGTATGCATGCATACTCCATATATTCTAGCCATCTCATGTCTCTCGAAAAGAAAACAAATGGCAAAGAGAAGAAGGAAACCTCAATGCCGCTAATCATTCTATCCATTTTGAATTTATACATGATTACGCGCGTACTAATAGAATCGAATAACTCAGACAATCCTAGATTGCGAACCAAAAAACGAGCCGTTTTATCGAAAATGTGGATATGAACGGATGGGTATAGACATGCAGCACTGTTATGAGAAAACGGCATCATCTCATGCCGTTTAGTTGTGTGACAATGTTGTGAACGAAAATAGAAAGGGGTATAGAATTCAGTACGGAGAACTTGGTTGCGCTTGTGTGATAGATAGATCGGGCTTGATTAAGTCTCCTAAATCTACATTTAAATCGAAATAAAACGAAAAAAACCACGAGCTAAGGTAACTAACTAGATCCATGAATGAATAAAAGACCATGCCCGGGGACCAAGCCACCTAGCCATCAATCAAATTCCCTAAAACCCAACCCACTAAATATAAAACCACTCATCCCTTTACCTTCCATAATCCTCACTCACTCACACCTCCATCCAACCCCCCCTCTCAAGAATCCCAAATCGCCCCATACGCCGGGATCCCCCTACTCTCCATAGCATAAACGATCATTCTCGTCAACTTCTTATTGCTAATAACACACACCGCCTCCGCATCACTCTCCCTCAACAGCCGATAGCTAATCTCCACCATATTCGGGCGCCCCTTCGTCTTCGTATCATGAATCACAGCCCTCGCATCCGCATCCCGAATCGCACTTATAATCTCAGCCCCGAAATTTGATTCCGGAGATGGTGTCGACCAGAAAATACGCGCAGGCACTTTCTTCGCGTAGATAACTGGCAAGCAGGGCCCAATCCCTGAGCCGGTGGCTACGAGCACGATGGACTTAAATAGAGGCGCGATGCGTAGCACGCCACAGGCGGGAATTCCACGCACCCAAAGCTTGGTTGGCGCGAGTTTTATCTGGCGGGACGTCCAGTCGCCGGCGTTGGAAACGAGGAGCGAGAAGCCTTTCGAGTTCGGCTTGGCGATCGTGGCAAAGGCGTGCCATTCGAGGAGGGGACGCTCGGAGATGCGGACGGCGGTGCCAACGACGGCGTTTGTGTGCGTGAAGTAGAGACGGACCGCGTGGGGAGACAGCACGTCTGGCGTTACTGTGACTTTGCGGAGACGGGCCCAGTTGATGATGATGCTGCCCGTGGCGATGGTGAGGAGCCAGATCCCAGGGCTATGAAGCAGAGCGTGGCCGAGACGCGATTTCCCCGTTCTCTCCCAGGCGAAGAGTACGGTCTGCACCCAGAAGAGCGCCAGGGCTAGCCAGCCGGCAAAACGGTGCACCATCTCGAAGTGGTTGTGGAACTGAGCACGGTAGGTTGGATGGGCGAGCGCGAGTATGCTACAGAGCAATCCGACAAGTGCGTAGCTAACGACGAGAGCAGCGGGGCACGATCCGCGGATTGTAGCGGTAATTGTAAAAGCCAACAGCCAGAATGTTGATGCAACACCAAGACCGCTGTGAAGACCACCAATGTGGTATATTTTAGCGCAGTTCCGTCGAATAAACATAGGAGCTGATGTTGGGACTGAGCATGCGATAGTAAATAAGAAGTTGATAACATAGTCTTGGCGGAACAAGACTGAAGCAGCCAGGTTTGCTGCTATCGCTGTGGCTAGATGATCCAACTTCGGCCCTCCTCGTTCTGTTAGCATCACAATTAACAGTATCAGGTTGATAATGAAGACAACCGAGAATAACCTTCGGTAGAGCGAGAATGTTCGGTGACGAAGCGCCCTCCAGCCATGAAGGCCCTTCTTTTCCGGAAGTGTGTATCGCACAAGGGACAGACTCGACTTCTCGGCGTCAGAGATAGGTGAAGAGCTACCGGATGCTATCTTCATCAAAGCATTTTTGGGACAATCTAAGATTCCAACTGCCTCCACTTTGCTAGCGTAGTCATCTGTCAAAGGTCTTGTGATTGAAGCAAGTAGGGCCATCCTATCTATCTTGCCGTTTGGTGTAAGAGGCAACGTGACTCTGGAGGCCCATTTCTGAGGCACTGCGTAATATGGTTGATACTTTTCGACAACAGCTTTCACTGCTAGTTCGTTGATATCCGATGACCCCGAGTAGAATCCCCATAAGACTTTCTCGTGAAGTATTGCACATCCTCTTGTGACGCCAGGAGCTTTCTGGAGTGCGTTAGGTGACCGTATAGAGTGTTTCCTCGGCGTTTCAACTTACCTCAATGGCAGCAGATACTCCATCAAGCTCTACTCGAAATCCCTGTGCATGATTAGAACTCGAGCGCAAAAGATTCTAGTTGTATGAAATACCATTATTTTCACTTGGTGGTCTATTCGGCCACGATGCTCCAGAGTTCCATCTTCATTCCACCGCCCAAGATCACCAGTATTGAACATAAAGGATCTAGAATACTGTGAGTATAATCCCACCGGAATATGGGAACCTCGCCTTAATTACCCATCAGTCTCGAATTTGTCATACTTGAATTTCTTAGCCATGAGTTCTGGCGAGTCGACATAGCCTCTGGAAACACAACGACCGGCGGCCCACATTACACCAACACTCCCCATCGGGAGCGGATTCTCATCATCGTCCAAAATATATACGTTAGTATTAGGCACTGGCTTTCCTATGCAGAGCTTTTCGCCCCGTATGTGCTGCTTGATAGTATTGACAATGGTGACTTCAGTTGGCCCGCAACAGTTATAAAGCGTGACATGTTCTGACCACTCGTTTGCTAACCTGGATTGAAACCATTGTCATTAAAAAGAAGAGAAAATAAAAATACTGGTGGCAAAAGGATTCAACTCACATTGCGGGACATGGTTCTCCGGCCAAAGCAACAGTCTGGATATTGGGATAATCCGCCCTCGTGATCGTTGCTAATATAGAAGGTGTTGAAATGATAGTATGTGCCTTAGTTTTGTTAGTAATTGATTGTCTTGTCCATGCAACGTAGAGAAACCTACTCTTTTTAAAACAGCTGACCATTCAGAAGTCCGCAGCAGTAATGTTCCGCCGTTCAATAGTGTTCCCAAAATTTCCCATTGGCCTATGAGCGATGAGTTTGGGCTAATAATAGGGCAAGACAGTGATCAAATACCCATGTCAAATGAAATAGATAATAGTTGAGGTACATTGGTACCCCGGTCAATGCCTAATGACCCTGGCGAGAGGCACAATAAATTCGTGACATTCCGATGACTTACGTCCACTCCTTTGGGTATTCCAGTTGTTCCTAAGATGATCAGCAGTGCTGAAAGTTAGAATAGGAGCAAGCTACCTGATGTATATATCACATAAGCCCCGTCTAGCGGGGAGATATCAACACCCGGTCTGCCCGCTATCTCTTTAGAGTTATTCTCTAATGCCGACTCAAGAACCACAACAGACGCGCCGTTGCTGCATCTTTCAGCCTTGCCCCGAAATTTCTCAAGACAAAGCACCACTTTTGCCCGGGTGTTCACCAGGATATATCCAAGTACGGTCTCTGGAACTACCCCACCATCAAGCGGCGCATACTGACAGCCGCATTTGAGAACCGCAAGCATAGCAACAACCAAATTAATAGACCTCTGCGCCAGTATACATACGATCTGTCTTGGCTGTAGTCCATCCCGAATTAGCTTGTTCGCCAACGTATTCGCCGCTCGGTCGAGTTGTCCATAAGTAAGGGTGTCGCCATCATACTCGACGGCAACGTCGTGCGGCTGCCTATTGACGACATCTTCAAAAGCTTCGTGAACTAGTGAGAAACGAGGTTTCGTATGAGTCCCACGGCTGAATGTCGAGAATAGATGCTGATCTTTGGGGGATAATATATCCAAGCCTTGGAAGGTGGAGGCCATCACGACTGAGCACAAGTTGGTTGGAATTTTCATATATGGATACTCCGTACTTAAATGGAATCGATAAAGAATGGCTTTCAGGTAAAGATATTCAATCAAGGACAATGGTGGTGTGTAGTCAAAGAAGCTGTGAATCGATTGTTCCAGCCCAGTCCGCTACCGTCAGCCTATGAATTGGAGTCGCACAAGTAGCCGTTGACGGCATTGGAATGTTGTTAGACCCGCCACCCGTCTGTATTGGAGTTCAAGGAGCGGAAAGAGAAATATGGGGAGTTACAGGTACACAAGGCTTCCTTCCACATTTGCTGAAGAAGTCGGTATATGTTCAAAAAATTCAGCCTTTCTTATGCCTGACTTAGATCGTGCCCAGTCAGATCAGGGTAGGTAAAGCAAGAAGGTAGTACGATATGCGATCAAAAGTACCACAGCTCAAGACTGCCAAAGCCAGTTTATATACAAATAACCACGTGGGAGCCCGTTAAGGATAAATGGCTCTTTGATTTCACCATACCCCCTTCTATCATGTTTCGTCTCATATGCTCTACATTCTCTTATAAATTCCCTCAACTAAAAACATAAGCTTCTTCTACTGCTGAGACCTTCTTGAATGGGAGATAACTCCCGTGATATAGTGGTAAGAATAAGTGGCTCTTTGACTTTACCCTACTCCCTTCTATCATGTTTCATGTTATGTACTCCAACTACTTCTTACATACCTCCTAAAACGGGAACTTGCTCTTTTTCTGCTCTCAAAACACTCTTGGGGAGGAAATAACCAACTCTCCCGTGATCTAGTGTAAGAATAACTAGCTCTTTGATTCTACCCTACCCTCTTCCGTCTCATGTACTCTACATCCACCTATAAACAGCGCACGTGGCGCATTAAATGCACTCTTATGCTATATGGATATTAGCTAAGTCTTTCCATGGCCAGCCATTAAGCCAATTAGACCTATGCTATGCCCTTATCGTGGATTGGCATAGCTTGGCTAGTACGAAGTATATTATAGCGGGGTAGTGGGTCACATAGTACCGTAGAGTAGATAATTAGTATGGGATATAACTCCCGATCTTCATGCTATGGCGCTAGAATCTACCACTTTAGTCCCTGTAAATCCTTGTATTTAGTATAACTGCCGATACCTTCCCTATCACCTAATTTAGTGCTGCCCCGAAGGTCAGTAAATCGGCGGCCCCCCCACTAGCTCTACTCATCCTCAAGCTGGAGGTGGACGCGGGAGAAGCTAGAGGGCGACCGCCGGTTCTGGTTCTTAGGTTTTAATCTATAAAGCGAGCAAAGAAGGATGACTAACTATCATATTCGGGTCAGATTTAATTTTCTTGACAAAAAGATATGTGTCAAAAAATATGACTATCCTTGCCCTTGCCTCTCCTATGCCATATGTTTCTTACTCAGCCCTTCTATAGCCTTGCCAGAGCTCTTGGTTAGCCTTAGCCAAGCCTAGCCCCAGGGGTGGCATATCCAAAGTGCTGCCTATAAGTTCCCTAAACTGGAAATATAAGCGCCTTCTAATCGTCCACTTATCGATAAGTGGACGATTACTCCTGAAAGCTTCTTGAATAGGAATTAAGCAACTTCGCCAAGGCAGCAACCATGCCTATGAATCTGCAGTAATCGGCGATCGCAAACATCAGACCTGGGCATCAGACGGCCGGGTACTTCGGATGGATATTCCACCCAGTCTAGTGACTAGTGACCCAAGAATAAAAGAGGGGCCGACATTTACCCGAAAACCCAGGGTTTGATCCGGCTTTCGGATGTTTTCCCCCGTGTACGTGACGCAGAACATTATCAGTTCGGTCCGAGGACGATCGGGGTATATCGGTTCGACCGCACTATAGACTTTCCAGGCTAGAATTATTTTAAGCTAATAATAGATATATATCCTCACTTTTGCGCCCTTTGAAGCCTTTAAAATTAAGGCTCTAAAACCCAAGTTGCCCAAGAATACCACGAAAAAATGCGGGTTTATACCCCACCCGCAATATATTGCGTGCGTGATAATCGTGTCCCCCTACCCTATCACACCGGGAGGGAGCCTATATGAGACTCCCTCCCGGAGTGTCACTGTTCAAAACGTAACACGTAGCCAAACAAACGTAGCAGCTGACTAAGCTGGATCCTATTGTGTGAGTGGTTGGATGTTTGTGGTGATTCTCGATGCAGAAAGTGGAGTTTCTTAATTTAAGCCTCAATTAGAAGTGGAGCGCTTTTAGAATTTGGGTGAAGTCAGGGGTGTGCTCTCACAATTACATCTACTATTCTCACAGTTACGCCGGTATAATTAGTCGTTTGTTACGTTTTGCTACGTGTTACCTTTTGAACAGTGACACTCCGAGGTAGTGGGGGGCAAACTTGGACCACCACTCATATAAGGTAGTAGTAGTAGTAGTGTTTTACGCCGGGGGACTGCCCATATAGGGGTCCCAAACCTCCCAGGGGGTATCAAGGCGTGCTAAGGTAGGATTTTTAAATACGAAGTCCTTCTTATTTAAGAAGCCCAAAACCATAAGGGGAAAAAGGGCTATTCTCCTAATAAGTCCCAGGTCCCTAATCCCGCGGTGTCTCAATTCCAATATATAACCTATATAGTAAAATCTAGCTATAAAAGGGCGTATGCTATTCCCTCCCACTAGTTAAGGATCTTCTATGCTTAGCACGCTACTGCTTAACCAAGTGATATACCAAATAATAACCCCTTCCTTACTCCCTCTCCCACCCGTAAATCCACGCATATATACAGCATTTTCACGCATGCGCCTGCAAAAGGGTTCCTCTACTACCTACCTCTCTAAGAGAGGTGAAGAGCTAGAGAGGCAGCTGCAGTATCCGCCTTATTCCTTCCGCCATTCATGCATTAATAATATGAGTACTGCTCTTTAAGAGAGGGGGGGCTATTAGCCGTAGACCAGTTGTTTCACGTTATAAGGTCTAAGTAGTGTGTAAAAGACCACGTTGCGATAGCTATTCTACATCACAAACCGAACCGCCGGGAGATATGGTAATATCGCATGTAGCTCGTAGAGGGCACCGCGTACAGGTGTTGAATCTTCGCCCTCCTCTTATATAGGGTAGGGGGACACGATTACCCGTAGAGGCTTCACCCGGGTATCCGGAGGTATACCCTACCCGATGCTCAAATCTGGCAACTATAGCGATTGGTGCATCGGAAAGAGAGAGCTAGGGCCAGTAAAATGAACCGCTTAGGGGCACTATAACTTATAGAACTCCATAATAATTGAAGTAGGTATTAGAGGTCATTTTAGGAAGAAATATAGTGAGACCACTCATCAAGGAATTAAAAATACAAAGTTCCGTCTCGAAGTTCCAGTGCCATCTTCTGACAGGTGAGCCTCCGGCGAAGACAACAAATGAAAACCAAACCCAAAGAAACAATAACGATGCAATCTAGTATCCGTCAAGACCTAATCATTCATCCACCCATTTATTACTCAAGTGGCCATGGTATTTACTGTGGAAGCGAGGTGTAGCCGCTGCTTCTCTTCTCGATCTTCTGGGCCAAATACTCACGAAGGGCAGTGATGCCAAGGTTGAAACCAAACACTGTCATAACCATCAGCAAAGCACAGGAGTATCTCGATGTCAACTTACAGGCATTGGCCGAGGTAGCGAATGCAGCTATGGCGCCCGCAGTGTTTTCAGGGCGAACCGTCTTGTGGTCCAGGAAGAAGTAAACGTATCGGCCTGTGATCTCATGACCAGCATATGCCCAGCCAATGTACAGGAGGGAGAGGAAAGAGATTCCGGCGATTTGAGCAGAGGGAGGCTAGGTACAATTAGCCTGTAGTCGAGAAAGGGGTTGGGGGTGAGCTTACAGTTGGGTGTCTAATGCTGCTGAAGACGAAGACTTCAGTGAGGGCAATAAGGGAGACTGCAGCGTATTTATTCAAGACGTAGAACTCTGTATACCGACCGTGTCCAAATATCTTGTCGCCTAGAACGTCAAGGATGACCGTCAGTATTGGGAATAGAGATAGGACGGATCTGCATACGGGGAATAGTAGCTTGATCCTGGGGGACCAAGATAGTCCAGTAAATCAGAGTTGTGACATGTGGGAAGGTGACGGCAGCGAAGTAGAAAATGCTGAACCAGGTCTTGTTCTTGGTCGACTCATGTTGACGAGGGGGAGACAAGAATCTCTGGAAGCGGGTAGCCACAGTTTGAGTACCATTTCTGTGATGAGGATAATGAAGATGCATGAAGGTCCAGGTCTGAAAATCGGGGTCAGTATGCCATAGAGTTGACAGGGGCGAAAGAGACCTACGGTAGCCATCCAGTGGTAGAGGGTCAACATGAAGTAGGCAATATTGGGGGGTTCAAAGACAGTTGACCATCCATGATTGTTGAAGTTGACGTCGTAGTTGATGATGGAGATGAAACTGACAGCCAAGTAGATAGCGGTGACACCTCGAAGGCCGACCAAGGTCTTTTGGCCAATTTTCGTCCATGGCGAGTGGCAGACGCGGAGGAAGATGGGCTACGAGATGTGAGGATTGATGGAGATGGTGAGGGTGAGGGTGGAACGATGAACTTACGTGTTCATCTCTCTTGTTCTTGGGAAGAAGAGCCGTAGAGGAAGACATTTTGGGATGGTGAAGTTGGGACAAGGAACAAGTCGAGGAACGATTGTGGAATGATTTTAGGTGAAGAATGGCAACGGCAGAACCAAGATGGGGAGTTTGAGAAGCGATGTACACGAGCAGAGAGTGTTATCGCAGAAGACTTGATGTGATTGTGGAAGTTGAAGAGGAGAGAAGAAGAAGGCGGCAAGAGAAGAGGGAGAAATAGACAACGCGGCATGCCGTCGAGGTTGAGAAGGAAGGAATGAAAGAGCAGCTTGCACTTTCCGTCCATGTTAACATTTGCGCTTTGATATCGTGAAAAGATAAACAGCTTCTACCGATAAATGCAAATGCAATAAATGGCAGCGACGAGTGAAGCAAGTGTATTCGAGGCACGACTCCGGCGCAGAATATAGCAAAAGCCAGGAAAGGGGCAACTTAGGTATCCTGCTCGATATGACACATACGTTGGTTGTAATTGAACCTACCTGGTGATATGTAAAAACCCTTCTAAGGACCTGAAACTATGGACATTATCACACCAATATCACCTTCTATGATTTCTTCGAATTTTCGATAATTTGAGAAGATGTTGGCTAGCTGTTGAAGTGAAGCCCAAGTGAAGCCACGCCACGAATTATTTCTGGAGACCCTGCATAAGCTTGGGCCAGATTGCACAACCCCTGCACAACTTATCCGCGATCTCTAAAGTGTCCACAACTCCATAAGGTATCAACGAGAACACCTGTCCGCGACAATTCCACCACAGGCTGCTACTCTCTTGAGAATTCGCCTGTCGAGCATTCGAGACTTCCGTAGGAATTGCAGAAGCTTGCTCCAGCTTCTACTCTCCATTCGCAAAGGCCACGCGACCTTAGACCACCTCCTCGAACTATAGAAAGCTTCCCCAGACACCCATCGACCCTCCTCCCACCATGCTCTCCGCCCTTCAAAACCCCCGGCAAGCGGCTGCCCAACTGCTCAACTTCGGCCTTATCCTCTCCACCGCATTCATGATGTGGAAAGGCCTCTCTGTCATCTCCGACTCTCCTTCGCCCATCGTCGTCGTCCTCTCGGGATCAATGGAACCCGCATTCCAACGAGGCGATTTGCTGTTTTTATGGAACAGGAACCTGATGGAGGAGACAAAGGTTGGGGAGATTGTGGTGTATAATGTAAAGGGAAAGGATATTCCAATTGTGCATCGGCTGGTGAGGAAGTTTGGTCTTGGGTGAGTTCTGCCACGGCTGAAAGAGCACAACACAAATATGGCCCTGGGACTATTTGCTAATGGAACGCGGCCTCGCAGAGAAGAAGCAAAGCTGCTGACAAAAGGCGACAACAACCTTGCAGACGACACAGAACTCTACGCCCGCGGGCAGGATTACATTGAGAGGAAAGATATTATTGGCAGCGTCATTGCATATATACCGTTTGTGGGCTATGTTACAATCCTCTTAAGTGAGCATCCATGGTTGAAGACAGTCATGCTGGGGCTAATGGGTCTGGTCGTCGTGATGCAGCGGGAGTAAGAAAAGTTATTAGCGATTTACGACAAGGGCGTTGGGAGGGTTGGCCGGCTGTATGAATAACAAGCCATTGCATAAAGAAGCTTCAAAACATAAATAGGAACTGCATCTATTCTGGGCTTTGTGATTACGGAAGGGCGTTGGGAGCTGTAATAAGTCACGCACGTGTAGCTGCAGCTGAGTGGTTTCAAGACTGAGCTTGGCTGGTCCATTTTGTTGATTGCGTGAGACCAACTACAGCAGAAACACGTTCCGTGCTCGAATTTGTTATTATAAAGAACTTGAAACCCCCCAGTTGCGAAGATTTCCTCCCTTTGATTATTTCGCGTCGTGTGTTTATACATTTCCCCTTTCGCACTTATTCACGCGCAGCCTTGCCGCTACTGTAGGCAAGGATCCCCACCGCTCGCTGTGGTTTCTGTGACGTGAGGAAACAATTAATGATTCCACAACCATTCGAAACACACCAACACCTCTCGAGGGATTTAGTGTCCTTGCAAGCATCTGCATCTTCAAGCTAGCTGTGTACCTAACCTACCTACCCGCAGACTTCTTTTGCTAGTCAGCACCTCTCTTCTAAACCTACAACATCTCAGCAACCCCTCATCTGCGTGCCCCTCCTACGAACAAGCTTCAGCAAACGGCAGATACCTAAAGTCCACAATGGCGAGCGGCAAGAAGAGAATCAGCAAGGTGCGATATTCTAGTTCCCCTCCACAATACGTGGGATGGTATTAACACGTCTTCAGGAGCTTGCAGAAGTCACCACCTCCCCTCCAGCAGGCATTCATGTCAGCCTCGTCGACGACAACAATGTCCACAACTGGAACATCGTAATGGACGGTCCCGAAGGTTCACCATACGCAGTACGTTCCCCCCTGCACCCAACCATTCATCCAGCTAACGGGTATTCATAGGGCGGAAAATTCAAGCTCCTCCTCGTCCTCCCCACAGACTACCCCTTCAAACCCCCCAAGATCAATTTCAAAACCCGCATCTGGCACCCCAACGTAACCTTCGACGAGCACGGTAGCATGTGCATCGGAATCCTCAAGCCTGAGGCCTGGAAGCCGTCATCCAAAATCCTGTCCGTGTTGACCGCAACGCAGAATCTGCTGCTGGAGCCCGTGCCCGATGATGCGGTCGAGACGACCGCTGCGAATAGCTTCAAGGAGGATCTAGCGGGGTTCAACAAGACGGCCAAGGAGTATACGAAGAAGTATGCTAAGTAGGTGGTTGGAGATTATATTGTTACGGATGTCTTATGATTGGGCTTGAGCTTATGGGGATGGATGGTTGGTGGGGTGAACCGTGAATGAGATTATGACCATGGCGTTAGGGGCGTGCACTGGCAGTATGGCAGTAAGTGCATGCATAGAATTACGGTACTGGCTGAGCTCTCCATTGTTTACTTAGGAAGAGGATCCAGGTGATGAGCACTCAAGCTGAGTGAGATGAAATAAAATGAAATGAAATGAATGAGCCCGAAACCTACCTTACGCATAGACTTCTGCAAGCCTCTCACGTACCACAATGGCTCTCACTCTCTTTTCTTTTTCGTGGTGTTCATTTTGGCTTTGAATCTGACGCCAAGAATGCTGTACCCAGCACTTGAAAGTTCAATAAAAAGTGTCTGAGGATACTTTATAATCATGATCTACCCAGTTCATATTCGGTGTTTATAACTAACGAACTATAAAGCAAGTCATCTGCATCCCCAATCGATATCTACTATGCAGTGCAGCGCGTTAAAAGCCACCACGACGCGACTCGGAAGCTCAAGACGCGTTGGAAGATTACGAGCTGCTGCAGCCATGCGCGGCACTATCACTCCTTGGACGTCTGTCTCTTTCCTATTCTGTATAGTAAAGTAATAGTTACACCACACCACGATCAATAATTTATCATCTGTAGAACCTCAAACTGACTGGCACATGCACATGCAAATGCCTCATCAATTAATGATGCTTATAATAAATTAAAGCATTCCCATTACCTTGGAAGAGGTAATGCGGCAGTGTCACGTTTTGCGGAACGTGCAGGCCCATTTCATGGATCATTGATACGACAAATACGCTTTTAAGATTGCTGTGCTGAGTGTTCATACCCTTCTTAATATCAGAGACCGCAGCTTGGACTCGGACCCACGAAACATAACATAAACACCTAAGACGCCCTCCGAATACGGGAAAAGTCCTCGAGAACTTCCATTGCTCTTACGCCGACTAGTACTTTGTTGTGGGAGTTTTGGATGCAGAGTTATACCGGCGTCATTGAAGAAGAAGTGGGCCCGTTTGTTACTACCAGCAATAATAAGCCCCTACGTCCATGGACCTAGCAGAGCAGAGCAGAGTTCGAGCGATTGAGGACAAGCTGTGAGGAGGACGAGAGACGAGACTTGGTTCGGTGGCGTGGAGGAGAAGCTCTGGAGGGACAATGAGCATGGCAAATGGACTGCATGGCAGTGGGAAGAGTAATGGTAATGGTCATGACAATGGTCATGATAATCATGCCTTGGGGTTGTCCACGCCTGGCTCCCTCGAGGTCGATAATGCCCCCGTCAAGAGGCAACGCAGCCAGCGGAATACGAAATTCAGTCTCTATCCTTCGCGACCTCGAACAGCCTCGGCGACTACATCTGGTCCTTCATCGCCGGTGTCACCATTCGCTCCGCAACTCCCGCCTCTTCCTCTATCGTCTCGAGAAGAAACTCTTGCTCCCCCAACGAACAATCCCCAACGGCCTAATACCTCCCACCACACCAGCACAAACGACACACCGAGAACCTTCAACACATCCCCCCAAATCTCCCAAATCCCCCATAGCCTTCACAAGCGACCCTCCGAGGCCTCGAGACTCAGGGCGCTGAACAATGGCTACAGATCTCACTCCTCAGACGGCCGACACACACCAGAATCTGGACTGGAGAGCTTCTCCCGACCACGCCAACCCAGCCTACGCCGGCGGAACGATTCACCCAAGCCCCTGACCCATGGCGCAACCTTCCCCCTCCAAGCGCACGACGAAGAGCAAACAACGGATCAGCAACCAGTAGCACGAGACAGAGGCCTCTCCGTCTCCTCTACCTTGTCTGTTGCCAGCTTCAAACCCTCCCACGCATTGCGTCCTTCGACATCCATACCCGACTACCAATCCGCAGATTCAATATACTCTCGGCAAAGGAATTTGAATAATTATAATTACAGGGCTGCAAGACGACCAGATAGCAATTACTCAGCCCATACACGAGAACCGATAGCGAGACCTACAGGATTTGAAAGCGAAGAGGTACGAACCAGTTTTCGCTCAGCATTGACTACGAATTCGAGCATATTGGGTACGAGTGGGACGGAGAGGAGTAGTGTGATGACCAAGAGCAGCTCCGCGACTTCGATATTTGGACGGGACGAGGGCATGAGTGTAGATGACGCTATTGGAATGTATGAAAGCGGATTTCAGGACTCGGGCACAGAAGATAATTATGGGCCGCCGAGACCCAGTTCTGAGCAAGGGAGGGCGTCAAGGCTGTCGGAGGCAATGAATGATTCGTTGTTGGCGCCTTCTGGTCCTATTATTAGGGACTCGGCGGCGATGTTCGAGTCTGGGATTAGTTATCCGCCGAGTCTGGGAGAGAATAGTGGGCGAGATGGGACTATGGATATTCAGGAATCGTATTTTGATGGACCGGCTTCGAGTCGACCTGTGACAAGTGCGACTTATACGAAAGATGATGGGACTCGAGATCGGTACGGCTTCCGGAAAGCTACGGCAAATGTTCCCATAGAAAAGTACGAAGCTTGGAACGGACCCTATACAGAGTACCTTGCTCGACGGCGGAAGAAATGGGTGGCTCTACTGAAGGATAACGGCCTCATTACAGACGACCCCTTCCGCTTCCCACCACAATCAACTAAAGTAAAACGCTTTGTGAGGAAGGGCATTCCGCCAGACTGGAGAGGAGCAGCCTGGTTCTACTACGCCGGAGGTCCAGCCATGGTTTCAAAACACTACGGTGTATATGACGACCTTGTCAGGAAAGCAGCTGCGGGCGGAGTGAGCGAAACAGACGACGAGATCATTGAACGAGATCTCAACCGTACATTTCCCGATAACATTAGATTCAAGCCCGATACTCCCCCGGGTCGAGACTCTCACGCAGCACCAGAAGTAGAAACGCCTATGCTGCAATCACTACGCCGTGTTTTACAAGCGTTCTCAATATTCAACCCGAAAATCGGGTACTGCCAATCCCTGAATTTCCTCGCGGGTCTTCTACTTCTTTTTATGGAAGAAGAAAAGGCCTTCTGGATGCTTAATATCATCACCCGCGTCTACCTGCCCGGTACACATGAAGTGAACCTTGAAGGCGTCAATGTAGATCTCGGTGTTCTTATGATCAGCATCAAAAGCATGATGCCTCAGATCTGGGCCAAGATTGGTGGAGAGCTTGACGGTTCTGATGGTGATGGGAAGGTGTCTATGCGGCTACCGCCTGTTACTTTATGCGCGACTGCGTGGTTTATGTCCTGCTTCATCGGTACATTGCCTATCGAAACCACACTCCGGGTCTGGGACTCCTTTTTCTACGAAGGCAGTAAAACGCTCTTCCGCATCGCACTCGCGATCTTCAAAGTCGGCGAACAGGAGATCAAAGCTGTAAGCGACCCGATGGAAATCTTCCAAGTCGTTCAGACGATCCCGCGACGTCTGATTGATGCTAGCACACTGATGGAGGTGTGTTTTAGGAGGAGGAATGGCTTTGGAAACTTGTCGCAGGACACAATTGAAAAGCTTCGCGCGCAGAGACGGAAAGGGTATGCGGATGAGAGGGAGAGGGATAGGAAGATAGCTGCAGGCATAGTACCTAATGGGGCCGACAGGAAGGGCATAACTTCTAAAATGAAGAAGAGATTATTATGATCTTATGACGGAAGTTTCATTGGCATACTGATGATATCATGAACTTGGGTACGACTATAGATAAAAAATCTAGAATACATATGAGTATTTTCAACTCAGAGTAATATTAATTAATGGCTGAAGTCAAGATTACTGCAAGTGATTGGAAATCTCGGTTCCCCTTTCTTCAATTTGTTGTTGTGCCAACCACGCTAAGAAATGGTTGTTTTCTTTTTGATATGGCAAAGTTCCCAAAGTTCCTGAATAGCATCCTCAAAACTCCACAATCCAATCCTCAAAAATGGACCACTCCTCCAAATCAGCACTCTTTGAAGTGTACTTACGACTTCGACCAGCAGGACCAATAAATAATGCCTCATTTAGTCTTACGGTACCCGACAGATTCTTGACAGTTGAAGAACCACCGACTGAAGATGCGCCACCTACACATATCACACTCAATCCTCCTAATGACAACCGCAGACGCGCGGTGGAAAAATTCGCGTTTACAAAAGTGTTTGAGGAGGAGGCTTCGCAACTTGATCTCTTTGGCGGGACTGGCGTACTGCCACTTGTTGAAGGAGTTCTTGGACCACAGGGTGGTGATGGCCGGGATGGATTGTTGGCTACGCTTGGTGTTACGGGGTCTGGGAAGGTATGTTCACTGCCTCCAATACGATAGATCTGCGCTAATCTTCATAGACACATACAATCATGGGCTCCAAATCCCAACGTGGCCTTACACAACTTGCCCTCGATGTCCTCTACCGATCAATCTCAAACAATATCCTCGACCCAAACACCACCACCTCCCTTCACGCCACAATCGCAGCCTCCGATCCCTCTGAAGCACAAGTCATGTCCGCTCAGATGTTCCTCGACACAATGTTCAGCGACCCCGCTGCACCCTCCAGAGCAAGTTCACGGGCACCAACACCAATGGCGGTACGAATACCCCCCTCTACTCCCTCCCACCCCAGCGTGCGGGGACTCTACCCATCGCTCAACGCAGGAAGTCCTCTAAGTACTCGCAATGTAGAAGATAGTGTTCTAGGAACAGCAGCATTGCCGACAGTGTCGCGTTCTCCCTTTAGCAACATCCCATCTTACATGCAGTCAACTTTTGCTCAGGCAAGAAAATATATTTTTACTAAGTCTCCATTAAAGGGCGAATCCTATCCACCTCCTACCCCACGACGACATCTCCTACAGCGACCGTCGGTTCTGCCACAGTTGCCTAACATCAGTAACGTCACCGTAAATGCTGATCAACATGCCGAATACGCGATCCTCATCTCAATGTACGAGGTATACAACGACCGAATCTTTGATCTGCTTACACCAGCACTACCGGGGAAATCAACAAAGGAGTTTCGACGCCGGCCATTGCTGTTCAAACCCACAGAGCAATCGCCTGATCGGAAAGTCGTAGCCGGTCTACGCAAGATCATCTGCGGGACAATGAGAGAAGCGCTAATGGTATTGGAAGCAGGACTGCACGAGCGCCGCGTAGCTGGAACCGGTTCCAACAGCGTGTCTTCTCGCTCCCATGGTTTCTTCTGTGTTGAGGTAAAGAAGCGCCGGCGTAGTCGCGCTCCTGGTGCGTGGGATGGGAGTGCGCTAACGATTGTGGATTTGGCGGGAAGTGAGAGGGCGAGAGATGCAAAGACGCAAGGTGCTACGCTGCAGGAGGCGGGGAAGATTAACGAGAGCTTGATGTATCTTGGGCAATGCTTGCAAATGCAGTCTGATATTGGATCCTCTACAAAGGTACTTCGTTCCCCCTACTTACCTAACATATCTTTCTAACGTCCCAAAAGCCAAACCTCGTTCCTTTCCGCCAATGTAAACTCACTGAACTCCTCTTCTCAAATTCATTTCCCTCAGCCTCTACACCCTCTCACCATCACTCTTCACACAACCGCAATCCCCAAAAGGCAATAATGATAGTAACCGCCGACCCACTTGGCGATTTCAACGCCACCTCCCAAATTCTGCGGTACTCTGCCCTGGCGCGAGAAATCACGGTTCCCCGCATCCCTTCCGTTACATCCACCATCCTCGCTCAATCTACCGCATCTCATTACTTCGCCCCACGCACTGGACGTTCAAGTCCATCAGAAACAGAGCGCGAGACAATGGAGATCGCTGCACTTGAGATTGCCAGATTGAGTGAGGAAATCGATGGTTTGAGAGATGCGTTGAGAGATGAGCAGGAACGCCGTGTTGAATCAGACGCACATCTTGAATCTATGACTGACAGAATAATGGAAGTCGAGATGGCGGTACGAGAAGAAGTATTCACGGAAATGGAAGCCAAGATGCAGGAAGAGATGAGGCGATGGAAAGCGAGTTTCGCTGCTGAAGCGGATCGGAATGATGAGCATTTGGACAGGAAACTCGAGATCCTCACCAAAACCATGGATCTTGGAGCCGATGAAGAAGATAAAGAGAATGCCAATTCTGGGCCTGGTGAAGATCTTGAGTTGGAGAATGACCAACTCAGGAGAGAAGTGGCTCAATTGAGACGGGAACTCGGATCCCGCAGTCCCAGCAAAAATCAACGCATGCCTCTCAGGGAAAGCAGATCCAACCGCACTCTAAACGATATCGGACGCAGCATGGAGAACTTGAGAATCTCAAATGCGCCGACGCCTCAGCAGGAGAAAGCGAGGGGTGGAGTTAGTGGGAGTGGCAGTCCGTTGAAGAAAGTCAGGAAGTTTACCGGTAGGAAATGGGATATGGCGGCTGGGGATGAGGGGGATATGCTTTGAGTACCTACCTACATAATACCGTTTTTCTTTGCTCTTTCTCGGAGTAGCTTGCAAGCGGCTTTGGTATTCTTGTTTTATTGATGAAGGGGGGTTGGGGGAGGTGTTGGGGAGTTTAACTTTTCTTGATTGACGGGGAATTTTGTTTATGAGTTCAGGTTGATTGATGATGACATGATGAATATAATGCAAAATATCTACCTTATAGGACGCAACGTGTTCCGTACCGTACCGTACCTTACCTTACCTTTATATTGCTGTACGTACTACTCGCTAATATACCTATCGACTTACAGGGGTCCTGCGTATTAGTGCGGCGTGGGCGTAGGCTCTTCACCCCACCATGCGCCTTACTCATGATACTTGTCCTTTACTCCGTATAAATCTATATATCCCTTCATCTTCGCAAGCCAGTTCACCACAATGAATGATATCACACCAGATATATCATGGCGGAAGTGAAAGCTGTATCGCCTGTGAAAGAAATACCGGATCGTGTACACGCGGTAGCTGGGAGGGAGAATGTTAGGAGTGAGAGTGAGAAAGAGACAGAGAATGTCACCGCGTCGGGTATTGGAGATGGAGAAGCTGGGAGGGGAGAGTTACGGGCTGGAGGTGGAAGAGATATATTGCTTGGGAACTTGAGTGTAGGAACAAGCACTGGACTAGAAAACGAAAACGAAAACGGAAATGTAGATGCGAATGAGGAGCTGGATGAGCCGCAAGATGAAGACACGCGCCAGTATTTATCAGGCTGGAAACTCCATATGTTAACTATCGGGTCAGTAATTAACCTCTAACTCCATCATCCATCCCCAGTTCCAAGGCTCAGTTCATTGCTCTACTTCCTACTTTCGCTTCGCTCACTATCACAGCATTTGGATATCACTCTTCCTCTCAACCCTCGAAACGACTATCGTTAGCACGTCACTAGTATCCATCACGAATGCCCTTGATGGCTTTCAGGTGAGGGATTGGATTGTTACGGCGTATTTGATTACTTATACTGGTATGTACACGTGTTACGATTTCTTGAGTGAGTGAGTAAGGGGGGCAACAGGAAGGGGAGGGAGTTGAAAAGGTTGAAAGGCTAACTGTATTATAGGTTTCTTGGTTATATACGCGAAATTCAGTGATGTCTTTGGGAAAAAGACAATGCTGATTCTAGCCCTTGGCATATTCACACTTTTCTCTATTCTCTGTGGAGCGGCAACCGGGGTCGTGGAATTGTATTCACTGCCCCCATTTTATCCCATCCCTTCTTTTTCTTGCTCCCAGATCTGATCTGATCAACCATAGAATCATATTCCGCGCCTTTCAAGGCATAGGCGCCTCGGGCATCTATTCCATGATCATGGCCATAGCCCCAACCATGGTGCCGGAGAAAGAATTCGGGACATACATCGCAATTGTATCGACGGTGTTTGTTGTCGCTAGTGTGCTGGGTCCTATTCTAGGGGGGGCGATTAATAGCCATACGACGTGGAGATGGGTGTTTTTGCTCAAGTAAGAAAGAGAGAATTCCCTTTGAATTACCCCAAGGTTGAGATACTGATGACATGAAAACACAGTGCACCAGGAGGTTCAATCTCCCTCATCCTCATAGCACTCTTCTTACCCTCCTCCCAACCCACCTCCGCCACAACCCTCCTCGCTCATATACGGGCAAAGTTCACCAGAACAACATTTGCGCGCATCGATGTCCTAGGCACCATCTTCCTACTTGCATTTTCGGTACTCCTCGTCTTCGCATTAGAAGAAGCCGGTTCGCGATACGCATGGGGCAGTCCCGTTATCATCATCACGTTCGTAATCTCCATCCTAGCTGGAACGGCCTTCGTGGGCTGGGAATGGTGGGTTGAACGCGTGGCGGGGAAGCAGGAACCTACGTTCCCGCTGAGTTTGCTGAGAGATCGCGTTTTGGCATGTATGATGGCGTGAGTACACCCCTTACTGCTGTGAGCACAGTGGAAGTGGAAATGGACACGAAAAGGGGGTGGAAACGAAACGAAACGAGACTGACATATCCGGCACAGCACCGCCTTCTTTATCGGCTTCCCCTTTGTAGCGATCGTAGTCAACATCCCACAACGCGCCCAAGCCCTCTACGGCTTCACCCCTCTCCGCGCAGGTCTCGCTCTCCTGCCCCTCCTCCTCACGTCCCCGCTCGCAACAGCCGTCTCCGGCTTCCTGACCTCTAACCGCAAAGTCCCGCCCCTATACTTGATCCTCGGCGGCGCGGTGCTGCAAGTCATCGGCGTGGGACTCACCTGTTCTTTACCTGTAGACGCGACTCGGATCCCAGCGGCCCAGTACGGGTACGAGGTCCTAATGGGAATAGGATTCGGAGCGGGCTTGAGCACGCTGTTGACGCTGGCGAGACTTGTGGTCGATGAGCGGAATTTGCGTATGAATTTCTCCCTTTTTCTCTCCCTTGTTTGACGAAACACGAATACTATACTGACCAAATGTAGCGGTGGCAATGGGTGCTTTAACCCAAGTCCGTGTTCTGGGCGGCACGATATCTCTAGCGATATGGTATGCCATTTCCTCCTTCTCCCTTCTTCCAATACCCATCCCTATACACTCCAACCCCACCAACCCATAAATACCATACTGACCCAATGCTAAAAAACATCTCCCTCCAGCTCCACAATCCTAAACACCCACCTCCGTCCCCAACTCTCCCTCCTCGTCACCCCCAGCCAAGCAGCCGCCATCTCAGACAACATCTCCGCGATCCACACCCTGAGTACCGAGCAACAAGCTGGCGTCAGGAGGGCCTTTGCAGTGGGCTATAATCGGCAGAATGTTTTCTTGGCTGCGTTGACGGGCGTGGGGTTGCTTACTAGTTTGGGGTTGGTTGAGAGGAGGCCGAGGAGGGTTAGGTGAAGGGGATAGGGGAGTGAGGGGGTAGATATGCTTGTTTTGGATAATTAGCTAGTAAATACATGCAATATATTCAGGGCAGGCCGAGGGAAATTTTACCTGAGGAGGATATGGCTAGCGTTGGATTTCAAGGCGTTCGAGAGATATTTTGATAATCCCTTGTTCGGGGATTTTATTATCATATCCCAATCAACTAACCCACAAATCAACTTCTTCCTGTAAACTGAAAACAGTAAGAACAGCAAAAACATTGCATGCATAAAGTGTTTTATGTCTGCAATAGGCTTAGCGCCGCATCTTAATTAACCAGCCCAGCCCAGCACACCTAGTGATTTTCCTCTTCACCTGAATCTGGGTTTTATTAAACACTTCTTTCTTCCTACCCACCGTCCCTCTTTATTAGCTAGCATTGAAGGCCCTTGAATGGGCGCGATGACTCTTAGCTAGTGCGCTCTTACTTATATATAGGCTTGGTCATTACCGCCACTCGTCAGCTTGATCGAGAAACGCTAGCTTAGAAGCTGTGTCTGCCAAATACAAAAGTCCCCCTCACTTTGCTCGTCTTCTTTGCTTGATGTGAGTATGGTGGACATGAATAGTAAGTTTTAGCTGACCCCTGAACAGTAATTTGCACGTCAAAATGCTACATGATCAGCAGCCGATCGCGTCATATTGAATCCCCCACTTTCAATGAGGGACTCACTTCATTCATACATACTTTTATTCGAAATCCTGGCTTTTTAGAGCTTAGAATATCTTCATTTTTGTGTTATCAATAGAGAATACGATATTTTCGCCTCTGAGACCGACTTTCGTGAAAGTGTTGTAATAAGGGTAACACCAAAAACGACGAAATGTCAACTCAAGTCCTCACGCAATCCGAAATAGACTCATCAGCAGTATCCTTCGCAAGAGCTGATGAGACTCAGTCTAGGGAGAATAACGTGGAGCTACAATATATCAATGTAGATCCACAGACAAACCCCCCTTCCTTATCCAGACTCAACTCTAGACATGCAGTCTCAGAAGCACCGGAACCCGAAATCCACGATCAAACACTCCGTCTCCCATTCCGCCGTCTCATATCAGCATACCTCTGTCTAGCAGCCATCTACTTCATCTCCTCCCTGGACATAAACTCCGTCGCCACAGCCCTGCCCGCCATCGCCAAGTCCCTCGATGCCGGAAACAGCATCACCTGGACCGGAACCTCGTACCTGATGGGCCAAACAGCCTTCCAAGTCCTCTACGGCCGCCTCTCTGACATCTTCGGCCGCAAACCCGTCCTCGTCACCTGCGTCGGTTTTCTCATCCTCGGCGATCTCCTCTGTGGCTTCGCACAGACGGCCACCTGGCTGTACGTCTGTCGCGCCCTGAGCGGCATCGGCGGCGGCGGCATCAGCTCGCTCGTTGCCATTACAGTAAGTGACCTGGTTAGTATGAAGGATCGCGGCAAGTACCAGGGCATGCTGAGCGGTGCCATTGGGCTGGGCTCCAGTACCGGCCCGTTCATTGCTGCTAGTATGCTGGGTAGGGGACGGGAGGGGTGGAGGTGGATTTTCTGGGTCCCGCCTATTCTGGCCGCGGCGTGTGTGCTGGTTATGTGGAGGTTTCTTCCCCTGAAGCCCGTAACGGGAAGCTGGCAAAATAAGCTTAGGAAGATCGACTGGGCTGGGCTTGCTGTGGCGGTGGTCGGGATGCTGTTTCTTTTGGTAAGTGCAGGTGACGCGGCTAGACGTGTTTGATGGATTGCATTTCCTAACATTTGCGTTCCTTGATGCCGGTAGATTCCAATCAATTCCGGAGGTAATGTCTGGCCATGGGGTAGTGCAATCGTCATTTCCATGATGGTCCTGGGAGGCGCGTCGGTCGTTCTCTTCGTGCTGGTTGAGAAGCGATTCGCGAAAATCCCCTTGATCCCGTTACGGCTGTTTAGCCAGACATCAACAGCCGTTCTCCTTCTCCAGAGCGGGCTATATAACTATGTGTGGCAAGTCGACTTGTACTTTCTGCCAGTATACTTCCAGACCGTTCGGGGGTACAGCCCATTGCAAAGTGCGACACTTTGTTTGCCATTTTTGCTTGTTCAGAGTGTTTCCGGCGTGATTTCCGGACCACTAATGTCTAAACTCGCGAGGTTTGTTTCAAGGACCATTGAAAACACTTCTTATCTAACTCTGCTACTAGATACGATCTTATGCTCCATGGCGGAATGATACTCTGGGTTGTAGGTGCCGGCATGAAACTCCTATTCACGCGAACTACTCCAGTCGGCGTATACGTGATAACATTAATCATCGAAGGTGCCGGTGTCGGATTCGTCTTCCAACCTGGTCAAAATCCCCTCACATCGCCCCTAGACACAATTGCTAACCACAGTACAGCTCTCGTGGCATTACAAGCCCATTCCAAACCACAAGATCGGGCCGTAGCTACCTCGACACGAAACCTGCTCCGAGCACTAGGCTCAGTCGTCGGAATGGCCATCTCAACAGCCGTCCAATTCGCAGTCATGCAGTCTGCTCTGTCCGCGTCCCTGCCTTCTGCGGTACGCGCGCAAGTCATCGATGGCAGCTGGGAGATGGGCCAGCTCGGCTCCGAAGCATGGGAATCGGACATCTTGGATGCGAAGATGAAGGGCATTCGTGCGGTATTTACCATTCTAGTTCCACTGATTGGAGTTTGTCTAGTTGGAGGCTTTTTCGTCCCGAACACTATTCTGAAAGAGGATTGAGGAGGCGCCGAAGGAGCTACGCGGCAGAGAGCATTGGTGATGCGAGGTATTTGGGAGGTAAATAGACATCATACACCGACATACTGTGCTTCATTAGGAGCATTTTAATTTCTTAAGGCTCGGAAACAGTTTTTTAGTAAATGGCCTTCCGAGTCGAGTCCGGTACTACTGGTGCCCGCACGGTTATAGAAAATATCCTTGTCACTTGACACGCTGGTGGTATCTCGATCATGCAAAGTCTGGAGCTTCTAATCGCTTCGCCGCTCAAGTCAACGAAATTCATTCGACTCACTACCACACTGCTCATTTCGAAAACCAGATGTGGCAAACTTAACGTGCAAGGCCTTATATCGAGTTTAGTGTCTCAACCCCTATCTTCCAGGATCGATCTCTGAGTTTAGAACTCGAGCACCACTCAAATGCCGGGTTTTTCATTTCGTTTCAAGGTGAAATCTCCACGGAGATATCAGATAATGTCTGCGATACTCCGAACATCTGAAAAACTATATGCGAGCATGCCATACACTTGTTGCTCGGGACGAAGGGGGTCATAGCATAGACTATTGCTCTAAGGCGCGGCACTGATCGCAATTCCTGCGCGCGTTGGTGACATATATGACGCAGAAAGCCAAGACTAGTCGCACAGATAAGCCATGCTTATTTTTCTTCAAAGCATATTTCGTACTTCTCATATTCAAAGCTTGACTCGGTGTTTACAAATGGATGGAGGCTCACGTCAAGATAATATGGAGGTGGCCGAATCTCTCATTACATGCCCTGTAGAGGGCCTAGTCTGGTACATCCACTGGGGATAACCCGTTCAGTCATCAAGATCGTGAACAACTATAACTACAGCATTCCCATGCATCCCAACAGAAAAGGAATTGAGTGGTGCGAGGAGGTCGCCCGACCTGTGGTGAGCCTGTCCTAGCTTAGAAACGTACCCTCAAGGTATGTCTAAACCAGGGAGCAAGACTAAAGCAAACGCATTCCTTTCATAATCAAAACAGCAAAGCGGGGGGGTTCTTTCCTTCATAATCAAAACAGCAACGCGGGGGGTATTAGATAAAGAGTAGAGGGTGATGTTTTCGTTCATCGGAAGGCGGCCAACCTCGTAGCGAAGTGAAATTTGTGACGAGCGCAAATTCCATAAATGGACCAATCTGATGGAGATAGCAATCGTCCTCGGAACTATTTTGACTCCGAGCTGGGTACCTATCGCAACCTTATACAACCTTAGATGGTCTTGGGAGATCGGGCGTTCCTGGAACAGTCAGTTGAGTATTTTATAAAAGCTAAAGAGAAAACATACCCGATATCCACAATATCATCCACATGATTGCATAAAGCCACGAAAAGGTCAAAGAAAAGTTTACCGCCACTCTCCATTTCTGTCTGCATGGTTCCGCTCCTCTTAAATGTCTTGCGACATCTGATGATCAGGGCAAGATAATGAGCGCGGAGCCGCGAGTCCGAGTCCGGCGTGTTGTCATAGGCATATCGTGCGCTACGCAGGATTGTAGAGACCTCGATTCCACTCTGCAGACCTTGCTTTTTAAGAGCAAGGCGCTTGAGCTCCTCCAAGCCATACTTCTCCGCCGCACAATATATGACTGTATCCTTTAATACGTGGTCTCCCACGCTGGAGATGTATGTTGTGGCCTCGACGGATCCGCGGCCACCGGGATTTTCAGGGTTTGGGCTCTTCTCGGCATCCTCGAGTTCCCAAGAACTTCTGCGCTTGTTGTGGACTAAGCGGGGGTAGTAGTCGCCCTTCTATTGAAGCCAGACATTAGCGGATGCGCTTCAAGGATGCACAGCGAGGATAAAGAGCCACGGGGATCATGAACGTACGTATAGGTACTCGAGAACACACGAGAAGATTTCGGGTTCTTCGTCTGGGAGATCGATCCTCTTGCTCTGCGCCTCAAGGAACTGCCCTCTGCACAGCGCCGAAAAGAACGGCGACAGCGAGAGGACATCCTCATGGGCTGCAAAGAGCCGTTCTTCCCTGCCGACTGTAAAGGTTACAATCCGCGAGGTCAGAGTACTGTTTGCGCATGTGTTATCAGCCGCCAATTCCATTTGCGACAATTAGGCAGCCTACCTCCCGACTGGCGGGCTCTGATCGAACGACTTCTGCAATTTCGACAACTTCGCGGGATCCCTAGAAGACTTCTTCAACTTCACAGCTTTCTCCACGCGATCATTCGATCGGAATGAGCGCTTGAACATGGCTGTATGGGGGGGGGTTTATGACGTTGAGGGTGGGTCTTGTAGGGAATTGGTGGGGCAGGTTGAACGAGGGACGAAAAGAGTGTGAGGGAAGAATTGACGCACAAAAAAGATTGACTGGGCCCAGGCAGATATCTCCAGATATTCAAAGAAAGTCTAGAGAGTCTCGTGTGGATTTTGCGACCCGAATGGTGTGGTGAGGAAGGAAGGGAGAAGTCGAAGACGCGAGAAGTCCAGCCATATATACTGCGCATGTGCTGTGTCTTGGCAAAGCAAGGCAGGCAGCACGTGATGGGGTATAAGCCAGCTTTGGTTGGGTGCCACGGACATCCTGCATGAGTCTTGTTATGGCATTCGTTGTTGTTATTCGTCCAGTTATCTGGTGCGCTGCTAGTATGCGTCACTTTTGATTCCTGGCAACAGAAAGTTGAGGCTGCAGAAGTAGGCGCAGCATTAGCGGAGTCATGGGGAATGTGATGATTGGTTAGCCAGAAGAGCTAAATCACGGGGACCAGTTATATTTATGCATAAATAGAGAGTTATATTCCTGGGGTTAGAACGTTTTAGCAAATCTAAAAGAAGTCGAATGAATATATGGCAACGAAAAGGGGTAAATAGTCAAGCGAGCCCCTGAAATACTTAAATTAATGCTCTATCAGTATTTTTAGATCACTCAGACTGGATAGAACCCTTCGACATTCGCTCCATATCTCATCATCTACCAAGCAACTACCCCCTCCTTGTTCGAAAACGTCCCCGTCTCGCCGTCCTCCCCCAAGGTCGCCAATCTGACCGCATTCAAAGCCCCATTATCCGGCGTATCCATACCCGCGAAAGCATTCAAATTCGTAGCACAATATCCCGGACAGCTCGCGTTAATCTTCCATCCAGCATCTTTGTACGTGGAAGCGTAATGCATCATGAGCATGTTGAGTGCCGATTTGCTGCTACGGTAGAGAGGCAGATAAGCTGGGTATCTCTGCTCGTTCGTAAGTGAACTCAAGACCGTAGACATGAAGACGATCCGAGGTGTGGGGGATGACTTCAAAAGTGGAATAAAGGATTCGGTCGTCAGCGCGGCGCCGAAGGTATTGACGGCGAAGGTGTCCTGGTAAACTTTGCGCAATTCAAGGCCGGATATGCCATCCTCCTTAAGGCTCACGCCGGCGTTGTTGATCAAAACATCGAGACGACCAAACTGGTTCATGACTTGCTGGGTGGCTTTCGCGATAGACTCATCGGAAGTGACACTGCGTGACGAGTGTTAACACTAAGTGATGTTCATGTTTCGTAAAAGCAATCAAGGAGGGGTATCCGTGCCAAGTCTTGAACATGACGGTGGCCTATCACTAGACAACGGCAAATAGATGGGTTGAACAGAAGGATCAAGCAGTTGCCCGGAGACTTTCACGGTAGCACTGCTGCTAGCAGTAGAATCCTACAACACATGAAGCTGTTGATTCTGAATTTACTAATTCTTTGTGGGAGCAGTACTAGTAAGTGATGCGGAGAGAAGTTAACTATAACATACTCAATAGTGATGGGTTCAACATGTAAACCCTGTTCTTGGAGCTTCTTGGCTGCATCGATACCCCGCTGCGCGTCACGACTGCCCATGAGTACATGGTAATCTGGCTTTGAGGATAAAGATTTTGCTATCGCGAAGCCAATGCCTTGATTAGCGCCCGTAATGAGGACGATCTTTGATGCGATTGAAGTAGACATAATAGACCCGTAAATTGATTATAAGTTTTATGATTGAAAATGAGGTCAGGATTGATGAGGAAGAAACAAAGATTAAAGAGAAAATAGAGAGACGTTCGATGCTATATATACTCAACTTTTCAGTAGCAAGGTAGCAGGCCCAGCCAGCTGAATCCAGGCGGACTTGCTTTCGTACTTACGAGCTATCTCCATTTTCTTGTAACTATAAAAAGTATAAGCGTCAACTTTGCTTCCTTTTTTAAGCAAGACACAGGTTGAAAAATCTTCACGGCTTGAAGATTGGATGGACGACGTTATTTTGGTGGGGGAGTGTTTTGCGTTCAGCGTATTCGCGCAAAGTCTAACTTTTTACAGACTAGCAGCCTACCTACTAGAGCGCAACTGCTAACCGCTTCTGGAGCATCATCATTATACATCATTGTTCAAAGATAGGTACCCAGCTAACTTATCCACTCCTATTTGCAACAAATTCTGCGTTACACGGTAACAGCGTACCGCTTACCGTAGCCTATTTCCTGTGTCGATGTAATATCATTCTCTTTCGTGCCTGTCCATTCGCGAAGATGGTAAACAATGGAGCATCAGGAGCATGCCGAGCTTGTAAGCAAAGGCGTAAGAAGGCACGTAAACCTATTTACGAGCAATCACTTTAAGCTAGGCCTACTATAAGCATACTAACTGAGTTCACAGTGTGACGAGATGCGCCCTGTATGTGCTATCCGCACCCTGCTTGCTCCAAAGGAGCTATCTTTCGGTGTTGACTTTCCTAAGGTACATGAAGACGACGCTGACTAGTCATCATGGAGTAGTCATGCCTCAGATGTAGCCGCGCACGTCGCAACTGTCCTGGATACGAGCTTAATAAGAACCTAAAATTCATAAATTATATAAGTGAAGCCGACTTTAACTTGTTGCCTCAAGGGTCCGGGGGTTTGTTGCACCAGACAGCAGATTCCAGTCAAATGGACATTCTAGATTGGCCTGATATTGAGAAAAATGCCCGCGTAGCCTTTTATCATGACTACTGCATTGTCTCGTCGAACAGGGCCCTGTCGCGTGGATTTCTTCACGGATTGGAGACCATGATATCTAAAGCCGGACTAGAGTCAGAACTTGCACAAGCATGTACAACCATCGCTTTAACTAATCTAGGAAGAAAGGTTGAAGATAATGTGTATATAAAGAGAGCCAAGGGCCTGTATACCTTACTGTTACGATCCTTCCGCCTAAGTATATCAGATTCAGCTAAATTCACCACTCTCGAATCGCTTATAACTGCTGCATTACTTGGATTGTACGAGGTAAGTCTCGTATGTACTGATTTGAGACTGAAGCTGATAATCACAGGTTATTACCAGTACTGATACGTACCCTGGTGCACATGTAGGTCATGCGCGGGGGGTGTCTGCCATTCTTCTCAGCAAATTCTCTCCATTCGAGCTGTTGTGTCGTGGAAAGCTCTTCCAAGTTCCAAGTCCAATACTACTCGACGATCTTGTACCAGAAAACCCACTATCCTCCCATCTGCCATCTTCTTCTACAACCACCACCACCACCACTGGCAAACCGCAAGAGAAGTTTAGCATTATGTGTACGCCATTATTCAAACAATCAGGATCAAGTTTAGATGTGATATACGGCGAAACAGAACCTTTAGTACGGAAGGCAATATCATTGCTGCGGGGTGAAGCGACTATTGATCAGATTATTCATCTTAAACTAGAGGCTGAACGTTTGAAAGAAGCCTACAGCGCGTGGCCGGAAACAACCCCTCTGGAATGGAGACCAAGAACAGTGGGGTTAATTGCATCCAAAAACGATGGAGTAACGTAAGTATAGTTTTGACTGCATGCTATTGTACATCCTCTTTAGCTTTGTAAGATACTGCCGGAGCACGACGTTGTCGAAGCTTTAAAGAGCCATAAAATAGGGAGCTATGCTAACCTCTATCTTCAAGCCCCGATATAGGTTACTGGCCAGGGATTGTATCATCTTACTACGATCGCAAGTTATAATTCCACCGCCGCGATATCTGCTAACACGTTACAGCCTACGTTGCCTCAATATGGAACAGTTATCGGAAGGCTTGCCTGCTAGTCTTGGACATCATATTGAATTGCCATCGCCGAATCAACAATTGTTCGGGATCCGTACAATCAGAAGATCTAATACACAAAGAGATCACACACCATACGGAAGGCATTATATCGTCCATTCCATATCTCCTCGCTGCAAATCTTCAGTCCTTCATTCAGAACACCACCGCAGGATCACCCACCCTGGTTCCGGGACGACCAGTCGGGGGTCTGCTGTCAATGCAAGCATTCTATATTTTATCAACGCTCCCGACCGCTGATGCAAAGCTAAAAGTCTACATGAGAGACTGTCTGGCGTGGATCGGAACTCGTATGGGCATCGGCCAAGCCACCATTATGTCCAAGGTGAGATGCCGATGAAGATATACAGATTAAAATACTTACCTGATGTAGTGCACAACGATAGATCAGTTCCATTATGCCACCGAAGCACGTGTGATTATTTGGGCTGGAACGCTTATATAATATGAACTAGAAGAAGCCAAAAACATGCTCCACCTTTTCGCAATTCAACAATCAAAACACCTTCCGCAGAGTATGAGTTTCTGGCGGCAATAACTATGACATTTCAATCACTCGTACAAGGTAGCTGTGTTGGTACCCGAACTAGTATCTCCGGCATGTATTTGGCGCAGCGGCAATAATCTCTGTAACAAGTTCGCATCTTCAATATCAGGGAAACGTCCAAGGTCAGCCCAACCATGTTCAGCAATCCATACAGCTTCTTCCGAACCCTGATCAAAGCAACCATAAGCGACGTCTTGGATGAACAAGAACGTAAATGTGCTGACAAAGCGCCGGGATTTTCCATAGCAGTATTTCAAAGATCGCAAGATCTCACTCGCAAGGCCTTGGATATCAGATGCGATTCCAAGCAGCGCTGTGCTATTGGGCATGTCTAGAATGACATGCTGGTTCGTTGCTTGGGTTGGGTTTGGTAGGAGATGCTGGAGCCTATGCCATAACTGCAGTAGCAAGATTCTTATCGCGTCGTAGATAGACACCGTGAATGCGGTCCACAACGAAGTGTATTCTAGATGGGTAGGATATAGTGGCTTCTTAATCTCCGCATGTGAGATTACTTCTACAGCAGGTTGAGAATGCTTTGCTTCCCATTCGCACCACCATGTGTTTAGCTCTTTAAGAGATGCGGCGACCTCAAGTTTGATCTGAGAGTACTCGACTTCCCCGTCACCCTTCCTACTTTCGTATGACTTGATCCGCGCAAGATATTCTGCGATATCTGCTCCCACGTCGACCAGGTAATCCATGAATGACTTTGAGGCAGGGTCGTCTTCCCAAGGCACCAATTTCCAGGTAGGGTCGCGAAGAAAAGTGGTTTGACGAGAGATTATCGACTTCGCAACCTGGCCATCGCATGTTAGATGTTGAATTTTTCGGACGGGATGACACTTACCAGCATAATACGATGTTCGAGGAATATGCTTGTCCCAGCATAGGACTTTTGCTGCCATGGACCTCTCCATTCCAAAAGCGACCCGAGGCCATTTGCATGCAACATCCAGCCTTGTTCTGTCTTAGAAACCAGTATCTACACTGTTCAGTCTCCTTGCCCCACAAAAGGACTGTATTATCTACCTCGTATATGTAAAGAGCGGTCATAGACGCCAACGTACTATCAGTGCGCCGATCATCGTGATTCGAGAGTGTCTTGCGAATCTCACACAACGCGTGCCCATATAATGTGAGTGCTTTCGTGATCACTTCATTAATCTTGTGGGCTTGCCCAAACACTATTGCCGCCAAAGCATCCCAAGATTTAGGACGCGGCTTTTGAGATGTTTCAGCTAGCTCGAGGACCCAGTCTTTCGGTAGGCCACACTGGCTTTCCCCTCGGTATTCAGCCTCGAACAGCTTGGAGAATAGGTATGATATGAATATATCGTCCTTAAACGCCGTCAGAGGTAATGCGTCTGTCAGTAAAGGAGCGGGCTGAGGCCAAGGAAATAGATTGGCAGGGAATACCAAGTCAGCCTTGTTCGTCGAGAAGTCGTGAGATTGAGCATGGGACACTGCCATGGATCGTTTGATGCGTGGATTCTCGTCCACATATCTTAGCCGTTGTCCAAAGCCGGTGCATTCAATGCCCGCCTTGCGGCATCGGATGCACTTTGGACGTGTGTTGTCGCATTTAACCTTCCTCCGTTTACAAGAACCGCATCCGGCTGTCTGTGCTCCCATGGTATTGGCGTCCGGAATTAATCGATCGATCAATCAAGGTGAAGAGCTAAGATTAGACATTAGAAGTCGAATCCCGACGAAGAACGGCGGAAGATTGGTTGAAACAAACCTAGAACGTGAAAGAAGGAAGGAGGAAAATCGCACATAATAGCATGTTTCGGGAACAAGAACTTATAGATCACCTTTAAGAACAATGATCTGAGTGCTTATAAATCATCATATTTTGCATGCGGAGTCTAGCGCCCTCGCACATATAACCCTGAATTGGGTCTAGCGCGCTTCTCCATGAGCCTCTTCAACTCATATCAACAAAATAAAATTGCACTGAAACTGTATCGTCAGGCCATGTGGGTACTTTGAGAATTTCAAAGACTTTAAGTTCGGACTCTTCGGACTACTCGGTGTTCCTGCAAAGATTGCTTTGAAATCGAACAAGAAAGTGTAGAGGTAGGAACTTTCCACTTAGTACGTATTGACAATATATATGAGCATCTCCTCGTTGGAGGTCGTACCATTCTTACATTATTTCTTGCATCAACTTCTCGGACTGATAGGGTGTGCAATTTGGAAAACAACGAAGAATATGTCCGCACAAAGTCCCGACTTCGACACTAGCGAGACCACAATGGCGGCAGCAGCGGTGGATGGTCATACAATCGACTCAACGAACAGCAGCGAGCAGATAAAATTGAACGAGATCCTTCCCGATAAGGAAGATGGCGTTGCAGCTGAACAAGTCGGTGATGAGCCCCAGTACGAGACAGGCTGGCGGTTGGGGGCCGTCATGACCACCATCTTTTTGACCACGCTTCTTGCAGCCTTGGATATTGTTAGTAGCTGTTCAACAACGATAGACAAGCTTTTTCTAACAGGCGTTACCTGTAGGGCATTGTCGCTACAGCAATTCCAGCCATTACCGACGAATTCCGTCAACTCGACGATGTTGGCTGGTATGGAAGTGCTTGTTTTCTCCTAGTCGGCACCTCCTCGCCGATGTGGGGTAAACTTTACAAATACCTTCCAACCAAGCTCATTTATCTTGCCTCTGTGGCATTGTTCTTGATCGGGAGTATTGTTGCTGCAACAGCACCGAATAGTCAAGCCTTGATAGTTGCCCGAGCTCTCCAGGGCTGGGGATGTTCTGGTAGTCTCGGTGGCTCGGTTCTCATGATCAGCTATGTAGCGGAGCCTAAGAAACGTCCAATGCTGATCGGCCTCTGGATGGGCGTCTTCATGTGCTCGACTATCGTGGGCCCTCTCATTGGTGGCGCCTTTACGAGCGAAGTTACATGGCGATGGTGTTTTTGGATCAATTTGCCGGTTGGAGGTCCTGTTATACTTCTGGTGTTGCTCTTCTTCCGCGTACCAAAGCATATCAAACCGGCCCCAGCCACCAAAAAGGAGATTCTGCTGCAGCTTGATCTCCCGGGATTTACTCTGCTAGTCACTTCACTCGTCTGCTTTACCTTGGCCCTCCAATGGGGCGGGCAGAGCAAGGCATGGAGTGACGGCTCCGTAATTGCCACCTTGGTTCTATGGGTTGTGTTAACCATTGCGTTCGTCATCACCGAGTGGTGTTCGGGTGCTTACGCTATGGTACCTTTGAGTCTACTGAAACCACGCATGACATGGACCAATGCCTTGTACGGTTATATGTGAGTACCCCTTTTCTCGGTGTTACCTCTGACCTAGCTAACATATGGTTTCCGTGAAGCGAAAACTGCGCCAACTTCCAAGTCCTATTCTATCTTCCCATTTACTTCCAGTCAATCCACGGCCAGTCGGCTATTGCGAGCGGCGTCAACAGTCTTCCGTTTTTGGCATTCTTTGCCGTCGGCTCCTTGCTCAGCGGTTTCCTTATCATGAAGACTCGCCTTCTCCAACCCTACGAGCTGGCGAGCGGATTGCTAGCTGCTGCCGGCGCGGCCTTGCTCTATACTCTAGATCTTGACTCTTCTAAAGCTCGGTATATCGGGCCCCAGGTCATTTTCGGGTTTGGCCTCGGCCTCGGTAGCCAGATTCCGATGACGGCACTTCAGGCTTTCTCCAAGCCTGAAAACGTGGCATCGACCACGGGTATCATGCTCAGTAAGTACCAATGAACCACTCGATGGTCTACTGTTGTTGCTTCACTAATCACGCGATCAGTGTGCAACTCCATTAGCGGTGCCTACTTCGTTACAGCAGCACAATCCATCTTCGCCAACCGCCTTTTGCAGAGACTTGCCAGTAGTGCCCCCAATATTGATGCAGCCATGGTCCTTGCCACGGGAGCAACTGACATTCATCGCGTCTTTAGTGGTGGAGATCTTGTCGCTGTACTCGAAGCTTACATGAGCGGGATAAAAGATGTCTTTGCTTTCTCTATGGCTGGTGCAGCGGTAACTGCCGTCATCGCCCTCGTGATACCCTTCAAGAAGGTGCCTAGTAACGAAAGCAGGAAGACCGAAGAGAAGGTAGCGACTGCTGCGCAACTTTGAGATGAAGCATCGACGGTCCGATAGAAATGAGGACCTGAAGAAGACGCCGGCCGTTGGTCGTAATGCGACAGGCAAGCAAAAGAAGACCGGTAAATTGTTGGGGTTATAAATTGAAATAGAATGTGGACAATTGTAATTAAATAGAAAGAAACTAAGGCAGATCATAAAAGAACGGATGCATGTATAAGCTCGGACAACTCTTGAAACATCGGGGTGTAATATTAGTGCGAGTAGCCAGTGGAGAGGATTCTGGAACCAATAATAGAGAAGGACCGCTAGTTTGCTTGATTTCTCAGCGCTTCGAAGAGGACTATACTATGTTGTTGGAAGATGATACTTCTTGGAATAGCTTGCACAGCTGCCACTGGGGTCTTGAGCACATCTATGCGCGCACTGAAACAACGCGCGATTACGGAGCACCGCTACGAGCGTGGGCTCCAGTCTGAAGTCTTTGCTGGAGACATTGGACTTCTCTTTTTTAAGCGTGGTGTCAGGCTATTGTTTGTTGAATGTGCTATGAGAAAGAAAGTGTCAGCACTTGGGAGGCAGGGAGGATAGAGATGAGATGGGTTTCTTCCAACACGCTAATTGGTGTGCTAGTACTATTCCCAACATCACGTGTGTTCGTGACTACCCTATATTGTTATCGTGGCTGTAACTTGTTGATCAGGGAGTAGAACGTACATAAGTTGCTTAGTTTCGAAAGTCCTAGGTACCTAAAGCTATCAGATCACCCAATAGAAAATTTAATATGAAATTGTGAATAGTGGTTGAGGGACCTCGCCTTTAGGAAGAGCAACACGCACGTGACAAGCCGCGTGCATCGTGTTTCTTCATTTTTTTCTCATTTCCAAAACAATCCCTTGGAAGTACAAAATTCTACACCAGACCAAGCTCAGGCAAAAAGACATTATGGATCACGAGGATAAACGCAACGGAGGGCCTACAACCGATTTCCGTACGCCAATCCTTGCTATTAGACATGCCATCTGTTTCACGTGCCTACAATCTTTTCCCAATTTGAAGAAATGTGTCGCGTGCAAAAGGGTCTCCTACTGCTCTCCAAAATGCCAAAAGATAGACTGGCAGAGAGATCACAAGAAGACATGCAAAATCCTCGCTGAATCGAACAAGCGGAGAGCAGAGACTCGTCGCACTTCTAGATTCTGGGAGCAGTACCGTGCTGAAAAGGTGTGCCGAACCCGTCCACAAAACTCATCCACCCTCTAATCTGGTCCTACAGTGGCAGGACATTGCTGCGTTTAGAGCCCAGAATCCCAATTATACGGAAAGTCAGCAGCGGCTTTTGTCGTAAGTGTCAAATTTGTTGGATTGCTGCGTTCTCCACTACGCTCGGCGAACCCCAGAGCCTAATTTTGAACAGATATGAACCGTACTGCCGCCATTGCTATAGAAGCGCACCCCAACTGGAATCAAAGAACCAACTCCGGCCATGCCAAACTTGTCATATTGCGGCATTCTGTGCCGACTGTCCACAAGAACACCCCACCTCAGAGTGCAAAACCTTCCAGACAATTAGACAAGACGAGACCTTCGCCATCCAACATTATCAAAGGACGCAGAAAGACTTCGAGGTTATTTGCACCGAGCGGCCTAGGGAGACATATCTGCCACTTTCAACGGCCATCGGCTGGCACGACTACTTTACCAGAATATCTGATAAAGGAGAATTTCTCTCAGAGGTGACATCCGAAATGCAGCCATCGACGGATGATCCAATGGCAGTAAAGCTTGCGGGTTTAATGAGACTCGCATCTGGCACCTCATCAATGGCCCTTACTATACTGGCGGCTTTAGAAGCAGTGTTTCCTGATATCAGCACGCGGACGACAATGAAGCTCCATTTCATCGGTGCGGCCAGCCCGGAGCTTAATGGTCTTATGGTTTTTGAAGAATTGCTGCACCTGCTACCCTCACTGAAAGACCTGGAGCTCACGCTCGTCGGTTTTGAATTGCCTGAGCTAACGGAAGACACTGCCATGCAACTTGAATGTTGTCCGGATTGCACTGCTGCTTCCCGAACAAGAATACTAAGGCTCTGGAAAGGTGGCTATCATGATTATGTCAAGGAAGATGGGTATCAAAAGCCAGACCTCGCTGTTGCTTTTCATACTGGCTTCTCGCAAGAGATGGGAGAGGCGTGGCTGCCCACCGTTCAGTACTTAGCAGCTGCCCAACATCCCACACTGTTTACAACTTACAACGAGAAGGAGATGGAAGAGGAGATGGCAATTCTCGACAGATTTGGGGCAAACTTCCTGCAGCGCGGAGAGATCAATAAGTGGAAAGGCGTTTGTCCTATGCTTGAGGTCATGGAGGAAAAGGAAGGCACGTTTTATTTCATGCACCAATATAGGTATTTGGTGGCAGCAAAGACACCTGATCAATAGTGCACGATCAATTAATAAGAATAACAAGTGTTGCATTCCAGTTCTGTATTTCCGACGACAGCAAAACATTTCAACGCTTTCAACCAAAATCAATACTGCCGTCAAGAGCCTGGACGTGAGTCCCATGTGGTATATCCCAGTTCCATACAAAAGAAAGAAGCACGCGGAAGGCTAAAGATGCTAAAACACCGACTTGCTATTAAGGAGTGAATGTGGCGACATTTAAATCGGCAGGCAGTGCAGATATCATCTCCGACGGCTTATGGTTCGCCCACCGGAACGAGAAGAGAAACCCGTTGCGCTTCGGGTGTTTCCATTTGTCCCAGAGATATTAACCTGGGGTGGTTTGGCCGACGATGGTCCCTCGGTTTTCTTCCCCTTTGCAACTTTGAGCTCGTCTTCTATGACCTTCACAACGGCCTGTTTAGTGTTGCTTTCGGGGTCACCCAGCAGGTCCTTCCGCGCAGAGTAGAGTTCGACTTCAAGGTCCTTGATCGTGAGTCTGGCTTTTTTCTTTTCGATTTCAGTCTCGAGTTTTGAGACTTCGGTTTCTTTCTCGTCGTTTTTAGCTTCCCTTAATTTGTGCTTTAGGGTGGTGATATCGTTAGCCAATTTTGCCGCGCTTTCCCGCAGCTTGTCTAGTGCCCTGTCTCTAAGGAAGTCAGCAGATCGAATTTGAATTGAGAGAAGACTACGTACCAGACCCTGGCTTGAACTTGGTAATTCCAGCGCGATCCTCTTCAACCCCGAGATTAGGTGCGGACAGAAGCTTGTGCCTCAAAATTGAGCGTGCCCCGATGATTAACTGGCAGTCCGTGTCGGAGGAAACAAGAAAACGCATCCCACTATATAACCTTGGACTACTGTTGTGGTACCAGGTGATATATAGCGCGCCTTCTGGCATGTGTGGATGGCCCGTCGCGGATGTTCCTCCGTTCTTCTCCTTCGCATTGAGGGGTTTGAAGTCAGACTCGGTATAACCCAGCCTGAGAGCAAATTCTTTAGAGATAAGATTTCCTTGGAGGCAGCCGGTATCGAAGGTGCATCGCGCCTGCTGGTGCAAGTTTGTCCCGTCGGAAGGTACAGCGTTGACTGTTAGAATCCATGGACAATCGCCATTTGCGAAAACCTAGAGAATCAGCATACCGCCACTACAATTGTACTGAATGGCCACGTACATCGTCGTCTTCTTCGGGCTGCGGTATATTGAATGTCTTCCTTGCAGCTCGTTCCGTCACTTGCGGGCCAAGAAAAACCCCTTTCAAACACTGCCACCATGATATACTGACTGTGGCAACCTGTGTACGCCTTCGTTGGACCTTCTTCCGGTCGAGAACTGGCACATCGGATTGATTATCTACGATCGTAAGGCCAGATCTCGCAGACCCGACGGAGGTTGAGCGACGTCGAGGGGTGTCAATTTTTGGGGTGTCCAGAAGCCCAGCCTTGTGGTCTTCAATGCTGGAAACTAGAGGTAATTAGTTAAGTACTATTCTGGTGAGAGGTATTGGGAACTTACCACTTGTTTTAGGGCTGTCTTGCATCTTGATTTTCACTCGCAATCGATGTCTAAGAGATATCCAGTGAGAGTGTTTCTTGTGTTGATTCGCGGCAAGCACCTCTTTATTATAGTTCATTCATGGCTTGTCCCGCAATTTTATTGCTCTCACACCTCCCACACCTCCCACAAGTCTAACAGAGCCTCTTTTGGCGCCGGGGGTCCTATGGAGGGCCTCAGGGGTACCAATCCCTGGCAATAGTCGTAATGCCTGGTTCTCTACCCAATGAAAGTCGGACAGACCAAGTTCCAGCTTACTTTGCAAAGGGGTCCTGATGATAAATCTTACACTCTAACTGCAAGGCAGATCCTAATTTCCTCGTGGCTGTTCCCATTTTTGTTCATCGAAAGCTTTGGGGGCCCAAAATGTCTTCCAGCTGACGCTGAATGACACCCCTAGGTGGCAAATTTGAGCAAGGTGGCCAGAAAGAGGGCGGAGTCGAGCCTCACGGCGGATCAGCGACGGCACCATTGTAAGCCATCCACAGCCAATTCCTATCGTTTAGCACTTCTACCGTCAAAGAAAGAGGAAATAGAGCCGCTCCCCCAGCCTGAGTCAGAAGGATCAAGAACCTCGTTCTCGTTTCGTAACCTTAATCGAGGCCCGCAATCGTGGGACGAAATGCTGCGGCGCAGGCACTTTCGAGCACATCAGCATTGTGCCTCAGCTCCGCGGACTTTCTTGTGCACCGGTTCTTGCGTAGGAGACTTCCCGCGCGTTTTGCACATCGATACTTCTGTTCAAATATCTGGACGCAAGGTCGTCAAGTCGAAGAGGTTGCCGAACTTTTTTAACTTGAGATGGGGGCCGCCCCTTATATTTCTCAAGCCGCAGAGTCAGCGAGTCAACAAGTGGAGCGCATGCTGCCTGCTGCGCGGTGAGAAAATTGTGTCAGGTTACTAATGGATGCATGCTTTTTCCAGGCTGTGTGTAAGACTTCTTGATTTTCAGCCAGGTGGTGTGGTAATCGGTCAGACAACGCCTAAATGGGGCTGAGCGAGCCACACCAGAAATTCCGAAAACTACAGCCTCAATGATACATTTAAATTACCTTCAATCACATTTCTGACGAGCAAAAGAGAGAACCATTATCTGATGTACATCCAGAAGCTTTTTCACAAATTTCCAGTCAAACTGCGCGGCCTGCGGCTCTACTTTTGCAGTATTTGGGCATATCGTTCAAATCCCGCCCCCAAGTACAGGAAACAGCCAAGGTGCTGCTTTCGTAGATACTCCACATGGAGGCGTCGAATAGGGAATCGCGACATGCAATTTACGCCGAGTAGCCGTGAGGCTATAATATATTCGGTGCATGTTTGGTAGTCGCAAAATTCGAGAAACAAGGCGGAAACAATATGGGCATTTTCAGAAGATCGAAGTCCACAATCAGAAACTATGCCATAAGGAAATCGCAAATTTGTTGTTCATCTCTGAGGCTATGCTAGCAGCATGGCGTATCACCAGCGATTGACGGTTGAAGACATATGCAGAGCACCCGATTATGCAGCATTAGTTGATTATGTCCACATGTCCCACGAATCAAAAGATCTCCGGGTAATATACAGCATGCAGCCCGCTCTTCAGCTTCTTGCTTTCAAGGCGGCCATTGAAGACTTTCGCCGCCATTGCTTAAAGTCGGGCTTCGATATCGCCCCGCACTTATTTTGCGTGGCTTAGACGCAAAGCAAAATCTGATAAGACGGAGTGAGACTACATGGCGATGGTAGAGAAATGAGTCTTTCTTCGATTTCTAAACGCTCTGAGATCAACAATGGCCATCAGAGGCAGCAGGCATTCGACCTCGAGTCACGAATCTGACTTATCAGCCACTGTTTGCAATCCGAGTTCAACTCAATCTACACCTAAAGAGTCAGACTTCCCACCAGAGCCAGCTACTCGTGTGAGTTTTAGCACCTCTAGTAGCAGGAGTGAGGAAGAACATGATGTCAAGGACGACTTGAATAATCCTGTCGACGGATGGCCCCGGGTTGCTTTGTTGATGGCTAAAACGCCAGATTTTGCAGCCTTCTCGCGTTTCAGAGATCTCAATGTCAAGAATCTACTGTATTATCAAGCACAGTTGACACGGCTGAGACGGAAATTACACGAACAAGAATATGACGACGTTCGAGATAGAGGTGAAGATGACGAGGTTCGCAAATATGCAAATAGGGCAGATTTCTTGATGACAGCTGAGGGGTCGGCTCAACTGAAGCTGGTTGTAGAGATTAGAGGCCTTCTGAAAGAGTATAGTGAGTCTAGCACTTAATTCCCCATCTAATCAAATGCTGAATTTGGTAGATGAGGCTTTACTTCAATATTCCCAGGTATCGGCGTTGCCAGAGCCGGACACATACAATATGAAAAACTTTAGAAAATGGCTACGACACGCCGACAACGGCAACTTCAGTATTGGAGGGGAAGGAGAACAACATACATGGGGAGATATTTACGAGGATCCTGACGAAGAAGACTTTTCTCCCTGGAAGCGATTCTGGAAGATCATCTGGACTTTGATCTGGACACAAGCACCGCCGACGAGTGATCTCGATCTCGTTGTTACGAGAACGCCACGGAAAATCGATGGGTTTACACGATGGGTAGCTTGTTATTTTATACCTTTCTATGAGGATTTCACCCGGTACAGAGAACAAAAAAGGACAGACAAACAAATAAAGCAGGGAACTGCAGATATGGAGAAACAGCCAAAGGGGTTGAAGAAACGCTTGTCAAAACGTTCATCGAAGAAGGCAAAACGTGTGTCGCCGGAAAACTGGGTGCCAAAAGCAGAGAAGCAGGAGACGTTGGCGACATGGTCCGAGAAAGGAATGCTGAGGTTCACAAACTCCATCTCGACTGTCGTGGCATGTCTACTTCCAACCATTGCTATCACAGTCTTAACCCAGGTTCACGGAACGAGAAATTTGTTGCTCTGCATTGCTGGTTTTGCAGTTATATTCGCCGTGGGCCTGATATTCTTGACTAATGGCACAAGCTCGAGGGTCGAAATTTTCACCGCTACTGCTGCGTAAGTACTATACGCCCCAAATTGATTTTTAGCATGCTGACTTCTGAGAAGGTTCTCTGCTGTCTTAGTGGTCTTTATATCTGTCCCGGTCATCAATGTTCAGGGTCAAGCTACAGTTGGAAGTTGAGATGTAAGGGAAAGCATTTAATTCGGTCCTTGTGCTTGGGTCAATCGAGATACTAGCGTCTGAAGACAAGAACATGATTTACTCGAAAATAGGAGGTCCTCTGCAGCACATCGAATTGTTTGGTCTTGATATGTATATAAATTTTTTACGGAGCCAATTTTAAATACAATCATTTTGACGAGCAAGCCACGGGTGTTATGTAAAAGAGCGAAATCCGTAGCAAGTAATAATCCCTCTAGGATCTCATTCTCCCCGCAAAGGGACTAAAATCAAAGGAACAGTAAATAATCACAACTGAGGCTTAAATGCGCTCGCGTTTTCTTAAGGTATAAGATGCACTTTCAGGAGATTCTAAGGCATAGAGCCCCTAGGGTTCCCTATTAAAAGGGACTTTCTAGGCCTCTACGAACGAATCCAACCCTTCATCAATCTACAGCTTGCAATGAAAAGTCTATGCAGAAGGTAAACGTTAAACGTTATACCCCCTATATAGGTTTATATAGAGAGCTGCAGATACTATCATCATAGGACGCGTGGAGGGGACCAGGGAAGTCCCTTTCAAGGGGGTACCCTAGGGGCTCCATGCATTAGCATATCTGGAATGGATCACTTACCGATCATAGAACTCGTTGCCGTAGAGATCCACCCAATTGTGCCACTGGGTCCAATATTCAGACAAGAGCATCTTTGAGGTAGAAACTTTGCTGTAACTGCCCATCGCCGCATCGTAGGAGAACATACCATTATTGTGAAAGGCTCGCAGCACTTGACGTAGTCGTTGAGGCTGGGCCTTGCTTCGCTTTGCGAGATTATGCCGAAAACTTCCCAAATAAGATGTGAGAGACCTTGAGTTTTCGAAGTAAAATAAACAAAAAACAACGCTAATTATATTAGATCCCATTGCATGTTTACCTTCGGATTTGACAAACGCGGCAGTGAGCATGCCGGACTTCTAGCAACAGGCAGCCTCGGTAGCGTCAAGCGTGCGCTTGTGGTTACTCAAGGCACGCCGAAGTTCGCAGAGAAGATCTTAATATACACAGATGGGAATCTCAGCCTGGCCCAAGAAATTCGAGCGGAGCTTGCCGTGAGCGATATGGTCAGTTCTACGGAGGTCGACGACCGTTCAATCACACGGCTCAGGGATGGCGGCTCAGGATCAATTCCCCTATTGGAGTTTGAAGACGGTACGATAAGCCCACAAGATTTTCTCGTTTATCAACTGTTTGCTAGACCGCCATCGTGGGTGGTTGAGCAGCTGGAGCTCGAACTCAAGATTATAGGCAATCTCAAAACGAGCGGTTTTTTCTATCAGACAAATGTGCCAGGCGTATTTGCAGCTAGAGACTGCACTTCGCCATTTAAGATCATCCCTAATGCTCTGCTAATGGGAGCGAATGCTGCTGCGGGAGTTGCTAGGGAGTTGCCCAGAAGTGTGACAGGAAATGGTTTGGTCAATTTGAGGTCCAAATAAGGTACAAGGAGCATTGCGGATAATACTTTCGCCTTCTTCTATAGATGGAGTTCGTTCGGGTTCTACTTTTATATCGGTTATACTCGCTGTCTTGCTGTTTTGGAAGAAGGATGAGAGGTTTATAGGGAGGGCTTTGTAATGGTCACATGACTCATCTCGCTTATTGATTCAGGGGTAAATCAGATTAAGGGGGCTGCGACTGTTCCACCATCTCCTCCTGAATGTGCAGGGTAGAAACATCTTAAGCCCAAATTACGCGATCTTGTTGTGGATAGCATAGAAGCGCCCGGGGCAGACATGATTACCATATCCAAACCTACACGTTTGAATTAGCAGCCAGAAAGTGAAGATGGTGGGAATAGGATATTTATTGCTCACGCGAGGTTGGTGGTATCCATGGAGGACGCACTCCATCTTGGGTGATCATCCGTGCGCTGCAGAAGCACGTTCCACTTCCGAGCAGCGAGGTGGGGCCCTATCTGCCCGCACCCGCATTGCATTATGACTCAGTCGAAAACTTCCTACTTTCCTATAGACAATATGAGCAAGCCCTGCGGATGATCGAGAGTCACCATGGCAGACGATACTGCTCGGCAAGGTGTTGCCAAACTGCAACTTGACGAGGAGACAGGGGAAATGGTCTCTAAAAATGAGCTCAAGAAACGCACACAAAAGCGGGCTAAGAAGGCAGCTGCCGCCGACGCTCGCAATGATAAGTCAACCTCGACCACGACTTTGGCAGTGAAGGCACCGGTGCCCGAAGGCCAAGCGGTCATGACTGACGAGCCCGTTGCTGATCCGGATGCCATGTTCAAGCAAGGCTTTCTGGCCCAAGTATATGAGCAACGCCCGTCCAAAAACGTCGTAACGCGGTTTCCACCAGAGCCAAATGGCTACCTACACGTAAACATATTTCCATTCCTCCCCATCTGGGTTTACAAAAAGAGCATGCTAACCTGTGGCTTTAGCTCGGGCATTCCAAGGCTATTGCTATAAACTTTGGGTTCGCAAGACATCATGGTGGAACAACAGTAGGCATTACTCCCAAATATTCATGGATATAACTGGCTAATATCATAATCAGATACTTAGGTATCCGCTCTCTCAGCTATCCGTTCGAATTATGCTGATGTATCGAATACAGATTCGACGATACGAACCCCGACAAAGAGAAGGAGGAATATTTCGTCGCAATACAAGAGACAATCCGGTGGCTGGGGTTCACCCCATCGGAAATCACATATGCGTCTGACAACTTCCAACGTTTATACGATCTCGCCGAGGAATTGATAAAACAGGGCAATGCCTATGTATGCCACTGCGATGAAGCGGAAACCAAGCGGCAGCGTGGTGGAGAGAAAGGCTCCATCCCTAGATATCGTTGTGCGGATGCGAGCCAAGATGTCGAGGCTAATTTGCAAAAATTTCGCGACATGCGAGACGGTAAGTATGCGCCTACAACCGCTTGGCTACGCATGAAGCAGGACATCGAGAATCCGAACCCCCAGATGTGGGACATTGCGGCCTACCGGATTCCTCAAGAGGAACGTCCACACTTTCGGACGGGCACCAAGTGGCGTATATATCCTACCTATGACTTTGCGCACTGCCTGTGTGACAGTTTTGAAGGCATTACGCACAGCTTGTGCACCACCGAATTTCTCATGTCACGGGATAGCTACGAATGGCTCAACCAGTATGTCGTTCCCGTCCCCACCGAAATAAATCATGCCACGCAAACTTTCTGACATTTTTAGACGTCTCGTTGAATTCCAGCCAATGCAGCGCGAGTATGGCCGTTTGAATCTTACTGGCACCATTCTGAGCAAAAGAGAAATAGAACCGCTGGTAGAAAAGAAGATAGTCCGAGGCTGGGACGATCCCCGCTTGTTCACTCTCAAGGCCATCCAGCGACGAGGCGTCCCCCCTGGAGCGCTTCTTTCATTTGTATCCGAGCTTGGCGTAACCACAGCCAAGACCTTTGTTGATAACAAGCGATTTCAACAAACCGTCCGGCAATACCTTGAGAGGACCGTTCCGCGCCTTATGCTTGTTCTCGACCCAGTGTCCTTGATAATTGAAGATGCTGAGGAAGAAGAGCTTGATATTCCATTCTCGCCTAAAGATTCGAAGATGGGAAGCCACAAGGTCCGCCGTACGAAGAGAGTCTATATTGACCGATCAGACTTCCGCGAGATTGATAGCAAGGACTATTTCCGACTTGCGCCGGGCAAGACTGTCGGTCTTTTGCATATGCCATACCCGGTCAAAGCTGTCTCGTTCGAAAAGGATGAGGCCACTGGGGCGGTCGTGGAGATCAAATGCACTTTCGTCAAAGAAGGCAAGAAACCCAAGACCTACATCCAGTGGGTACCCGAGGGATCTCCAACTGCCGAGGTACGCATTCACACGGCTTTGTTCAAATCAGACCAACCCAAGTCTGCGCCTGGTGGTTTCATGAACGACATAAATTTGAACAGTGAGACGATTTGGCCAAACGCTATGGTTGAAAGCGGCTTCTACGAGGTACGCCGGCGAGCGCCGTGGCCCAAAGCTGAGGGCGAGAAAACAGGTGAAGTTGGGCCTGAGAGCGTTCGGTTCCAGGCCATGCGTGTTGCGTACTTTGTGAGTAGCTCAGACCTTGCTCTTCCTTTGCTTGTGGTGTTAATAGTTTCTTGCGCAGGCTTTGGATTCAGATTCCACAGATGATCACATCGTACTTAATCAGATCGTACCTTTGAAAGAGGACCTTGGTAAGAGCAGTGAAGGGTTATGACAACATTGTTATAGAAACTGAATTATTATCTGAATTCTTTGTTTGGCGGAAAGCAAGCCATTTGGACGGCTTCTAGACACGACAACCGTCCGAGGTTTTTATCAGCAGCCTCGGCATGTGGGTATCCCATCTCCCTAGTAATACAGATGCCGAATGCCTAATATGATAGATATCTCCAGATTCTGACATCGGATACGGATGTTTCCATTCAGACGCTGGGAATCCCTCGTGGGACTATTTGGTCGTCGTACACGATGCTATATCTAGCCTTCTTGATCTCCGGTACCTTCCATGCACTATGACAGATGACCATGCTATGCCCATCTAACATTACGTTCGCGGAGTGGACATGGGGTTTCTTCGTATTCTTCGTTTGGCAATTGGGTGCCGTACCCTGGAAGACATCGCCCAGTGGTGCTTCAAGAAGGCTACTGGAAGAGGCTTACCAGACGAAGAACAGAGGTATTGGATGAGAGGAGTGGGGTTTTCATGGGTGACGTTGTCTATGTGGGCGTGTATTCGCTTGGTCGGGGATACATTTCTGCGCATGAGAATGAGGGAGCAAGCCTTTTCACTATTGTCGGTACCTTGCTTGGTGCAGAAATATGTACCCGTACCGTCGTGATAAGGAAGATGGTTCTTGTACGTGGATGACTACACCGATTAGAATACTGCATAGGTATGAGGGAATCCACTCGGCATATTCGTGAGTCTTGGACATCTATAAAGCCTAATCTCAAATCTTTCACCCGCCTTCTTCCAGATATATCATCTCAAACTTAGTTTCATGAGTGGACGCCTCATCTTTCAACATATTTTCATTCACAGTACGTTTTCTTGTTAATAAATCAGAGCAAGTAACCAAGCGGTCAACAAATAAGTACTTCCGCTTCCGCTTTCGCTTTCACTTTCGCCTTCTATAAGGCGTTCCCAATTGCTCCGAGACAATGGCAGTTAACAAGGAAGATCCAAATCCAGGTATATTAACATACCAGTTATCGCTCCTCAAAACTCCACACGATAGCTTAACGCTTCACTATATTGGCTCCGTTAGAATCGCCGTACATCTCAACTGCATCTGCGGATGTTTAACCCACACCCCATCCACACCTCACCCCCCTTAACAAGCATACCCAACTCATAACCCTCCCCCCACACGCACCAGCAAACCCCGAATCATAAGATCAGCAACATGTCTCCCCACACACTGCCTCGGCGCAAACCCAAAGCGCCTGCACCGCGCCCTTCTCCGCAAAGCGCGCGGGGAATTCAGGGGTTGGTTTTCGGCGCTGTGCTGATATCTCGGAGCGGAGACGGGCTTGTGTTTCTGGGTATGCATGCGCCGAGGAAGCCTAGGTTCCAGGAGATGCCGCCGAGTGTTACGTCGAGATGGGCGTACAGCAATTCGTCGAGCGTCTGTCTGCAGGAGCTGCTCTGCGCTTATGTCGCTGCTGTTGACGGCGTGGTACATAGGTATGTAAGATTACCAGTGCCGTGTTGCTGTTTTGCTTCATGGCGCTCGCGGTCCCGAGCGCGGCGGTTGGGGGAAGGACGAGTATTGGGTCTTGACTCTTAGACAGATGCGGTTCTCGGTTCGCGGTCGTGGGAAGGAAGGTATTTCGACGTGATAGACCTCCAGCGACCACATGTTTGATTGAATGAGCCCTCTCTTCTACGTGCAGTTCATATTCCATCTCTGAGATAGTGCGCCGTAGATGCTTTAGCCACGATCCAGAAGGGTCGGTACCGTACTTGAAATCCAGCGCCTGATGCATCATGCATGGAAGATCCGGGAAGGCTGGAGTCTGAGCAGGGAGACCGCGTTGCACGTTACTGTTAGAAGCAGAGGGCTTCCTTGTCTCTATTCCCGCCAATATCCTTCCAGCACAGCCAAATCTCCTGCTCCTCAGATCCCCTTTTCCATTCCGACTTTCGTACTAAACTACATACCAGACTATTCAAAACCCCCATCCATCCAACGGTATATTTGAGTATGGTTATTACCGCAAGACAAGACGTGGATTACTTAGGATAAATGTAAACGCAATTACATTCTAGGTATGTGCAGTGAGAAAACTATGCAGAATATCGTTTTATGGACTAGTACTGTCACTTTGAAGTCCTGGAGTACACTAGAACGTTGTCCTTATCTTGTGTAAGACTTACTATATGGAAAGAAATAAGGAATGATAGGTGGGCTATGATTGATATTTATCGGCTACCTGGCGGGCGGGCAAAGAGCATTTTCGGCGACCATGGTTATAAGATCCCAGGCAAATATCTCAGTGCGATGATGCTCCCCTGATCTTGTGAAACTGGACGGGGTGCGAGGAAGACGCAGCTTCTGTTCCTCGCTATCGATGAACGAACTGGTGCACTGCACTGCACGGCACGGTACCTAGGCTAGTGAGTGTTGAGAATGCTGTTTTGGCAGACGGGGGAGGGGGGAGATCAGAACGCACGTCTTGGAAGGGAGGGAGAAAGGGTCACGAAAAGGGAGACGAGGACGAGTTAGTAAAAGCAGGCAAATTAAATGCAAATCCGTTTTCTTTTTCTATCCAGACAAAAGCTAATATATACAAACAGCCTACCCATCCAACCCCAAAGCACCGATACCATACCCATTTACACGCCCAATGTAATCTTAAGCCCCCTCAGTGCTAGGCGCTCCTTGACTCCGCGTCCGTCTTTGCGCTATACCCACAGTAGGAGCCTTCTTCTCCTTCTTAGACGCAGTGCTATTCTTGGGACGTCCGGGTTTCTTCTTCTCTCCGCCCGTTCCGTTTGTTTTGGCGTCGGTGCTTGTTTTCTGCTTCTTGGCATCCGTATCCTCAGTTTTCTCCTCGGCATCTGCAGAAGACTGTTCGTCCACGGTGCGCTTGTCGCCTGTGTTTGCTACCTCGGGCTCTTTCTTCTCTTGTTGCGCGGGTGTGTCGTTGCTATTGCCATTCGGTTTCTCAGTACTATCTCCGTTTGACTCCCCTTTGCTCTCGACCTTTAGCTCATTGGCAGTCTTGACAACATCGTTACCGGAGCGCGAGATGTGCACGGCGGGGTTGGATTCGTCGCCTGTTTTGCTGATGTCATTGCCGCGGTGCGAGGTTACGGTCACTTCCCCAGGTTTGACTTCTGAGGCTGTGCCGGAGGGATGGGAACCGTTCCAGTTCCAGGAGACTGTGTTTTGTGTCAGCATTTTGCTGAATGATGATGTTGGAGAGTTGGCATGTTTTGGTAGGGTGGGGGCGTTGGCGGGGACGATCCGGAGTTAAGGAGGATGGAGGTATTGGGGCTTAAACTCCAGAAAAGCAGATACTACTACAATTCGCAATGCGAGAGAGAGTCAAGCCAAAACAAGAGCTATTCATACCTTTATCGCCTTCTTGAACTTGGGTAGACATCTTGCGATGACGTACGTCAATAATGCGAAAGTGGATATAATATGAGTAACTGCGTAGAGAAGAGTTTGCGATTCAAGAAAGGTTGGTAAAAGTGATGCGCGGATACAATTGACGTATTTGCGACAAAGATGTATTTTGGGAGGAGTGAAAGAAGAGATACGGAGACAAGGAGTGAGGTTGAGAGAGGTAGGGTATGGCAGGTCACCAGGATTGGAATGCGGAACCGGAATGACGCTTGTGGAGCTCTCGAGGTACGAGAAGCAGGGAAGCTGGGAGGGCTGAGGTAAGGACAGAACTAGAGGATGGGATTGACCAATCAGAAAAAGGAAAGGGGGAGAGAAAGTGAAAGTACCAGCGGATTCGAAAGTGTGGAGTGAGGCATGAGTGTGGATCGCAGGTGAGGGGAGACCCAGCGAATCCCACGCCCGCTAGGTGAGGTGATGGATTGCGGGGAAGCTGAAACTGAAGCTGGAGCTGGGAATGGAAATATCATGTGCCCGTGGGTTTGTGTGATACATACAGTACTCCATAAGGGAAAATACCTGTGCTCTCAAATTAAATGCTGCAAAATACTTAAACATGATGCTATTCCCGACTCGGCCCATATCATATCACGTACCTCCTTGCTGGAGAAACATCAGATCTGACTTGCTTTCCGTGCCTGGATTTGTGGGATCTTACTGTACTTAGCTACCTTAATGCAGGTCATCACAGGTCACGTCATGAGAGCACTCCATACGGCTGACGAGACTCGCCTCTCATGCAGATACCAGTCCAAACTTGAGCTATGCTTAAGTAATCCACTTCCATTGTTGCTCGCTTAGTATGTCGAATGAGTATAGAAATGTAATAGTGTGAATGCTCGTAACACTGCTTATCTTCTATCAGGTATAATCAAAGTAGACACTTCTCCTCATTCCAGCTATCCTTCAATCTCATATAAACTTCCCTAAAAATCGCCCTTAATACGCCAAAACCGCTCAATGTTCATATTGCCAACGCCAATAATCCAGCTGGCTTTCTACCAAGCTTCACCCATATCTTCATGCAAATTTGAGATTGTCAAGCATCTCAAGACTTGCTGCTTCCGCCTCCGAATCTACCAGTTTCTCTTGTTGCCGCGGCTCCAATCCCAATTGGGTAGAGAAATGTAGCCGTAAGCATGCCATAACCTCGTCCGCCTCCCGATATCGATCATGTTTCAGCAAGTACTTTGTTGCTTCGAACCCAAGACCCATGATCCTGTTATCCATACTCACTTGCCAATCCTTCGCCTTCTTTGACTGTGAGATAATGAGCGGCACTCCATATGTATGAACCTCCCGTAGCATTTCAAGTGCAAGGTCCACGCTTGGTCGAGTGGGATGAAGGAGCCAAAGGTGGGCAAGGTCATATTTAAAACGTGGTCTCGAAGTCGGTATGAGTCGGAGAAACGAATCATAATTTGTCTCGGAAGCTGGTGGGCGGTCCCAACCCATGGCTTTTGTCAAACTAATGATAAAGCACACAGACCCACCCAATACGTCTCGCGCTTGTTCCAAGGACAAATGGTCAAGGTATCCGGCAGCTCTGCTCATGGCAACATATGCAGCATCCAGGCTATGGGGCCGTGAAGATATAGCGCTGAGAAAGAAGTAGAAGGGTGACATAATATCCTTCTTGAGACGCTGCCGTTCGTCCGAGTTGAGAGGCAATGCAAAGATGTGTGGAATTTCCTTGAAACTTCTCATTATCCAAGCCCAACACGCATCTTGCATCCCCTCGGCGATCATGTATTGCATAAGAAGGACAGCAAATTCCTCGTTACGAAGAAAGTCGAGATTGTTCGCTTGTCCACTTGATATCAACCATTTCAAGACTGTTGTCCCGGCCTTTGAATCCCTCATTCCGTCCTGGACGTTGGAAACATGAGATTGCACGATCTGTTGTTTCTTTGCCCATAAACACTTGGCGGCCGAACTAATGTCCATCATTCCCTTTCCCACTGCAGCCTCAAAGACAAGCATGGGATCTTTGCGAAGGATTTGTCGGCCACGGCCCAAAGGTATACCCAGAGGTATAAACAGGGGGTTGTCCAGCACTCTACTCAGATGTCGGTCTGCGGGATGCTTTTCGGTATGTGAATTTCGCCGTGTATGGCTTGGAGCACGAGGGTCCTTCCTGAGGGCTGGTTCTGCATCTGTAGGAGTTGTAGATGTGAGGGGTCCATGCTCCTTGTCGAGGTGTTTTCGGAACGATGTGGTGAGGAGATTGAAGAGATTCTGAGACTCGCGTGGGTTTAGAGGTAAGGGTGGGTGCAGTAGAGCGCGCAATTGAAGGCTGGGTGTCGAGCTCAGTAAGAGCTTCTGGGAGGCATTGAACATGGTGGCTCTCTGGCAGTTGGCTTCGACGAGGTGCGGTGATTCGTAGACGGAAGATAGATGCTATGTCGGGGTATGAGACCCATGAGACGGAGGAACCTCACTCTATACCAATCACTGTAGCTGTAGCTGCTGATGTTAACCTTGAGGCTCTGCGAGGTGGAATGAGGTTGTCGCCGTGAAGATGTGGGGTGGATGGTCATGTGATGCGGTTTATGCAGGTCTAATCCCCTTTTGGAATAAGGGGGGCGTTGAATAAAAGATTTATGCAAGACGCCTGTCCTGATGTATTCTATTCGTAGAATCCAAGCTCCCAAATCAAATCTACGAAAGACTTCCAGAAAAGCCCCAGTTCCCGCAAAAGGACTGTTTTGTACAACTTCTTTTTTTGCACTGCATGGTCTGAAACTCATCAGTCTTGTGCACCTTTCCTTCTCCCTCCCAAAATCCCAAAGCTGCGCAGGAGAAGTCCAAACCGAGAGAGTACTTTATTCGCCTAAGGAACCTAAGCGCAAAATCAGCTGTCTGCTACTGCCCTCTCGTCATTCCTCTTTCGCAACAAGCCCAAACTCCTCCGCATAAATAAACCAACCTCACTTTCTCTCTCCACCACTCCTCCGAAATCCTCTCTGCCTCCTGTCTACAATTACACACATCCCCCCCTCACACAATGTCTGAGGTACAATCTAGACCCACCGCGCCTCGCGGTAGGGGCTCAGCTCGCGGTGGCCGAGGAGGTTATTCTTCCAGAGGAGCTCGCGGCGGTAGAGGTCACGCAACCAATGGCGACAAGGCAGAGAGCACAGCTATATCAATCGCAGATGGGGGCGAGGTCGGCCAGCTGAAGAAGCAATACGGATCCAAGGTCTCGACCATCAAGGAGATGTTCCCCGACTGGACAGACGAAGACGTCGTCTTTGCTCTACAAGAAACCAATGGCGATCTGGAGACTACGGTTGATCACATAACTGATGGTGAGGCCACCCCTCCATATACATCTGAACTCCTGAGAGGATGGCGCAGATCGGATGCTGCTTCGTGCACCGTTTACTAACAAATCAACACAGGCACCATCTCGCAATGGGGAGAAGTATCGAAGACCAAGAAATCAAAGGTCAAGGACGCTACCGTCACATCTTTCGGCGATGCTACCAATCAGCCTCGTGGTTCGCGCGGCGGTCGAGCTGGCTTTGATACTGGCAGGGGCCGCGGTCGTGGCACAGATCGAGGCAGAGGTGGAAGAGGGCGCGGAGCTTCTGTCGCACACACAAATGGGTCACGCAAGGAGAATGAAGTCATCTCTATCCCTACGACCGAGACAAGCGCATGGGATACTGCGGCCTCGAATGATGCGGCCCCAGTCTGGGACACTCCAGCTTCCACTGAGAAGCCCGCCGAGGATAGCTGGGGTGCTGCTGCTACAGGTGCCGTCTCTTCAACTGCTACCGCTACTACAAAGGTCGCTTCGAGCATCATTCCTGATGGTGTTAAGAAGAGCTGGGCAAGCATTTTTGCTCCTGCGCCAGCTCCCAAGAAGGCAGCCGAACCCATTGAGAAGTATGGCATATCGCAAATTTCTAAAGACAAACTTGCTAACGATTATCCCAGGCCTGCGGAACCTACAAAGTCGGAAGAACCTATCGAACTTCCTACTACAGCATCAGAATCCCCCATTGCCCAGCCTGCCCCTGTCGAACTCGCCAGTCCATCCCCTGTTGAACCTACCACCGTCATCGAACCCGAAATTGCGATCACTCCCTCGAAAGACGAACTCACGGAAGACAACCTCGAACAACTCCCAGATAATTCTGCTCCCGCCCCATCTGCTACAGCTGCCAGTACTACTGCCAGCTCCTGGGACACTCGAAATGTTTCCGGTACCCCATACTCTGCATTACAACAAGGACAAGCACAGGCGGTGCGCCCTGCTGCGACCGGGTTCCAAGCTTCTGCTTTGAAGGCGACTGGTACATCTGCGCGAACCCCTAGTTACCAACGTCGTGTTCTTGATCAAGAAGAGGCCGTCCGTATGCCAGGAAACCGAGAGGTGGATCGAGCTGCTGTTCAATTTGGTGCCTTCAACTTGAATGGTTCCGGAGAAGAGGATGTTGATGGCGATCGCGAGGAGCCTGAGACCCGTGGGCAGCCACCCCAGCACTCTCCAGTTCCTCCCCGAGCCTCACTACCTCCTGCGTCTGTCTCAGAAACCTTCCCGACTCCCAAACAACCAGCAGGCCTGCCAGCAACAAGTCACCCGACTGGTGAGTATTCCGACAAGATGTTTGTGGAATCACATCCTGACACTATCAAAGCTGCGCCTGGTCTCCCAAGCCCTCCATCTGTCTCGAGCACTCTCGGTTAGTCCTCAGCGTAAAGTTAAAAAAAAGAGTACAAGCTAATAACGTCTCAGGCACATCTCAACCCGGTCCTCAAGCCAACGCCCAATTCAGTCAATACAGTCGATATGCACAGGGTGCTCAGGAGTCATCGTCATTGCCGCAAAAGCCATACGATGCCTTCAGCCAACAGGCTCCATCGACCCAAAGCCCCTTCGAAGGCTATCCCACTCAACCAGGCCAGTCCCAAGCTCCTCCGTCTGGACAATCCGGAGCTTTCTCTTCTGCACCAAATGACTTCTCTTCCTACTACACTTCCGATCCGCAACAGCGAAATGCCTACCAGAACTACTACAATCAACAGTACGGATCTCAGGGGCAAGGTGCTCAAGGTCAGCAGGAAGGTCCAGCTTCGCAGCAGCGCTCATTCAGTGGGTACAATGGTCCTCAATCAGAGGGGCCATCTCAGTTCCCACAAAGCGGTACGCAGCAAGCTCCATCTCGTTATGCCACTGCTGGAGAGGGACAAAACAGCGGTCATACCACTCCCAACCCATCTGCTCAGCCGCAGCAACCAGGAGCTAGCCAAGGTGGTGCTCAACCTCAGCCCGGTCCACAACAACCAGCTTATCCATATGGACATCCATACTTCTCCAGCCCATATTACGCTGCGTATGTGAACCAGTCGTACCCAGGGTATGGTGGGGGGAACTACCCAGCAGGACCTTATGGTGCGAAGGGGGGTCTTCAGCAACCATACCAGGGCTACGGTATGAGTCCTGGTGCTCCTTATGATCAGCATGCGTCTTCTCCCGCCGCTGGTGGATTTGGTGGAGCATCATCATTGCATGGCCGTGACGGTGCTCTAGGCGGACTAGGAGACTACGGTCGTGCTGGATCAGCACAATCTGCTCAGACACCCCAAAGCCTAGGTGGCAGTGGTGCTTTCGGTGGACATGATGCATTTGGCAGAGGATCATCTTATCAAGGTCAAAGCCAGGGCCACTACAACCCCAACCAGAGCAGCCAGCAAGGTGGCGATGACTTGAAGCCCTTTGGTGACTCCAAGACAGCCAATGGCCCAAGCCCATCGCTCTCCCAAGCCAACCGACCCGGATCCGCAACAAACACGGCTCCAGGATCCGTGCTTCCTCCCCCACAATCCCAACAAGGGGGTTACGCGGGGTATCCAGCGCACCTTCAGCAGCAGGGTGGCCATGGACTTCATGGTTCCCAAGCCGGTAGCCAATACGGTGGTCTCGGCGGCGCTGGCGGTCACCAGGCAGGAGGCCAGAACAGCCAATATGGAGGCTACCAAGCTTTCGGCGGTGGCAACTACTATGGTGGCAACACTGGACAGCAACAGCGCGGTGGATGGGGCGGCAACTACGGACATTAATTAGTCTCAAGTAGCTGACATTTCTTCGTCCTCGGCGTGATGGATGGAGTGGATTTTCATATCATACCTGTGTTACTACCTCCTACTTGATACATTTGGCAGCTAAAAAATGCATCCATTTTCTCACACTCTGTCTCTGTCTCAATCTTTTCCATGTTTGGGGGAAGCGCAAGCATAAAATGATGAATTGTCCACTCTCGGAATGTCTGTAACTGTTATTCTCACGCACGCTTGTTTTCAACTAGGTTCTCGTTTGTTTTCATCCATCAATCAATCAATCAGTCAGTCAAATCAGGTCACATTGTGCACATCTCGGTATGTACGAATGAATGCGAGCAAAAAAGCAAGCAAGTGTAATTTGGGGCCGGTTCTTTCAATCAAGGGGAAGGGGGAAAGTATTGTTTTGTTCATTTGAGGAATGGGTGGAAATGCAAATGCAAAATTGGGAAATTTGATTCGTTGATTGATATTGATGCGGGGAATGAAAATTGCATATGCATATATGTGTAGTTGGTATTTCTTGAGGTTGAATTGGGATGAATGGGGTGGGTGGATAGGATATGATAGGATAGGATAGTTGGTCAAATTGAATTGAGTTAAATTGAACTTGAATTTTATTTGAAGGGGGTTTAAATGTGATTTTGTGAGGGGACGGATGGGGTGGGGTGAGGTGTGTGGGGTAGGTGAAAGGATGGATGGATACCGGGATAGACGCTCGAGTGAGAATGTAGTAGTGCTAGAGTTGGTTGTTACTTTCCTTCCATTGGAGTCGGGCAAGTGCTAATTTTCTTTCTTTCGTGTTATGCACAAGGAGTTGTTTTCTTTCTCGGCTAGATGAATATTTCCGGTTGCTTAGTTATCTTTCGTGGTATGCTGCAGTCTGTGCTCTCCATCGTAGGGGCTTTTGGAGTGAGAGAGATAATCGAATGAATGGTTGTCTTTGGCTTTTTGGGGTTGGTTGCTATAGGGTGGGATGCGCTTTTATGCTGTTTGCTAAGTTAATTCCCGCGAGCCGTCACGTGTTGTTTAATATATGCAATCCCAATACAAATTCCAGGCTCTGGCTAGTGCTCGGTGCGTGCAAGTAAGAGTAGATGCTTTCAAGAATCAAGGCGAAGAATATAAAGGTGGTAAGTGTATTTATTATTATATAATGAAGAAAAATGTCCAAGTAGAACTCTAGCGCATCCCTTGAAATTTATGAACATAAAGAATCATCTCAAGACCTACTGCTCTGGTGCCCGCACACCTTTGCCCTTCCCAGGCAATGCAGACCAAGCTATTGCCCCATAATAAGCATCTGGATCATTAGCTACACGAATGAGCTCGAAGACATTTAGCTTCCAGTTGATAATTGCTATTTGCCCTGGATGATTCGTTAGATCTCTCAACCTCTTATATTCAGCTCTTACAAAGATCCGGTACGGCATCAACAGATTATGCATGTTTACAGCGTGGTGGTTGATATTCACATATGTAACGCCGCTCAAAGGGGAATACGCCGGTAACGGAACGTTTATCGTTGGTATGGCGATACCTCTTAATTTGCTTAACACAATTGTACTTGCCGTGGTGACGGACACGTTGATTATGTTGTCAAAGCCTTTTAGAATACGCTCGGGGTGCTGGCGGTGGTCTACGCAATTCTGCAGGATATGTAGGCCTTGGTAGTCGAAGTGGATGAGGTTGTTGCGCGCGTTGAAGTAGACTTTTGGGCCGTTGTTGATCTGTAAGAACTGTGGGTTCGCGGCCAGAGCTTCATCTCGGGCTTCGCGGTTTACGCCGAGGAGATGGATGGTATAGGAACAGTTCGCAATGTGGTAATCGTATGCAATGTGTGGTTTGATTGCCTTTCTACCGAAGCGTTTGGTGCCTTTCCGGTACATAACATCACGCCGGAGCTCGCTGGAAACGATCGATAGTTAGCTTCGTTCTTTAGTAATTGGTGGGAGGCGTGGATGTATGCTTAGAAGTCTGGGGGTTACATCTTGGTTTACTTACACTAATAAAACATGATCGTAAGGGATTCTAACAAGATAACTCCAGATCATGAGACGAAGTTCGTTTGGAAGCAGTGGAAATGGGTGGAATGTGTTATTCATGACTTACCGTTTTGACCTTTGGTATATGACGGTATTGAGTGTGAGTCTTTTTAGATGGCTTGTGAGATTATTTGATCTGGGGGCTTTTGACTTAAAATGTGTAGTAGAGACAGGACTTGGGAGTAACCTCAGGACTATCCTTTGTAGAGCCGCAGACACAGAGGATCGTGCTCTCCAAGATATCAGCAGCCAACAAAGAAGTGTTCTTGACAAACGCTAATTTCCTAAGCAACACAAGGGAGTAGATCCCTTAGCGTGAGTAGCACAACCCTCTTCTTTGTATCAGCTGTAGACGTTTGCAGCAACTTTTCAAAACGACATTCGTATATCTGCACCATTGAACATCATCAAAGACATTCCTTGTACAAGAGAAATTGGACAGCAGCCTGTAAGTATCGAAAGTCATCTCGTTAAGGGGGGTGCGGCACGTGGCCCCCACCCACATCTTCCAACACCCCTTGCCCCTTCCCCAGATTCCCCGCAGTCTCATACTTAGGAGAAGGGAGAATAAGTTTGAAGAGCCTAAGACATAATCGAATTCGCCGTTAAGTTGAATCTCATCCCACTGAACTCTTATCATTCTCCATCATTTTCGTCTTTTCTATATAAGGCTATCAAAAGCTCCACTGCTATAGCTAGCTAGCATATAATTAGCAATTCCGTCTATTCTGGTAGAAATATAAATATCTCAAATCCAAAGCACAGAAAATCTACAAATTGTTCTGGGAAAAGCCGAAGTCGGTCAAAATACGCCATAACATACCCACCAATCAAAGCAATATGTCAACTCCATAACCCCCATTCTTCTCCACCTCAAAGAAAACCAAACTCCATCAAATCTCAACTCTATAATTCTCTAACACCGCTTCACGTCAAAATGGCATCCGCCATCTTCGCAAAGCTGAAATGGCTATACCGAGAGTTCGGTCTCAAATCCCTTCGTGACACAGGGAAAGACTCATGGATTATAATCTTTTCTCGATGTACCCGCATGCTAGCCTATGGCACCAACTCCCTCATCATGGCCCTATTCTTCTCCGCTCTCGAATTCTCTGATGAATACATTGGACTCTTCATGACCTTGACTCTGATCGGCGATGTCCTGCTCTCCCTCTTACTCACGCTGATAGCGGATCGAGTGGGACGCCGACGAGTTCTCACCGCCGGTTCAGTCTTGATGGTGTTGTCAGGAGCAACATTTGCTCTGTCTGATAACTTCTGGCTGTTGCTTTTTGCTGCTGTGGTTGGTGTGATTAGTGCGACGGGTTCTGACTTTGGGCCTTTCCGAGCCATTGAGGAATCTACTCTCTCGCACCTTACGACACCCACGACGAGATCAGATGTCCTGTCGTGGTATGTCACAATTGCCAGTGTTGGATCTGCGATCGGAACGGAAGTTTCTGGACGCATTGTAGAGTCTTTGCGGGCGAGGGATGGCTGGGAGTTACTGGATGCTTATCATGCAGTTTTCTGGCTGTATTCCGCAATGGGGACGGTGAATGTCATTCTCACACTCTTCCTAAGCGACAAGTGTGAGGCAACGAAAGTCTCGGAGAAAGAGCCTGTCGAGGAGTCAGAAATCTTGCTTGATGAAATGGGGGGTCGTGATTCAGAGGATGAGGCCAACGAGGACGATCGGATGCCCGCTTCGCAACCGAGACAGCCTGAGACATCCCATAAAAAAAGTATGTTCGCCACCATATCTAAAGAGACACGCCGCATCATGTATAAACTCTGGTTTCTGCTCGTTGTGGACTCTTTGGCCGATGGCATGTGTCCCTATTCGTTGACGGTTTATTACATGGACCGAAAATTCGATAACATCCGCAAGTCAACTCTCGGAGATATTCTTTCCAGTGCTTACATACTCTCCTCCATCTCCACCATTTTTGCCGGTCCACTGGCTCGCCGGCTAGGTCTCATAAATACAATGGTGTTCACGCACTTACCGTCCTCTGCAGCTGTTTTGTTCTTTCCCGTAGCGCAAGGAATCGTATTGACAGTGATATTATTCTTTTTGCGTGCCGGATTTAACAATATGGATCAAGCACCGCGTGCAGCATTTATTGCCGCTGTTGTGAAACCAGAAGAGCGAACAGCCGTCATGGGGATCACCAGTATGCTGAGGACTTTGGCCGGGGCTGCAGGGCCGAGTGTGACTGGTCTGTTGGCAGGAAGTGACAGGTTTTGGATTGCTTTTGTGGTTGCGGGGTCCTTGAGAATCTGTTATGATCTTGGCTTATGGGCTTTATTCGTAAACATGAAGCTCTATGCACACGAAGAAAATGGGGCGGGAAAGACTGATACTATAGCTAGCCAGAGGAATCTGGCTGATGAGGAAAGAAACGATGGTAGTTGAGGTTCTATAAAATAGCGATCACATTCTGAAACTACCTCGCTTGCGCGAAGATCCACAAAATGTGATCGATCCATTTGGAGCTCCCTTGCTTCATATGAACCACCAATGTTTATTGGTTGCACCAATTTTTTCAGTCAAAAGTCAGAAGCCAAATCATGCCCCTACCCCGAACTTTTTCCTGCGTCAAAAGACCGGACGATAATTGTTTGGGGCGAAGCAAACGGACACGATGAATTCAACTCTCACGCCTTTACACCTTTCACATTCTCTCGGTCGCGATGTTGTAGATATCGCCATAACTATGGGATGCCTTGAGGTATTTTTCATAGTGATGTTCTTTGTTTCTCGCTTCAAGATGAGGACGGTCAATACAATAGATGTATATCTTTTGATTCCGGCGTTCTTGTTTAGTTTTGCTCTGGTAATAATCTGCTTTAGTAGGTCGTCTGATACCCGTGCAATTATTTTTTCAATCCACTCCTTATTTAAATAAATTACACAGTTATTAACCTGTATCTAGTTGGAGTTCACTATGCTGGCGTTGGTCGTCACTGGGTTGAACTGTCTATTCCCTACCAAATGCGGAATCTCAAATTCCAAACAGGACTTCAGTTCTTGTATCCTGGTGCCGTTACTTTCCCGAAGCTTTCCATCGTGTGCTTATATCTTCGAATATTCACAAAGAAAAGATACCAATACGCTGCCTATGCAATTTGTGCGATTCTCGTCATCAACCTCATTATTTTATGGTGTTTTGATTTTGCCATGTGTGTACCGTTCAGGTACCAGTGGAACAAACTCATCCACGGGCATTGCATCGACCAAAATGCGCTCTTTACTTGGATCAGCATCCCGAATCTTGTAACAGATGTCGCCATATTGGCGTTACCACTTCCAGTCATATACCAGTTGAAGTGTACAAGAGGTCAGAAAGTTGGCGTGACTATTACCGTTTTGACTGGTAGCTTGTACGTAGCCACTTCCAACCTTTATACTCAACGACTATGTCATAATGTATCGGTAACTAATACTTCAAAGTGGTATCATCACAGCGATTGTGCGCTTCGTCATCTTTCTGACCGTTCCGCTGGCGAAAGATTTGAGCTACTACGGTGCACGGGTGACTATATGGACCACGGTCGAGCCTGGGGTATATCTCATCGCAGCATGTTTACCATCTCTGCGGCCCCTCCTCAACTACTTTAACGTTCCCGTCGAATCTGTTCGGAGCCGATGTCGATCCACCAAGAAAGGCTCCTCTAAAGGTAACAGCGCAGATATCGTTTTATCACCCAGACCTGATAGCATAAGTGGACATCGACCTGTCTTTCCTAGACCAGAAGATTCACCACCGGCAGTTAGTTACGAAGGTGAAATTGATCAGAGGGGTTTGGTGTCGTGCTATAGAAGCACTACATCTATAGATGAAGAAGTTGCAAGCTCTCATGGGGGAGATGTTGGAAGCGCCCATGGTGGAGACGCAGCAAGCGGACAAGCCGTTGATCAAGCAGTCGGAGAGCATGGCAATGGAAACGACACCAGGTGACAAGACGGTTTAGAAAGAGCTCACTGGAGTCAAGATAGTAGTACCGAGTGCAAATATAGCTTGATAGTAAAGACAGGGTAAAATTACCCTACCTCACCTCGCTTAACCCCTTTTCTTAGCAATCTCATCCCACTTTTTACACTTTGCTTTCTTTACTATACCATTAAGTCCTTTGCTTCTCCTGTATTATTTTAATCTATAGATAGCGTAACATCTAGTAATTCCGAGCTTGCTCATATATTGTCTACTTATATAGAATACTTGAAATTCTTCTTATCTGAAAAGCTAAGGACATTCGAATGTTCTTGTTTCACAAAGGAATTTTTATCAATATACCGAATGGCTGATAAGAATATCCACGCGCTAACTCAATTTAAATAGAAAAACCGGTATAAATCAATGCTTAATCAAATTCGATTGAAGTCAGGTTACAAAGCCATGCACTTAGAAAATCTCAATGCTGGCACTTGATTCCAGGATAAAGCACAGAGCCTCAGTCCGAATCAAACTAATCAGCGCAGAGCTGACAGAGCATGAACGAAGCGACGTAACGTTAATTGCTTATTGATCCATATCTCATGATGATGTGAGGTCGCATATCTACTTTGGCTAGCTAGCTAGGGCACAGCCACAACCCTTTCCTAGTAACCTAGGTATTTACAGTACGAGTTTGGGCATCTCAAAGCTTAAACAAACCAACAACAAAATGGAAAAGAAAATGATTATGAATTACCACAAACTAGCTATGTATACAATCATCTCTCTTCAATATCAGACCTTCCCAAGAACCCAAGTTCATAATTCGTTCTTTACCCAACTTCATAAACCCTCGACTCCACAGTCCCAACTCCCAACAACATTTTTCAAGGCAACACAATACCGGCAAGAATCCCCTTGCAATTGCCCAAAATAGAAACGGAAACTGCACCAGAAACGGTATCGGCGGCAATGCCCGATGTGGGCCCTCAGCCAATCAAATGGCCAGATAATGATTCTGGAAGGGGACGATGGAAAAGTTTATCTGAGAACACGAGCAGATCTCCCCTTTGGAACGAACACCCCACACATGATGAACGGCTCCGGCTGAGTGAGTGAAGATACTTGTGCAAAGTAACTTTCTCTCTCCTCTCCTCTCCTCTCCTCTCCTAGACTTTAATCAATCCTCTTTCTCTCCCTCACCCCTCTATTCAATTTGCAGCATTACCGACGGCCCGGATTTTGTGGCTGTGGCTTTGTCCGTTGCATTCTTCACCCCCCCGGTTATCCATCTCTATTCCTTGCAAGAGCGTCATCCGTGACCGTGACACACCCCGTATCTAATCAACCCTCCCTCAAATATTAGACGACAGCTTTCTTCCTATCTCCCTACTCCAACTCCAAGTCTGCGAACAAACAACGCCACACCAATCGGCGCCTGACAGCCAGTGCTAAGCATTATTACAGCATCAACTTCGACCCGGCATTCGCCCGCAACACTCTTTTCTTTGTCTGGCCTCTGGCCTGTCATAGCCGCTCGCTTTACACATCATGGATACGCTGAGATCGATGGGAGATAACCTCCTGAAGAGAGACGAGACCACTTCCGGCCCACAAGAACTGTTGAACTTGTTGGCGAACCCTTACCAACAAGCGGTACGTTTCCTAATACCTGCGTGGGCTTCATATCCAAACCGGTCTAACACGATCCTTCTAATAGCTGCTACAAAATGGTCTGTATGCTGGTCTCGCCACCTCCGTTGGCTTCACTCTCCTCCTCGCCATCGGCTTTTCCCTCCTTCGACCCTACAATTCCGTCGTATACGCGCCAAAGCTCAAAGTTGCCGATGACAGACATGCGCCGCCGCCGATGGGAAAGGGCATGTTTGCCTGGGTTGGTCCAGTGCTGGGAACCAAGGAGCAGGACTTGATACCCCTGATTGGACTCGATGCAACAGTCTTCCTAAGGATTCTGAAGATGTGCCGAAACATCTTCTTAACATTATCCGTATTTGGTTGCTGTATCCTGATTCCGATCAACTTGATCAAAGGGGCTCGTGACAAATCTTGGACAGCACAGACACTTGTCAGCAAAGTCACACCTATAAATACATCGGGGGATGTCGTCTGGGGAATGGTTGTCTGTGCCTGGTTGTTTAATATTGTAGTTGCGGGATACTTATGGTGGAACTATAGAGCCATTCGCAGACTGCGCAGGCAATACTATGACAGCCCCGAGTACCAGGCCAGTCTACATGCCCGGACTCTGATGGTAGACGAACCACCACCTCTTTGGAAAGGAATGGGCTAACTCGTACTAAAGTTGAATGATATTCCAAAAGCCCTACGATCCGACGAGGGCATTGGAAGATTGATAGATGAGGTTGTGCCAACATCTTCCTTCTCCCGAACAACTATTGCGCGAAATGTGAAAGACCTGCCCGAGCTTATTGAGCAGCATAACTCGACGGTTCGAAAGCTCGAAAAACATTTAGCAAACTACCTCAAAGATCCCAGCAACCTTCCCGCAAAGCGACCAGAAATCAAACCCTCGAAGAGAGATCCGAATTGGGCCACCTTTCCGAAAGGCCAGAAATTGGATGCCATTACATACCTCACTGGTCGCATAAAGGAGATTGAGATTGAAATCAAGGAGGTTCGGATAGGGGTGGACAGTAGGAACCCTTTGCCATATGGCTTTGCTAGTTACGAAGCCATTGAAGAAGCTCACAGTATTGCTTTTGCTGCCAAGAATAAACATCCGCAAGGCAGTAACATCGTTTTGTCTCCAAGGCCCAACGACATCATTTGGAAGAATATGCCACTAAGCAAATCCACCCGACGACGAAGACGCTTCATCAACAACATATGGTTCCTTTTATTAACTATTGTATGGGTCGCCCCAAATGCAATGATCTCAGTCTTCCTAACTAGTTTGTCGAACCTGGGTCACGTCTGGCCCGCATTTCAAACCTCGTTAGAAAAACATACTACCTGGTGGTCAATCGTCCAAGGTGTTGCTTCACCTGCCATCACATCTTTAGTTTACCTGGTCCTTCCTCTTATCTTCCGTCGTCTTTCCATAAGAGCTGGAGATCGAACCAAGACAGCAAGAGAGCGTCATGTGGCAGCTAAGCTCTACACATTTTTCGTCTTCAACTTCTTGATTGTGTTCTCTCTTTTCAGCACAGTATGGACCTTTGTCTCGACCGTTATTCAGGACAGTCAAAACGGACAGAATGCATGGGAGGCTATCAAGAAGTATAATTTGGGACAAGCCCTAATTATTTCGCTTTGCAACATCTCGCCCTTCTGGATTACCTGGCTGCTGCAACGAAACCTCGGTGCCGCTGTAGACTTGGCTCAGCTCTGGTCACTTCTTTGGAGTTTTTGTGCTCGGAAGTTCTCGAGTCCAACTCCACGCGAAATGATTGAATTGACGGCTCCTCCTGCATTCGAATATGCGGCTTACTACAATTACTTCTTGTTCTACAGCACAGTCACCTTGTGCTTTGCCACCATTCAACCTCTTTGTATTCCAGCATGTGCCTTGTATTTCCTCCTAGATGTCTGGCTCAAGAAATATCTACTCCTATACGTCTTCATCACCAAAACCGAGTCGGGCGGCATGTTCTGGCGCATGTTCTACAATCGTATGGTCTTTGCCACGATTTTATCCAACCTGCTTGTCTTTCTCGCTGTATGGGTACGCGGCAATTCAGTAAGCCATATTCAAGCCTATGCTGTCGTCCCGCTGCCATTCCTTATGATCGCCTTCAAGATCTACTGCAAGCGCGCCTTCGACGACAAAATCCACTATTATACTTTGCGCAACATTCAAGACCCCGAAGTCAGCCACGGCAAAATATTTTCCGACAAAAAGGACCGTCTTGCGAGCCGTTTCGGCCACCCAGCTCTCTACCGCCCTCTCATCACACCCATGGTCCACGCACGAGCCCAAAACATCCTTGCATCTGTCTACGGCGGCCGTCTCACAGACAGCAACAATGCCTACTCTGGCGAAAGCACGTCTGTCTCAGGCTACAGCGATACTTACGCCCTGGATCCTATGCAAGGCGGCCAACCGGGACGCACTAAATCCTCTAAAAGTATGCCGGGTTTCGAAATAGTCCCTGAAAACAAACTCGACTTTTCATACTTCAAAGGCAGAGCCGAGTTTGGAGAAGACCACGGTGGCGGCGGCGGGTTGTATGGCAAAGCGGAAGATATTATCCGTACCGATACACCTGGTGCCTCTAGCGGTTACAGTGACTCTCGCCCCGGAACACCTGTAGGCGGTATGATGGGCCGCCAACGAGCACACACGCCCGCTAACATGCCTGTATCCTATGACGCTTCCGGCGACATCGGCTCACTGCGTCGACATGACAGCCAAACGAATCTCATGCATGCAGCAGCGGAAATGCCGGTCGCGACGCCGGGAGGTCATCATAGGGACCTGAGCCAGGATCGGGTTCAACATGAAAGGGCTCCTGGGTTCTTTGGAGGTGGACCACAAGGGTATGGCGGGCTGCCACAGCATCCGGTTGATGAGCAAGAGAATGATAATGATCCGACGAGTTATGACTATTTCAGGACGAGGAGGGCGGCCACGCAAAACCAGGGCGAGGTACAGGGACAGGTGCCGCATGGGGGATATAGGGCATTTAGTCCTTGAGCGTGGCGAGCTTGAAGCTAGCGAGCTCTGCGAAAAGAAAGATTATCATGTGATGGGGGAGAAGGGTGTATGATACAATGACCACACTAATGATCGGCTACCTTGCTTTTGATAGACGGATCGGACAGTATCGAATTGGATGGGATCGGTGCATTAGGCTGGCGTTCTGGCTGTCTTAGCCCTTAACAGGCAGGATACGGGGATTGATTGGTTGAATTGACAAGATAGGAAAGGATAGAAAGGAAGGATAGGAAAAGTAATTTGATAAGAAAATACAGATACACAGACAGAAATTACCTAATATCACATATATTCAAAAATCCCCTATTCCACCCTCTCCTTTTCCCTTCTTTATTTGCGTGTTTATTCAGCCTGGTATTCCTTTCGCATTCACGGCCTTAAGGAGACTAACAAAACCGACCATCCGCTTATAGAACGCACCTCATCACCATCAATTTGCATTTCCCAACACCGACCATACAGCTAAATCCATAGTCGACACATCGATGCATTCCTCTCCACCACCGCTAGCCGTCACCAAAACACCACACTATACACATGATTGCTATTCATATTATCTGATTCTTGAATTCACTCAGTGCGTGGACTCTGGAGGGATTGGTATATGTGTGTGTATGTTTGACACTTGACAGTGAGAGAGGACTTGACAGCACGGAATATAGTGTGTTTGAAGGAATGAATGAGTGGATGAATGAATGAATGGATGGATTCACGGGACTTTGGGGTAACGGGTTACGGGCTATGTGTGTATCCATTCGTAACCCGGCGAATTGTTTATGACATTTTATTTAAGTGATTTCGGGGATTCTGATTCGGGTTCCTAGATGGACGCAGAAAAACCATGGGGAGGATGCCTTTCGTTGCGTTGTTTGTTTGGCTCTTTGTAAGGTGCAGCGTATTTATAAGACCTAGGCTTACTTAAGTCGACTTAAGTATAGTTGTTGGGTTGGGTTGGGTAAAATCATCATCCCAAGCCATTTCACACGCTGGCAAGGTGGTTGGTTGAAGTGTTCAGATAGTGGTTTTTGTATGAGCTGGCGTTTTTGTTGGTGGAAGAGAGTTGGAGTGGGGGCAGGCGGGGAAGTAGGCCTGGGGTTCTGGGGATAAGAGGTGAGGTGGAGGAATGGATTGGAATGGAATGGCAAAGGGGGGGGGGGAGTATAAATGCTACAGATTCATGGATTCTTCATCTTGTGAAAGGGTAAGCGTGTAATACTATGAAACAATGTGTGCTAGAGGTTTCTAGTGGTGGGTATAAAAACAGATATGGTATACACCATTGCTTATGCTGTAATGTGCCATGTGGCGTAGGACATTATAAATCCAACCATACCTAGGTAGTAAGTGCCTTTAAAGGTGCCGACGGCGCAATGGGTGGAATTGAGGTGGCTGGCCTTGTTCTAGGGGCCTTGTTCTATTCTGGTTTCTATGCGCCTGGAATGAGGAGTAGAAGAGGGCAGTGAAGTAAAGTCTTGATAGTGAATAACGTGTTGTTGTTAGAATCTGCTGTGCTGTCATTTCCATTCATTCATTCATTCATTCGTTCGTTCATTTATTCGTTCATTTATTCGTTCATTCATTCGTTCATTCATTCGTTCAATATCATACTATCCCCTTCTGCACAGCGAGTAATTGATCATGGCAATACCTCAAAGGCTCCACAACCTTGACATACATATCCTCCCTCCATCTCTCTTCCTTGCCCTCCACATCCCCACTATCAGGCACATTATGCAAGCACCAGGTCACCGCATCAGAATACTCCGGTCCCGCTTCCTCAACCACATCCCTACTCCACTGAATCGCTACCGCGTAGTTGATGAGCTGCAGCGATTGCTCGTCATTGGTGCTGATATTTCGCCGGCCCTTGTGCTCTTCGATTACGCTACCGAAGCAGAGCTCTAGAAGCATGATACCCAGGTTGCGAATGCTGTCTTGGAACATGTAGGTATTAGTAGCTGATATATTCGGCGTCAAGCTGTTGTGCTGTGCTGGGGATTTTGATAGGGAGCGTGAGATGTATGGCTGATCGATGCAGATTTTATTTGGCTCTACAGGATCGTAAAGAAAGAAGATATCCTTCTTGCTCCATTTTGATTTCAGCCACGGCGTTGGGTGCAGCTGTACATGAGATGAAGCTAGGATAAGAGCAATTTGAAGCCGTTGCCGGCGGGTGAAGTTAACTGGGGAAGAAGAGCCAAGGAGAGTTTCAAGGGTGATATGTTGTTGGGGTTCTTTGGCTGCTTTGCATAGTGGTTGGACGGTATAGCGGAGTGTCTCTCCTTTTAGGCATCCATATTTGGGGAGATCCGCGGAGCAGCTTACGATTTTTGTGCATAGGTCGGCGATTTTGGGATTTGTAGGGTCCTCGACGCTTTCAAGGGTAATATTGTCCACAAAGGCTACCTTGACTTTTGGTTTCAGTTTTGGCTTCGTTTCTGGCTCCGTCAAAGCTGGGCGTTTCGGTTTTGTTGAGGTTGAAGTTTGCTTCGCAGGAGATGAAGGTGTCTGCATCTCGGGCGGGGCTATAAGAGACTTCTGGGTCTTGTGAGGCTTAAACTTGTCCATGAAGGATTTCCGATAGGACTTGTTGGCGTCTTTACCATTGACGTTCTGAGAAGACTTCAGTGGGGAAATAGCTGGATTTAAAACTAGGGCTTCAGTCGGGGCTTCAGGTAAGGTTGTTGGGGGGGCTATATCCTTGCTGGCACCATTTGTGGGGGGTGGAACATGCAATTTGATCACTGCCGGCGTGGATAGCTCTTCGAGAAGCTTGATACTCGTATCTTGCCAAGTCCAAGGCTGGCCCACCATCAAATGCTTCTTGAACCAAAAGACGACCCGAAAATTGACAGTTGGCGAAGCTCGGTGTTGGAGTAGAAGGTTAGCCTGATGGAATGGCTGACATTTGCACGACCATGCTTCGGTTAGAAGATTGAAGAGCGTGTTCCCATGGTTCCAAAACTTCCATAGTCCAGCGTTGACAGAAGATTTTGGGACACGTGCTTGTCTCAAACTGGCCAGGCGATCTGAAGACCCAAGAATGTCTCTCAATCTTTGGTTGTGACTTCCAAAATCCTCGAACAATTGTTGTCGTCCGGTTTTGTTGAAAGCGAGCTTGATTCTCTGAGCTTGGAATCTAATCCAAGGTATTTATATTAGCTAAGATAACATGGGAAGCCAATTCTCAAGCTCGAGAGCTCCAAAGTCATCGGTTGAACTCACTCCATGTTTTGCATCCCGATACTAGTCACGTGTGCCATCACCGCTCTTGTACCGGAGGGAGTCTTCTCGACCGTCTGGGACCATTAGCCCAGTCTCCAAAACCCGGCATCGCACCAGAATTCCATCGAGTCAAAGTTACTAAGAGAGAGAGGACAATGCTGCAACTTACATATTCTCCCGTGACTCGTGCCTGGAAGTGTGCTTTACTCATGCCCAGAGCATCGTCCAACTCCCGCACTGTCTCTAGCATCATCTCAATCGTGTCCGAATACGACGAGTATGTCTTGGGCATTCTCTCTCTCAGCGTATCCTCCAATTCTTGATCCTTCCATGCGGGTCCGCCAGGCTCCTTGAGCAGCAACTGGAGCTTGTCTTCATCGGCGACGAGCGGAAGTAGCAGCTCTTCCAGGTTTTCCTCGAATGCCAACTTGTGGTACTTGAGATTCCGCATACACTTTCTATACTCGCACTTGATCTTCCACCAGCCTTCAAGCACTTCAGCCGTTTCACGATAGTGCTCAAGCGCTGAGATCATCAGGGGAAAGGCTCCTAGAACAAGGCCAGCCGCCTCAATTCCACTCATTGCGCCGTCGGCACCTTCGAAGTTCGAAGGCACTCACTACCTAGGTATGGTTGGATTTATAATGTCCCACGCCACATGGCACATTATAAATTGGTGTAGTTAGCGATTGAGCAACATATCGATGCCGTTGAAGATGTCGCCAGACTGCTCAGCCGCACGCGTGGGGGCGACAGACTGGGGTCTGCAGAAGCGCCGTGACATGAGCCCACCGGTGGTTGCCAAACTTCTATGTGGAGGGCGAAGACTCAACATCTGTACGAGGCGCCCTCTACGAACCTATTGGTATCACAGGTGCTGATACGTGATCACTTCTCTACTGCGTAGTATAGACTTGATTCTTGGTATTCTGGTTGATGATGCTTAGCATTTTAGGTGGTGTTATGGACGCGAAGAGGTGATGCCTCTTCGCTGACTAAGCTACGCTAGATCATATGACTAGAAAGGTCGGGATGCAGTCCCTATATCCCAACCAACACAACCTATAGATAAGTGTATTTATGTGCTTATCCTAAGGATTAAGTGGCATAGTAACCTCGCTGTTACCACGTTGCAATACGATCCTAGAGCCAAAATTGAGTAGATAGAGGAACCCTTTACAGATGCAGGCCTAAGGATAGCTTTTAGATTACAGGTTATATATAGAGTTAAGGCCCAAGAGAAGGGGTTTTAGGGTCCTTAGTTAGGAGCTACTTAGTCTAGCAGTTTAGTGCCGAGCTATAGAGGAAATATTAGTTAAATAATAGACTCCTAACTAATAAGCAGGACCGCACTCAAAAAAACTTTAAGAGAAGGATAAGTATAAATTTATTCTATTATCAAGTTATAAAATCGCTGATTTTAGGGATTTTTAGTGTATTTTCGCTAAAAATTATAGGTGCGCGCGGAATTCTGGCACTGGTGGCCCTGCAACCTCAAATACTCCAACCTTCACAGGACGAGCATGACTACTGTATAAATCTACTCGGTTTCGAGTCCATCTAACAGCCAGCACGCTGCCATGACAACGTCGCCTATTTCATCAAGAGCAAAGAAATGCATTGAGCTCTTTGATGAGCTGCTCGGGCTGCCTCGTAAGTCTGATGCTCTAGACGGCGAAGATGCCTGTGCTGCTGAAGCCGTGGACTGTCTTGGAAGATTCAAGATATGGGCTGGCAATATAGGCGCTCTTCAGCGACCCGAGTCACAAAGTTCCCTTGATTACAGATTACGAGACGCGTCTAAGATCGCAGCCCAAATTGTGGACCTTCTTGACGAGTTGGCTGAGTCTATTGAAGATGGTAAGTGATTTAACTCGACTATTGGCCTCGTTGCGTTCCAATCCATTATTTTAAGATATCACCGTCGACTTGTAATGTTCCACGCTGCGTGGCACATTACAAACCGGTGTCGCCATTTCCTACTGCATCTACCGAGCGGATCTTTTATAGAGGCCGTAAAACACCATGGAAGTTAGGACAGAACGCTGATATTCTAATCGTTCCAGCGTGCTCAATCGTGTCCTATACAAGAGTAAACCGCACTGGTTCACCAGTCGTCGAAGCACGTGATCGAGATCTCAATAGTCACCTAGCTCCCAGTGTCACCGACAAAGATGTTCCAACGCCCAGCGATGACGAGCAAATATCCGAAATTAAGGAGATATTCGAATCAATCACAGATGCTATCAATAATCTATTTCGATTGTCAATGATTATTCGCAACAACACAAGTCGTGATCGCTACGCCAAAGCAGCAGCCGCCGCTCTCAGTGTTCCATTTGATGACAAATTTGATATCAGTCATGTAGAACATAAGTTTCCGGCTCTAAAGTCAAAAGGGAAAGAATGGCTAGTCATCCGTTTAGGGAAATCCATCACTCAGAGACGCCAATATCTTCGATATTGCCGGGAGCATCACGATAAGTTATCACGAGAGCATCCCATAACCAGGCCATCAATCATGGAACCCAGTGGAATCAAGCTAGCAGAAGTCGCAGGATTGACTGCCAATGCACGGAGTGTCTATTCGAAACCGACAAGCACCCTGGCTCCAACACAAGCTTCTACTTTACTTTTGACATCTGATCAGCTCCCAGAAGACGCGCCTCCAGAGGCTTCTCAATCTCAGACATCATATGCAACTTCTAACGAGGAAGATATGAGCAGTAGTAAACTCCGTGTAATTGAAATAGAAGATGTCTCAAAAGGAGCCAGTCATTTTGAGTGTCCCTATTGTTGGCAAATTCAAGCAAGCAAGAGTCAGAAGTCCTGGAAGTAAGTTGGATTCAACAAGGTCTTGTGACTGAGCACTAATACAATATAAACTAGAAAACACGTTCTGTCCGATCTCAAACCATATGTCTGCACATACGAGAAGTGCGAGCTGAAGTTGTTCCCAGATTACAATACTTGGTTCTCACACGAACTCAGAGACCATCGAAAACAGTGGCATTGTTACTTTTGTTCACACAGCCCATTTGATTCTTTAATGGTTTACCAAAATCACCTCAAACACCGACATCCTCTATCATTCGTTGAAGAGCAGTTACCCGCGCTCCTAGAAATGAGTCAGAAACCCGTTGTCAAAATCTCTCCCGCAGATTGTCCCTTCTGTGATGACTGGGAAAAGCTATTGCGGGACGTGAACAAACATATTCCGTTGTCGGAAACACTGGTTGTCACTCCAACTCAGTTTAAACACCACGTCGGTGCTCATATGGAGCAATTGGCCCTGTTTGCCATTCCTCGCGGATATACCGAAGATGGAGAAGCCGATTCAGGAAATGCGGCACAACACGCAGGCTCCGAAGGATTATCTCTTTCTCTCAGTACCCCAGATTCAAAGGCTGCAATGGATCTGCGAGCATGCGAGGACTTTTTAATGAAGATGATGGACAACGGGTTACTCAATGCGTACTTCAAGTATCCAGCCCAAACCTGCCGCCCAACTCTGGAAGAAATATCGCAAGCCCTAGGAAGTGGCAGATACAACGATGCGGAAAGCTTCACCAAAGACTTCAGGCAGATGTTTGACCAATTCACTCATGATATACGACGGAAGGAATTCGCCAACAGTGCCTTCACGGAGGCCGAAGTGCTCGAAGAAATGAAAGAAATGAGAGTGGAGTTCATAGCCTTTTGTCATGAGAGACAAATTCTATCTTTAACTGCTCCGACTTCCCCCACAGAGCAGTGGAAGCGATGGCGGGCAGAGCGAATACCCGCAAAGATATACTCGCCTGAACTTGCCTCAAATCAGCCTGGCATTCTGGTGACCTGCAAATTAGATACTGGCCAAATAATCCAGGGATGGTTTGAAAGCACTGCACTCGTGGATGACGTGCTTGCGTTCGTCGAATGTTATGAGCTATTACATGAGAAACACATTGAGCCTGGTCTAAATGTCCATCCAGCACCCGTTGGGTATGATCATCAATATCAGTTTGGTTTTGTGATAGAAGGCTCTAAATTTCCAGTGGAAGACAGTCTGCTGACTCCCAAAATGAAGTTGTCGGGGTTATTCCATATTGCGACAAATGGGGCGCTTCTCTTAGTCGTCCCATCATCACAGCTGACAACGCCAACGAAACGAGAGAAGAAAAAATCGAACGCTTTGTCAAACCCCGAGCTGCCTTTGGCAACGGCTGTGGATAAACCTTCAGAAGTTTCAAACCTACGCTTAACGATATTGGGTGTCAAGGGTCTTGGCCCGCAAGTTAGAGCCATAGATGTTCCTAATGTTTTGGCGGCGATCTCTATCGACGAACATGAGTTTGCAAGTACAGATGTTCATTCCGATTTTTGGAATCTAACCTGGGATGAAACTTTCTATTTCCGTGCCGAGGAAAGTTCTAATGTAACAATCAGTATTATTAATGAAAGGAGTCCTAAGAATCAAACCCAGGGACTTCTGGGCCTTGTTAGGTTTCGAGTTGGAGATATGATCGATCTGAGTGACAGCAGCCAAGAGAAAAAGTATGCCCTTGACCTCGACACGACCGCGGGCTATGATAATTTGGCTGCTGGTGCCCGGCTCTCTATTGAACTTTCAACGAATTTAGGCATTCCACAACAACGTTCAGCATATGGACAGCCGCAGCCACTGCCGTTGCTACCTATAAACAAACATTCCACTGGTGGTGATGTTGAGGAAGAGGAAGCTCCACTGTCTGCCTCTCGTGAAAAACCAAAAGGCGGCCTGCGAAATCTTGTCTCAAAGGTATTCAGGCCTCTATCGTCGAGATCTGATTTGGGAAGTATCGCAAGAAATAATCCCGGCGATCAATCTCATGACGAGGAACCTGGGAATGACACCAAAAACCTCCCACCCTCAGATCCAGCTCCAGTCTTCAATCGGCCCTTGAGGTTTGAAGATCAGAAGCGGAGGTTAATCGAGAGTTGCTTCTCCAAAAACCAGGATGGCATAGGTACAACTATCCAGATCTTATTAGGATCTCTGCTAACCTACATGTTTCTAGTTGCAGAATCTTATATCACCCACATCAGAGTCACCGAGGATGTTTTATATCCTGCCTCTCCACCTCCTCCCACTTCCAACCCTAATAATATGAAAAAATTTCGTCTCATCGTTATCACCGTACGACTCTCAGGTCGAGTACGTGTACACAAAGCAAGGGAAAATGATAATGGGACCTTCTCCGTAGGCAAAACATGGCAACTTGATGATTTAACAGCTATCAAGTCCTTTGGAATTAGTACAGCGGAGACTGGTTCATCTCCAGATCCATCCCAGGACCTTCAAGAACTCCAATACGCGAAGGATGTGGGATTCACTCTAGTATTAGGCAAGCCATACTATTGGGAAGCAAACTCGGTAAAGGAGAAGCTATTTTTTATCGCATCTCTTGTCAAGATATTTTCCATTTATAATCCGGACAAAGTGCCAGAACTCACCGGATTTGACTCCAGGGAGCGAGCACAGATTTTGGGCGTTGCTGCACCTGCACCACCTCCTGCGCCGGGCCTTGATGCTAAAGTACAAGAGGAGCTGAACAACAGAGGATTCCGGGCTCAGATTGCTCCCTTGCAAGCGTCGCTGATTCGAGAGCTCAAAATCAAAGAGGGTAGGGAAACCCTAAAGACTTTGAACACGAAGAACACGAAACAAACAAAGGAGACACGGCAGAAGGTGGAAAACGAGTTGAGAGAGTCAAACAGGAATATTGAAATGTTGAGAAACCAAATATCAGACATATATGGGTCGATGATATCCTCCAATCTCACTGCTTTATCTACCAGCGCTACCTCATCAGATGAGTACGACTCCAAAGCCCATTTGTATCAAAGCGTTCTAGAAGGGTTATGCTCTATATGCGGGAAAGATCTGGAAGTTCACGGTGTGCAAACGGTGCCGTGTGAGCACAAGTTTCACCTCAATTGTCTGGGTGCGTGGCAGAGAACCCATGGACGCAAGTGTCCTCAATGGTTAGTTTCCTGTTTCCGCGTTGTCTTCCAGAGATACTGATCAGTGTCACTGGTAGTGAAATTGCATTGCCACTACTAGCAGCCTCTCTGGTTACCAATATGACCAAATCACCAGCGGTTGATACTCACAGCGAGATTACAGCTTCAGAGACTCCAAAATATGCCGATATCATGGGATATACTTCCACTCAAAATCAACCCACACCACCGAAGAACACTAATACAAATCAGCCAAGACACAAACCAAAAGTACCGGATGCGCCAGAAACAGCTACCGTCAAAGGCAAAGGCAAACAGAACGAGGAGAATGCAGTCGTAGACCTTTCGCGGCATAACTTTTTCTAGTTTTAATTTGCTTTTTAAGTTTTGGTATAGCTTGATGGACGATTTCTTCCCGAGCGACAAAGCTACGTTCGTAGCGTCCACACGACTGATCTTAATATTGACGTCGATTCCGTGGATTTTCCAGAGAGAACCCACTGAGAAACAACAGAGGGATAGACGTCGTGGTGGTGTTGATAGAGGAGTATAATTGACAATAGCGTACGAGGAGGGCAAGTCCAGTGAGACAGGTGGTTATGGGAGCGTGGAAAAAGGGGGACGTGCGAAATAAAGCCGAGAACAAGATACCTAGCTAGCCAGAATATATACCCAAGCCAAAATAGATATCCAGCACAAAGGATCCACAAAATTTGCCTACACTGCGAACAGAATCTCCTCACGTTGAATAATACCCAGAAGCTAGGAAGAGCTATTGTATCTAGTATTTAATCATAGGATGGATGCCAGTCGCATGCACGCTGCATTGAGATTAATCAACGGCATCTACTCTTTTATTCCATCTACCTTTATCTACAACACTTCTACATCTATACGATGCCGTATGCTCGTCCGCTCGCTTTCCTGTTTATCCGGATGCGGATCCAATGCACCAGGCTAGCCTGCCATGCTCCTAACCACATCATGTACAAAATCGTACATTACAATTGCTCCCAAACGCCTGTGTTTGTAATGCTGTGTCCCTTGATAACGCAAAGCTCAGCTCAAAGAAAGAAGAATGCACATTCATGTATCTTCGCTGCAGATGCATCTATCATGCATTTGCATATCGTTCATCGAATCATTCCGTGCCATTTTTACGTTGGGGTGAGATGAAGCTCTCACTCATTCCTCAGCCTCCTTTTCCAACTCATAAAAAAGCATATAGACCTCCCTCTGCATACCCAGCACATCGCCCGTTTTACACTCCTTGACCTTCTCATCTGAAATGCGCCACCAGCGGCTATCACTCGCTAGCTTTTTCTTTTTCTTCGGCGCTCCGTTTGTCGCGGCCGTGTGCTTGGTTTCGTTGCTGGGAGTCGTGATGGTGGTGCCGTTGGTAGTAGTGGCGATGGTGTCGTTTCTTGAAGACGAGGTGCCGGATCGGAGGGAGGGGACGCGGGAGAGTGTTGATTTGGCGGAGCGCGCGAGGGAGCGCAGGGAGGATGTTTCTTTGTCCGAGTCCTTGTCCCGGGGCGATGAGGTTGGGGCGACGGAGGTGGTGGAGTTGGAGCTGGAGTCTTTTCTTGCTTTGCCGTTGGTAGGGGCAGAGGATTCGCCGGATGCTCTGCTCGTGATGGGTAGTGAAGTTGAAGATTGCGTGCTTGGGGAAAGTAACTCGGGCGTTGAACTCAGTGTGCTGATTTCTAACTCTGGTCTCCGCTGCGGCGTAGATATCTGCGAGGGGATGGGAGTAGCCGTTTTGGAGTACACGCCCGAGGTGTGGAAAGTGTTTGGTGTCGAGAAAGGCTGTACGATGTTTTGTCTCCTGAAACTCTCGTAGTGACCGGAATGATGGCTGCCCTTGTGACATACCACACTAAGCAGTCTATACATCTTCTTATCAAGTAATCCACCCAGCCGTAATCGTTCGGGAAAGGATACTTTTGCGGAATTCTTCATCGATGAGTTCCCAAGCTCGAAAATGGAGCGTGAGAGATGGATGGCAAGGATCTTGGGAAACTTGGTAACACGTATATGTCGGTCAATTTGCCTTTTCGGCGCGAACTTTGAGTCTGGCATCTCGACATCCATTAACTCTTCCTCCGGATTCATCTCAATAGCTTCTTCCAACCTCTTTATATACCCTTCTGTTTTAAGCTTGAACTTCTCGGATGTGGATTTTGCATATTCGGCTTGAAATGCAGAGAGAGCATGTATCAGTCGGCATTTCTCGCATTTGAAACCTTCGATGTGCTCTGTTTTAAACATGCCGTCGAAGCAGGTGTTGAGTGTGGTGCTGCCTGTCTGGGGTACGTTAAGGGTTAAAGAGCAGAATGTGCTGGCGGTGGGTTTAGGGGCGAAGCCGCATGTTAAACATTCGATTTGGGATGAGGAAATGCCTTCTAGAGGGAAGCCGTCTTCTTCTTCGGCTGGGGGAACGATTTCTTGCTTTTCTGATTCCGGTATGTGGCCATTTGTCTGGGTCGATTCCGGATTCGAGCCATTTGAAAGGTGTTCGGCCTCCACAGAGTCCTCATCCTCTTCACCCAGCTCTAGTCGCAGTCCATTCGTCAACTTTTTCCTCGCCTGTGCCCTCGCTCTCTGTCCAGCGTGATATTCATCCGACAACCTTTCAGCAACAACCTGTAAGAATTCTTGGGCATCCTGCTGTTGCCGTGAGATCCTCTGCTTGAAAGCCTGCTCTAGAGCCACGACAAACCCCGCCGCCGAAATCGTCTTCTTGTATATAGGCCTTTCGTTCAGCGCATCCAGAATCTCCTTCAAGCCTTGCGTCACTATCCCCCTCTGCCTCCCCTCAATCTTCCACGCCGGCTTCTCCTTGCTGGGTGCCTCCGCAAGCTCCTTGTACACCTCCGGCCCATCTAAATTCCTCCGGTGCGTTTCGCGAATCAAGTAGACTCTTAAATCCCCCAGACCTGCCAGGGCTTGCAGAACGGAATTTATAAAGCAGTCGTTTGCGGGGTTTGAGAGGCCGACTATGCCTCGTTTTCGGGAGGATGCAGAAGTACTGCTGGATTCGCCATCAATGGAGAAGGTGGGCTGGAAGACGTAGATGAGTGTTATGGCGGCCAGGGAGGTAGCGACGGCATATTTCGCTATTGTTTGGGTCTGCTCTGGCATTTCGAGTATGGATTGTCAAAAACGGTTCTTTTGAGCGGGTGTTGTCAGGATCCTATTAGTATTAATAGGCAAGGAGTCGCGTGGTAAAGGGATATATATATCCGGCTACTCCGTAAGATCCGTTTAACGAGTGACTATCTTTCCCCCTCTGTTTCCCGCGATCAAAGGATAGCGTGGTACGTATATTTCTAGAAGTATTGATGCATTCTGAAGATTCAATGGCAGGGTGTTTATGATTTGTACGGAATATTGAGGTGGTGGTGATTTACCATAAGTGGACTGCCATATGGGGGACAATCTAATCGGCAACGGTGAGACGGCGTCTGGCATCGTCGGCTTCCGTTCCCGAGAAAGTGTGGTGTGAGTGTAGGGAAATTTTATTTCAATCACTTTGATCTTAAAGCCAACGCGTCTGAGGAGCAGCAACCTTTACAATGGCGTCGCCCTTACTATCGAGATCGCCACAATGCGTATCCTGTATCCGTCGTTCAGCTGGAAGATTTGGAGAGAGACGTCTCTTTCCGGCTGGGCAGCAAATCCGGGGAAAGAAGAAGACAGCGAGAACCGCGAACAAGGTCAACGCTCTTCTACGCGAAAACATTGATGGTTATGGCAAGCAAGGTAGATCATTATCCATCGCACCAGTTCTATACATGCTAATTGGCACCCAGGAACTGTTATTTCAGTCACTGCTGGTATGATGAGGAATCAATGGTTTCCCCAAAGACTAGCAGAGTATGCAACAGCTGCCAAGCTACAAGAACTCGGTTTGAAGGAAGAGGATGTCATCCAATTGGACAACATATCGAAAAGCAAGATCCTCGCCGATGAGAGAGAAGTCAAGAAAGCTGCGAAGGCAGAGGCGAAGGCTTTGACAAAGGCAAATACGGAGGCTAAGGGTACTATTCAAGAGCCAGTCTGGGAACCCGTTAAGCCCGTGGAGTTGGAGTTGTTGAGCGTATGTGTTTTACGATTTTTAAAGGAAAAAGGTGCAGTGCTGACATTTGAGACAGCCCCAAGAAGCAACCCTGATAATAGCGAACCTCCTCCCCGCAAACCTAGATTTCTACCGCCAACCCATCGCCGTGGCCGAACCAGCCAAGAAACTCTCTCCATCCCTCCAATCCAAAGCCTCCATCTCAGCCGCAGCAAAAGAATCACACGGGCCAAAAGGAAAGACCAGTATCTACGGCTCTGTCTCCACGGCAGATATTGCTGCGAGTCTCAAGGCGATATTGGCAGAGCATGAAGATGGGGCAAGGGTGGTGTTGAGTCCTGAAGAGATTAGTTTTGTAGAGACTGAGGAAGAAGGGGATCGGGTGAAGCATTTGGGGGTTTTTGAGATTGATATTTGGCTCAAGGGGGCGCCAGATGCAGTGAGGAGGACAATTAAAGTTAGTGCTCAAGGGTGAGGACTAGAGATGTGTATAAAAGTAGCAAGATAGTATCAGGACATGTAATACCACGCATTTAACATCACCGGGGTATACCGTTTGTACATGGTCGGTACGTTGATAGGGTTTGTAGGTATATCTGGATCTGCACCGTGAATGAGGCTGACAGGAATAAGTAGAGTCGAGTGTGACGGGGGTTATCATGAGCCTACAATTGAGGTTTCAATCAGCCTTCCTTGTCGACAAGACTTGGCAAGAACCTTCTCAAAGGAACATGGCCTAGATACGAATATCGCATCACTTTGCTACCAAGACAGCCCAATGGATCGTACGCATTCATGCTTCATATCCATTCAAATGGAAGGCCAAACATGTAATTCAAGATGTAACGGTATTGAAAGAAAAACAACTAATGCTGTCAGTCCACCAGCACGCAACTAAACTTCCAACATTCAGATGATTAAGGAGAACCGTGGGAGCCAAGGCAAGGAGAGGCTGCAGCGAGAACTCCGCATACAGTACAAGTGGTTGGGCCTAATAAGATACGGCATTATTGACAGCTTCTGTTGACACTTGGAAGGCATTATATCACGCAGACGGCATCGGGCGATCGTGTTGATTACCTACATCACGCCATGGTATTGGAGCATCCAAAGACGCATCCGATGATTTTGATTTCCTGATATCGATACTGACATGGATATTGTTGTCTTCTCAAGTTCTCTGCTCTATCATTGATCCCATGCCTCTGGTCTGGGAGGAGGGGAGGGTTCTGGTATTTATTCTGTCTGTACTTGTAATTGGTTGGAAACTGGTACTGGCCATCTCTACTATTTTCATCTGGTTTCCGATAGATCCCGGGATCTCTGGTGGGGCCAATGACGCCAAAAACCCCACCATGGAAAACAGCATTGACACGGCACGAATAAATCGTTCGTTCGTCTCCCCCTCCATGTACCCGAACAACATACTTCAACTCCTACAATCACTCTCCAAACTATCAAACATACATACACTTCAGATGTGAGTATATCCCCATCCTATACTTGTAAGGCGCTGCACAAATCCCGTCCCCAGTTGCAGGCCACACAGAAATAGCCCGAAAAACCCCCACCACTAGCGGCAATCAGAGCTATCGGTCCTACAACATCATCATCTCCACCCCTCAAAAGACTCAAAATCTCGTCTTCTGCTTCATCTTGCCACTTGTAACCTCTTGCTAATACCTCCAGAACCAATTTACAAAGACACAATGGGTGCTAAAGATGTTCTCTCCCGCAAGAGCGGTGTTATCGTCGGTGACGATGTCCTGAAGCTCTTCAACTACGCTCAAGAGCACAAGTTTGCTATCCCGGCCATCGTATGTCTCATTCCCTGCAGTACTGAGAGATATCACTGACAGCCTGGCAGAATGTTACCTCCTCTTCAACCGTTGTTGCTTCCCTCGAGGCTGCCCGCGATGCCAAGTCCCCTATTATCCTACAAATGTCTCAAGGTGGTGCCGCCTACTTTGCCGGAAAGGTATGCACAACACATTCATGACAACAAAAGAAGTTCTGACACAGTTAGGGTGTTGCCAACGGTAACCAGGAGGCTTCCATTGCTGGTGGTATCGCCGGTGCCCAGTACATTCGTGCTATTGCTCCCGCATACGGGATCCCAGTCATCTTGCACACCGATCATTGCGCCAAGAAGCTCCTCCCATGGTTAGATGGTCTCCTCGATGCGGATGAGAAACACTTCAAGGAGCACGGCGAGCCTCTGTTCTCCAGCCACATGATTGATCTGAGTGAGGAGGAGGTCGAGTTTAACATTGAGACTACTGCTAAGTACCTTAAGCGTGCTGCCCCAATGAAGCAGTGGCTCGAGATGGTGGGTTAATACTCTGCAGTATCGATATAAGTCACTAACTTTTCTAGGAAATCGGTATCACTGGTGGTGAGGAAGATGGTGTCAACAACGAGGATGTTGACAACAACTCCCTCTACACCCAACCAGAGGATATCCTTGCCATCTACAAGGCCCTACAGCCAATTTCCCCATACTTCTCCATTGCCGCTGGTTTCGGAAACGTCCACGGTGTTTACAAGCCTGGAAACGTCAAGCTCCACCCAGAGCTTCTCGGCAAGCACCAGAAGTTTGTCAAGGATGCCATAGGAGCCAAGGAAGACAAGCCAGTCTTCTTGGTCTTCCACGGAGGATCTGGATCTTCAAAGCAAGAGTTCTTGGATGCTATCAGTTACGGTGTTGTGAAGGTCAACCTCGACACCGACCTGCAGTACGCATACTTGACTGGTATCAGGGATTACGTTCTCAACAAGAAGGACTACATTTTGTCTCAAGTAGGAAACCCAGATGGTGCGGATAAGCCAAACAAGAGTACGTACAATTTGACTCCTGATTGTGATTTCAGCAGCTGACGATATCTCTAGAGTTCTTCGACCCCAGAGTTTGGGTTCGTGAGGGTGAGAAGACGATGTCTACACGTGTTACTGAGGGTCTCAAGGACTTCAACACTGCCGGGCAATTGTAAATTTGATCGGAAACCTTCAATATCGTAGATGCAGGTGTGCATTAGGGAATAAGATATCAAATTGATTCATGCGTTGGTTGGACCGATGATTGTGAAGTTGTCGTAAAACACCTCGAGGTATCTGATCTCTGTGAATGTCTCACATGACACCATCAGATCCGTGTGATCAAAGCATAGCTGCACAGAATCATTTCCCCGAAATAGGTGATTCTCTATAATTTGCAGTGTCTCGATGCAGGTAAAACAAATCCAATAGACTGCTCACGTGCAATGATCCAAGCCAAGCCAAGCCTGGCTGCCGCTGCCAGGCCAGGTACTGGAATATAACGGGGCTGTGCTGTCCGCGCTTGATGACGTCTCGAGCTGTATAGTATATGTATCTCCCTTCCCTCTCCAACCTCAACCTCACATTCCTTTATCCTATGAGACGCTCTTCCATATACCTACGTCCTTGTCGTAATTCTCCAATAATAAAGACGAAAAGCGCACTGGCCATCTGCTATTTCCCCACCAAGCTACTGTAGGTGTATCTTGACAGGTACCCCGACCCCGAGTACCCGATCCCTACAGCACCCACACCCTCACCCACATCCAACCCCACCCCTACCTTGCTCTGCACGATCCGAATACGACGACAACAAGATGTCTTCAAGTGAAAAGGAAGGCGCGGGCATCTCAGCCCAAAACCGCGGCTCTTGGAGCGCGTTCCTAAAATCCATCGCCTCGTTCAACGGCGACCTCTCCTCCCTGACCGCCCCGCCCTTCATCCTATCCTCCACCTCCCTCGTCGAATTCTCCTCTTACTGGGCCGAACACCCTTCTCTCTTCGTCGCGCCGGCGAAAGAAAAGGATCCACAGAAACGCGCACTCCTAGTGCTGAAGTGGTTCATAAGCACGCTAAAACAGCAGTATGCTAGTCGCAGTGAGCAGTTTGGGAATGAGAAGAAACCGCTGAATCCATTTCTCGGGGAGCTGTTTTTGGGGAAGTGGGTTGATGGGGAGGGGGAGACGAGGTTGGTTAGTGAACAGGTTAGGTATGATGCCCTCTTCTAATTCAAATGTCCAAGTACAGTACAAGTATAAAAGCTAATGCGGTTGAGTAATATAGCCACCATCCCCCAGTCACAGCATACAACATCTCCAATGCCACCCACGGCGTACAGCTGCAGGGCTACAACGCGCAGAAAGCATCCTTCTCGCGCACCATTTACGTCAAGCAAATCGGGCACGCCGTCTTCTCCATCCCTGCCTACGACGAAACCTATCTCATCACTCTCCCCAACTTGCACATCGAGGGCCTGATTTTTGGCTCGCCATTCGTAGAACTTAACGATGCGACGTACATCACATCTTCCACTGGCTATACGGCCAAGATTGATTATAGCGGCAAGGGATGGCTGTCAGGGAAGAAGAACAGCTTTACGGCGACAATGTACCCGACGGGCAAGGAGAAGGACGTCCTGTATACTATTAGTGGCCAGTGGACGAAGAGCTTTGATATCAATGAAGGCACGCACAAGAAGAGTGGGCTTATTGATACGTATGATGCGGAAGCTAGCCTACTACGCCTTTGACAATTGCGCCGCATGATGAACAGGATGATCTTGAGAGCAGACGCGCGTGGGCGAAGGTCGCACAAGGTATTGCGGTGGGCGACATGGATTTGGTGGGGAATGAGAAGGGGAAGATTGAAGTTAGTCAGAGAGAGCTGAGGCAGAAGGAAAAGGATGAAGGGAGGTCTTGGGAGACGAGGTTTTTCAGTAGAGTAGAGAACGATTCGGTTCTGAGCCAGTTGGGGCCTGCTATTAGACTTGAGGCGGAGCCGGACAAGACGGGGGGCGTTTGGCGGTATGATGATAAGAAGGCGAGTGCGGAACTCGCGAAGGAGGAATTGAAGTAGGAGATTGCCAATGCATGGGAAAGTTGGGCTTGTAAGATTACCATGAACAGATTTCATCACGAGGAGCGTCAGAGACTGCATGGGATTGCGAAAACGAGAAGACGCGTTGAAATGGAATAATAATTATGTGGTCAATATCATCATCTGCTTCCCTATGGAATCCTGCATTCAAAAGAGTGAGCAATGCTTTATTTATACGAACGTTATTTCTAAACTATGAGCCTGCTGCTGCATCGTCCACTCCACGGTGTCTATTTCATCTCGGTCGATAGGTAGGATATACGTACGCATCAGCAGTCCGTCCATATCAGCAGCTCGATTCCATTACTTGTATCTCGAATTCACAGCCTTGGAGGAAGCATATTATAATGCATTTTTGGGAACTTTGGAGCATCCAATGATTCTTCTTTAAGAATTGGTATATGTTTTTTCTCTTTCTCTTACCAAGATCTACGGAGTAATAGCTACATGTATTTTTGCTTTCCCTTTGTTACACGACAAAGTAAAGGGCGTGGAATGGTGTCCTTTGTCAAGTAAGTCCTTGTCTTTCATAATTAATACCCCACCATCACACGAATGAGGGGTAGGAAACTTGGATAAACATCCAGCCTTCTCTACTCAAATGCGAGATAAAAATTCATCGCATTACTGCAGGGCCAGTTAGATCGTCCCATGATTTCGTTTCTTTGCTTTTATTCTACTTCCATTCAATTAATTTAGGTGGTGACGACTGGTACCAAAAGTATCAAATGCGGTCTGGTATCAAACCTTACCTTACTCATATCTTATCATAAGCGAGGGGGGTCAATATCTCGCGCGTCGCGTTGATCTTTCAACTCTCCAGGTTCGTCCTACATCACATTTCCACAATCACCAATTCCTCGCTCACAACACCTCAATTCATTCAAAACACTCAATGTTCCACCTCACACAATACATCATTGCACTCTTGGCCATCCTGATCGCAACCATGTCTTTCGAAGGCGTCTACGTGCCGTACGCGACGTATTCGCAACAACAAGGAAGCCCAAGTCCAGCACCTCGACGCGTCCCTCAAGACTTCGCACCTCCCCAGGGGCCATCTCCTTTCGACGACATCCCTACAGTAGTTACAACACGACCTCGTCTGTTCACATCTGACGCGTCGACGCGTCCATCGCTAGAAAGATTCATGAAGCCGAAGCCAAAAGCCACTCGCCCATACAGTGAATCATGGCAGCGCCTAGAGAAAGGAGAGAAACTTCCAGCCCCGCCGAGACCATCGAGTTCCGACTCAACCTCGGGAGAGGAATTTCCACCGGGAAAGGACCGCGACTTTGGATGGTTTGCGCGACAGCGCGAGAGAGATGATAAGATTCTGGCACTCAGACGCGCGCGCCACGCTGCGAATCTTACCGATGAGGGCAAGAAGAGATATGATTGGAAGAATTGGAAGCAAGGCAAATATGTTGGGCCTGGGTCTGCAGTTTATGAGGAGCAGAAGAAGGAGAGTGTACCGCCTACAGATACACCTACAGATACACCTACACATGTGGAGGAGTTCAAGGAGAATGTACCGCCTACAGGTACATATATTATGCAACCGACTAGTGAAAGGAACTATCGCACTGCGGAGAAGAAAGCGAGATATGACTGGAGGAACTGGAAACAAGGCAAATATGTCGGGCCCAAATTTAGTACGACGTCAGTGGAGCTGAATGTTACACCTCCAGTGGCAGATTCAGATTCAGAGCGGACTTGGGATGTCGACTTCACGGCTCAATCCGTGATGACCAGCCCGAAAATGCGCATTGTCGAGGAAATACCAGCGGAGGATGAGCCGAAGAAGGATCCTCAGAAGAATTCTCCTACGATTATGGAAAATCCAGTCGAAACCCAGGGGAAGGAGGCCGAAGAGCCCGCACCCATGGAAGAAGAAAAGAAAAGTGTCCCAGTCAAAGTGGATGTGCCCAAAGAGGCTGAGCAAAAGGATGAAATGTGGGAGACACTGAGAAGTTTATCCAGATGTTCTACCCCTTCTAACCTCTCCATAACAAAAGCCACCCCAAAAGTCACTGGTGCATATATCGAAACACCAGCACCAGAACGTCTCTCAGACCCTGAGACATTTCCGGAGCAAGACACCCCACGCCCAGCCTCAGCCCCAGCCCCAGAGACTGCCGGCAAATACCTCAAATCACCAGCCCGAAGAGCAAGATTCACGAAGCCCGAGCCATCTATAAAACAAGAGGCTCCAACGCCAGCGCAAGAGATTACAGGCGCATACATTGAAACACCAGCACCACGAGAAAGTCCCAAGAAGCACGCGCATGAGGCCACAGAGCCCACCAAACCCAAACTCCACATCTCGGCCAAGCCACCTACCTTCAAAGAAGATCTGCGACGCATCAAGCGCGAAACGGACTACCAAGACTCCACCGACGACGAGGCGGAAGCCGTGATAGAGCCTATCGCCGATCCAACTATTGATCCGGATAAGGTTATACTAGGCCGGATGAGCCAGCAGCTGAAGATGACATCGTCGAGTATCAGGGACGCACGAATTGGCATTGAGCGGTTGGAAGAACGCGTCTCCGCTTCTAGCGTCGTATACATACGTCTTCCGCATATTCCGCGCTGGCTGTGGATGCTGTTGGCGATTATACTCGCGTTGTTCGTTACCGTTATGGCAATTGGGGCTTATGAGGAGCATATGATGGATCATGTTGTACCGGGCTCTGCTGCTGATTGGTGGGGAGGCAGTAATGGACCGGTCGTTCTCTCCTGGAGTGGGGGTGGGAGCGGGAGTGAAGGTTGGAAAGAACAGGGCTTTGGAGCGGATGAATACTTGTTTTAACGTGATTTTTCCTAGTTCGGTTTTACTTGGACGTCTCTCTTGGATACGGAGACTTCGCTGGGCTGGAAAAGCGTTTTATGGGTTTTTTTGTTTTTATAATTGGATGTCTCGTGGTTTTGGAGACTTTGCTGGAAAGGCAGGCGTTTTGTTTAAAATGTCTCATTATTCGGGAGACTTGATTGGAAAGGAAAGGCGTTTTGTTTTGTGTCTCATGATTCTCGAGACTTTGTTGGAAATGAAAATGGAAACGGCAATGGCAATGGAAGAGATACCCTGTATAATTAGTATAGACAAGAGAAGAGAAGAGACGAGAATTAAACTGAAAAGCTTATGTATATGCAGTGATCGCCACCCAACCAGTATTTATTCCTTTCAAGGAGATCCGTAACGCAAGTTGAAAGGATTTGAAGTCAATAGATGGGTTGGCTTAGGACTTTGGTGATTCGCTTGTGGTGGAATCCCCCATCAAGACCAAAAGGGGGTTTAAGCGAAATGGTCACATGATAATAGTTGGTCTCTTATGACGGTTTCTACCTTGAGGACAGTTTCAACTCCTGGGTCGGTTTATAAAATGTCTATAAATACACAATCTACTCGAAACTCTCTCTCTGTAACCGACACTATCCACGAACCTATTCTCCTTGCCTTTAAACTCTTCCTTTAAAACATCTTATTCGAGCGGATACCCGAACTCTCAGGCCGGTCCGTTTCGACTCTCCATCATCACTTCATCTACGCCGCTGGTACATATTCAATACCCCCATTCCAGACCCTAGCAATATCCAATGTCTGTGAAATATTCCGTAGTGGATCACTGCCTGGCTTGAGTAGGAGTAAATCTGCACGATATCCCTCCCTGATAGACCATCGCCCTATCAAATTATGCCAAATACTAGGCACCACCGTCGCAGCCCTCAGTGCTTCCACTTCACTCATACCCGCTTCTGTTAAGTATTGCAGCTCTCGATGTAGAGTAATGCCAATTGTATCGCCCACAAGAAAAGAGCCGGCTGCGTCGTTTGCGTCTGTTCCGGCGAGAAGCGGAACACCCGCATGCATCAGCTGTTGTACACCGGCCACTCCAGCTTGGTATGTCAAGTTCATTCCGCCCGAAAGGATTGATACGAGGGTCGCATTCGCCGTAACAATTTTTCCGATGTTTAGTGTCGGCGTCACATATTGCGCCTGCTGTTTAATGCGTTGTGCCATCTCCTCCGTGAGCGGGATATCGAACGGTACATGTTGGATGCCATTGGTCCTCGAGCGAATCGCGACTTCATACGAGCCGTAGTCCTGGGCATGGGTCATGGCGACCTTACCTAGCGCATGTGTCGCACTGACAAGCGCATCGTGGGTAGCCTGGTTGAAGCCATTCGGTTCTGCAATCAACTTCATATATTCCGACCCGTTCCCAAAGACATTAGCCACGAACTCCGGCGCTTCGGACGGTGAATTCACGAATCCCGTGGCTCCGAACACCGTTGCATGTGTGCTGTTTCGTGCGACTGCACCTTCCCCAGCCGTGAAAAAGGTTGTCAATCCGACTTGGTTGCGGAGGGCTGCGCATAGCGTGTAGTTCGTGCAGCCCATACTCATGACAGTAGTGATCCCGTAACTGCTTAAGGACTTCAGGCTGGCCAACGTGCTGAGGTGGATATGGCTATCAATCAATCCCGGGAGAACACCACCCTCCCCATCGATGGTATTGTGTACGCCGCGGGGATCGAAGGTGATGCTATCCCCGTCGATTACCACTGTGCTCGGTTCACCAATGGTCCATCCGTCGAAGACACGGACATTGGTGAGGGCTATTTTGCCTGTTGGTGGCGTGCTCTGGCTGCGAGCCCCCAGTAATTCCAGCTGTGTCTCGATGTGAGAGCCATCTGTTTCGTGCCGACCTGAGAGATAACCATTCACAGACGACGGTCCTAGTAGAGCTGTAAGTAACAAGTAGATAATGAACTGCATGATGAGCTTAACCCAAATGGCCGAAACACCTGAAGGATTGATGATGGAACAAAGAAATAGAGAGAGTCGAGCTGGCTTTCCCATTGTATCGTCATCACTCTTATACTTAAGTTATACACCCATGGTAGTCAGCCGTCGACACCTCATTTCGAAGGGTATCTCGTCATGTCATATCGTATAGGGGAGTCGTTCATCTGCCATTCTTCCCACCTCTCTACATCAACTAACTAACAGGTATTGAGCGACAGTAAGTAAGAATTCGGGGCACTCGTGTCAGCTTCTCGATGATCCCGATGCTCGTACTGTAGCTGGATGTTCGCGGTTGGGTTTTCTCCCGTCGGTGCCTCCCATTCATTGGCTGCTTCGTAGGGACATCCCTGCGTTCCGCCCATGGGTTTTTCCGCAGTTGACGACCAAACCCATCCCTCAGCCTCTTACTTTTCTAAAAACAAACGGAACATAATCACTACCAGGCAAAAAGCGAGCGGATTGGTAATTGGGGAGCGGTGTACATGAGTCGTCACTCCCTGCGGCCAGCGGCGGGGCGACGCATTCTCAATAACTATCTACTTCGTATAGATGTAAATGACTTATACGTCCCGTAACTTATAAGTAAATTGTTTATATATATCACAATATTAATTCTATATTTAATAAGCCGCAGGTCTATCTAGTACCTTAAGTCATCCAGCTATGTAAATCCTCTTAACTGAAGGCTAATTGCCTGACTGATTGGGTACTCCGTATCATCGTATAAATGTCCTTACGAGCAGCACGCTGACGCAACACTTCCGCAGTCTAGAGTAGATGAGACGCGTATATATAGATCTGGGTAATCTATATTAGACTGGACATATATATATAGATTTCAAATCCCCCAGAATTTGGTCTCAGCAGATCTCCAGCTTCGAAAACTCGACATCCACTATCCTTCCGCAAATTCCCCTCACAACATCCATCTTTCATAATGTCTGGGACATGCTCTGGTCAGTTGTAATACACGAAATATGAAGCATGAAGCTGACTTTTCTGCAGCCCGCGCCGATCTCGTGAACACCGAGTGGGACTTTTGTCCTTCCACCCCCGCTGCCATCCTTTTCGCGGTCCTATTCGCCCTTACCACTTTCGTACATCTCGCGCAGGGTATATTGTATAAGAAGCTATACAGTTGGGTGATCGTATGCTCTGGACTGGCTCAAACACTCAATTTCATCTTCCGGGTCATCAGCATTAAAAATCCAACAAATCTGGGTGACTACACCGCGTGGTTTGTACTAGTTCTGGCAAGTTATATATTATCACGTCGTCAAAAGAGGGTCAAATGCTAATTCTAAACCTACTTAAGGTTGCTCCGCTCTTTACAAATGCCTTTGTTTATATGGTGATGGGTGAGTTTGCTACTCCCTTAGTATAGTGTATCAGAAGCCGTACTGATGTGTTGTTCAGGAAGGATGATCTGGAATTATATCCCCGATGCGAAGATCTATCGGATAACGGCGTGGAGGTTTTCGACATACTTTGTAATTCTCGATGTCATGTAAGACTATCTTAAAAGCCTTGCAATACCTGATGCTAATCACGACACAGCGCTCTCATTATCCAGATCGCAGGAGCATCCTCGGCTGCCGGCGGCGGCAGCTCGAAAGCAAATCACCATCAACAGGTGCTAATTGGTGAGGTACCCCTCAATCAGTCCCAATTTCCACTAACGCCAATCCCTTCCAGCCATCCACGTATACATGGGCGGGGTTGCATTCCAGCAGTTCTTCATCCTCGTATTCTGCCTCTTCGCCATCCAATTCCACCGGACCATCCTCCAACAAGTACGACAAGGCGTAGAGGGAGCGTCAAGCGCACTACCACTATTATATGCAATCTACGCAGTGCTCTTACTCATCACGGTAGGTACCGTTCATCGATCCCCTTGTATAATGTACCAGCCCGGACAGGTATTGATGTTTAACTGCGTAGTTGAGAATTGCCTTCCGTCTCTGCGAGTACGCGCAAGGATTCCAGAGCGCGATTCCTAGACACGAGGTGTATGAATATTGCCTCGACTCGGCGCCGATGCTGGTTGCGCTTCTGATACTTAATGTTCTCCATCCGGGCCGTATTATGCCTGGGGCCGAGAGTGATCTACCGAGTCGCAAGGATAGGAAAGCCGAGGGCATTTGTTAGAAAGCTGGAAAGGACAGCGCGAGTTCTGGTTTGATGGTGTAAGAATGTGGTTTTGGTTAGTAGAGGAACAACGGGACGGTATAGTGATACTTTATAAGGAGTTTAGCAATGGGTATATAGTGATTTGCGAATTTGGTTGATTTCATAGAATTATCCTACGTTCTAATGCAATAGAATGTCATAGTTAGCTTGTGTCTTGTGCTCTAATATAACACACGTGAAGCTTAGATCACTGCCTGAGGAAGCAGAGTTGGTTTTATAGAAAATTCTAGAAATCTGGCCTAAATTGCCTTCTCCTGGCTGTAGTAGCTAGGTTCCTGGACTATTCTACAAGGGCCGACTAGTAATCAGTACTATATACAGGCGATAGAATATATATTAGATAGGTCTATCATGGTACAGACAGGACTGAAACTAGGACGGGTATCGCAGGCTACCATTCAACCACCTCCTCTATCGTCTGGCTCCCCAGATCGTGCCCTCCCGACCAACTGTAGGTCAGAGTCGCCCTCTGCTCATTGGGATCAAAAATCGGTGATACGTTCGATATGCGAGCCCAGCCTGGGACATCCTCGTGGCTTCTCACGTTCTGCAACCCAGCTTCTTCAATATCTAGAACTCGTTGAGCAACCTTGGAAGTGGGAAAAGCATGCCAAACCCCTTCTTTTCGATGGGATTTTTGAAGGAGTGAGATTGCTCTCCGGCGAATGATGGGGTCTCTACAGCGACAGGAGACCTGGAGAATAGTAGTTAGTACTCTCGCTGTGTGATTTCACCTGGTATATAGCTCATGACATCTTCGAACATAGAAACTATATTTGTTGAAAAGCTTACCTCAAATAAAGGTCGGACAAGGGCCATGTCAACGCAGTTAGTTGGCGTTGCGGCAGTTGGTTCTAGGTCAAGCTTAAGGATATCCTCCACCAGGGAGACGATTTTCCGAAACATGGGGCAGAAGATGTCCCAATCCATTTGATCATCGACCTTCGTTCGTGTGAGCGTTATCGCCGTAGAACCAAGCTCTTTCAGGATGCGCAGAGCAGCAGTGCCTTTCCTTTTTTGATGCGTCAGATTGTCGCCTCGAATGTCTAAGTAGGCATCATATGCTGAAGACCATCTCGCTAGAATGCTGCTGGATTTCTTCTGCCAGGGCCCAGCCTGAGGAACCACCGGAATTGTCTCATTCGTAAGATCCCATCTATTGTTTGTGGAGTAAGAAGCTACATGCCATTGAGATACGAGTGATTCTCGGGCCTTTGATAAACTCGAGAATATAGCTGGGATCTGTCGTTGCTGGGCAAATCTTTTCATTGACTCGTAGATTTCCCATTTCGGCCCAGTCACCATCTACATGGGTCAAAATACATCGTCTGCGCAATCTGGAGGCCTTACCTGGGTTACTTGATGGTCCAGACGCACGAACATGTCTTCGACCCTTTCTATAGACACATATGGACTTTCTGATGCTCCCAGGACATCATGTTCGTGCCGACGGGTTTCCTTGTTATACTTCACCTCACACAGTATCTTCATGCCACTCTGGACGTGTGTGATAGCGGCACCATAGCTGCATTGCATTGTCTACTAATCATCAGCAGGAATGCAGACTTTATATAAAAACGATTCACCTCAAGACATGCAAACAGGATTGAACATATCAGCCAAACGTCGATTGCTTGTTGGCCGTCCTGCGAGAGCGGTTCGACGAGGAGCTTGATTGCCTGACTATAGTTTTTGGAAGCAAAATCATCGGTCCATCCATTACTCTGACTTTGCATCATCAAGCCATTGTCTTGTTGAAATCTTTCATGCAAGGAGCCTAGAGCGAGGATTGCATGTCGAATTGAAAGATTGTGCAAAGCCGCCTGGAGCAGGAGCCTCTCCCAGAAATCCCCACCCAAGAATCCCGACAGTTGGGGCGCGGTGTTTTGTCGAAAGAAGTCAAATGACCGACGTTCCTTCCCCGTACCTTGGTATCCCATCGATGGAGATCGGCTCACTGCGCCTATCAATGCACTGGAAAGGACTGGCGGTTCTTCCGTGTTGGGCCCGTAGCCATCACATTTTCGGCCTGTCGAGAGACATGGATAGCAAGCTGGGCTGGCCTCATCACATTTCACTCGCCGTACTATCCAACCTTGTTAGTTTCGTCCAAATACTTTAATTTCCACCAGTGGAATCTCACTTCTGCCACCCGGTCAGTAAACCACGACACAGACACCGGCCTGCCGCCCGAGCATTTTCAGACGGACTGGGTCTAGACGGGAGGGATACCCACTTGCATGTCTGGCACCCCGATCGGGTTTTAGGTCGAAAGGCTCGTTTCCTCTGACCGGGAGCAACACGGGGCATTGCGGGTAGCTGTTTTCCGTGCTTGAGGGTGCATTAACATGACCTGGCGCACGGAGAGGAGATGGGATATGGCGGGCGTAAATGGGCGTTCCGTCTAGGCATTTATAACATAGGGCTGACTCTTAGTTCCATGACGGGAGACTCGCATATAAGATGGGAGCTATGCGCACGTAAGCACGTAAGCACACAGGGCTTAGACTCCTTCTTAGCTCGCCTCGCTTATAATCAGGGGAAGCAAATATCCTATACTAAGGTAATCATACTTCCCGCAAAAATTTGAATATAAACGTGATAGTACTGTAATAGCTTATTTGAAATGGACGATACTGAGCTTACAGGTGACAAAATAAAGGCTACGGAAGATGTCATTGCGCTTAAAGGTATGGAGTTCTGCTAGTCTCGCTTTACTGTTCAATATCTTCGAAAACCAGTGAATGTCTCAGACACTTCCCATGCTTCTTCTTTTCGGCAGCAACTAGGAATGACCGCGCTGAGATTAATAAAGAAGCTCCTTAACAAAATGAAAATATGCCTTGCTTACAACCTTAGCGCAACAGGAGCAAAGACTTTGACTTCAGTGTGAGCAATTACAGCGTCTAGAGAAGAATTTTGAAGGTAGCAGCGCTTTAGGACAACTTTGGAGTAAGTTCTCTGAAACTTGGCCCAACCATGACTCTCCTGCAAATGTCTCCATGTGGACATGTCTAAGCTTCATGGGAATTACTTCGAAACTCGAATTAAGGTCGCAAAGGACTTTTCAAGATAATGCGTATTTATTTGAGCATAGCAAGATAAACGACATCGATATCCTCCGGCAACTACTTCCGCCGAATAATCTAGCTCTCCTTTTCATAAGTTGTCACTTGACTTGAAACATGTTTTTCACATGTTTATAGAAGAACACTAATGAGAGGAACGTTTCTGAGATATCTGTCTGGTTATTGACTATGCATAAACTCCTACATGAGCCAATTTTGCTTTTACCGTGAATCTGCTCCAAAACGCCAACACCCGTTGTAATATGTGAAATCTCAAGCCGCAAGGATCTACTCTAGCATAGTATCCTCGTCCTCAACAACCTCCTCGCTCTTCCCATCACCCCAAAGCCCCTCCAACTTGAACTCCGCGGCCCACTCTGTAACAATTTCCTTCTGGTCCGCCATCGGCTTGCCATCGTCCGCCATCACGGCATCTGCACTCGTCGAAACAGCCAAGACAGGCGCGTCCATCCAGCCCTGAATCCGGCCATCTCTCCAATCTGTGATGACCGTTGTAGCAGCACTGGCTAGGTTAGGTACGCCGCCTTTACCGAGTCTGCCGCGTTTCCGCGCGACTTGGACGAGGAAGTCGGTTGTGGCGTCACCGTTGGTCGTGATTAGAGGAGGGAGACCATATACAGCGAGGAGTTTGCTTAGCATATCCTCCGATGCCGAAAGGCGTTTCAGCAGCAGGGTAACGGCTGGGACGGGATCCTCGATCATCTTGGGCGGGATGGCATTGAGTAGTACAAGACGGGCTTGTTCTTCGACTTTCGAGGCCTTGGAAGACGAGGTTTCCGAAGAAGGGAATACGATACCGGGGGAGTCGAGGAGCTTGAGCTTGGAGTCGATTTTTACTTCTCGTAGACTGGTCGTTACGCCTGCTTCGGCACCCACGGGACAGGAGTCTTGGCCTCGTCCGCCGAGACCGGCTTTTAGGGAGTTGATGACGGAACTTTTTCCTACGTTGGGGTAACCGATGACACCGACTGAGACGGCACGCTTGAGCTGTTTGGCAGCTGCAAATGATTTTAGTGCTTTGAAGAGTGTAGCGGATGTGCTTTGCACGGTGAGTTTGCGGTGGTTGAACGTATGTGCGTTAGGCGCTGGTCCTGATGCGCGGAGAGGGAGTGTAGGGAAGTATCGGCGAAGATGGATGAGCCATTTCTTCAGAACCAGTGCAGGGACAAGATCGATTTTGTTCAGGATGAGAATCAGACGCTTCCCACCTGACGCAGCTGCCATGACTTGGCGTTCCACATCTTTGGAGCGTGTTCCTTCTGGGTCTCGCGCATCGAGGACGTAGAGGATGACATCTGCTTGGTCGATGACTTGTTTGAAGACTTTGTCGAAGGCTTTGCGGGAGCCGTCTTTGCGTGTCCCAAGGCCTGGTAAGTCAACGTCGGATTCGGAGTCTGAATCATCATCCTCGTCCATCTCGTCGCTATCCTGGAGTTCATTCTCCCATTGCTTCGCACCGGCTCGCGCGCTGGCTAAGAGTGCAGCCATGGGGTTTGCGTCCTCGTCTACATCATCCATCTCGTCGTCGTCCATGGCCATAATATCCGCCTCATCTACGCCTTCCATTCGCGCCTCTACTTCTCGCTCAACCTGCTCTCCGGTCTTGGTGGCTTTTGCATCTGCTCTGCGCTTTGCAGCTTCCTCGACTTTGCGACGGCGCGATTCTTCGATCTCGGCGAGGATTTTGTCTTTGTAGGGGAAGAGGTTGGGGATTCCGGGGTCCTTCTTTAGTTTTGATCGCCATTCTGGATTCTGTGGAGAGCAGATTAGTATTGGATACTTAAATACGAGGGATTGCTTGTGGGTACGGACTTGCTTTGCTTCCTTGCGAGATTTCCTTTGCTTCTGCGCTGAAGCTTTCTCGATCTTATGGCGCAGGCGCACAGTCTTCCTCTTGCTGGTAGGCTCTGGGTGACAAACAATTAGCATATAAACAGACGATTTTCTCAGAATGAACTTACTTCCTGGTTTGTTTCCTGCCATTGTAAGTTGTGTTGTGGGGTTAGAAAACGGTGGCCGTCTTAGAGGGGACTTTGTGAAGTTCTTTGAATTTTTATTTTCTTATCATTATCAGTGGGGCTACACGTGATCTACGCGTCCAATTTAGGAATCTCCGATAATCCGCTTGGCCCCTTTCAAAAATTAGACCCCTCCCTACTCCAAGTGAGAGTGACGGATAGGCTGTCCCAGTTATTCAAACACACTTCTTCAAAGTCATCTGCTCGATTTTATATATTATCTTACCTCAACCAACCACCAGAAAGGAAGAGGATAAAACCAAGTATCATTACTCGGAATTTCATCCGTCTGGTTATAGCCCAAAAGGGAATTTTGTTGCACTTCGCACTCATCGAGGAGCGCGTCTCGAAATTTCGACTTGTTGTCACTCTCGCTTGCTCACCACCCCACCTCTCACCCACCCCTCGACCGTTTTCGACAAATCAACTTGTATCTTAAAGCCCATATACTTCCCAATAATTAACGCAAAGTGAAAATCCTGCCATCTACTCAGAATGGGGTCAAGTTCGGCATCTTTCTCCCTGCCTCCCCAAAGAGCCACCTTCAAAGGCTTACTCTTCGATATGGATGGTGGGACGCCCGACGGACTCACCAACTTCAATCCACATCATTAACATTTGATCTCAGGAACCATAATAGACTCAACAGCAGCAGTTGAGAAACACTGGCATACAATTGGTAGCGAATTAGGCGTAGACCCCAAAGTAATCCTGCAGACATCCCACGGCCGTCGCAGCATCGACGTGCTCAAACTCCTAAGTCCGGAAAAGGCGAATTGGGAATGTAAGTCGCCCACCTATCTATTCTTTCTTGTATGTCATTTACTGCATCAGCTTCTCCGAAGGAGGAGTGCAGAATATTGTAGTTATTTTCGTATTCAGCCCCCTGCCAATATTGCAACTTCAGCCGCGATTTGGGGGCAGAACTGAGTTGTGTTGGGGGCTAAGCTAATGTATTATACACAGATATCAAGCACATGGAAGGCTTGTTGCCGAAACTGCATGGCGGTGATGCAGTTGAGATTCCTGGGGCTAGGGTGCTGCTGGATGCGCTGGGGAAGGTCAGTGCCCCCTGGGCGATCGTCACGTCGGGTACTACCCCTCTCGTAACGGGATGGCTTGGTGTGCTTAAGCTGCCGCTCCCAGAACACCTGATTGTCGCGGAGGATGTGGAGAACGGGAAGCCGGATCCAGCCTGTTATGTGATGGGTAGGGAGAAGTTGGGGCTAGGGGCTGCTGATGAGGTGTTGGTACTGGAGGATAGCCCTGCTGGGATCAAAGCGGGAAAGGCCGCTGGGTGCAAGGTATTGGGTGTCGTTACTTCACACACCGTTCAGCAAGTGGTGGACGCAGGACCTGATTGGATTGTGAAGGACTTGAGCAGTGTTAAGCTGGTGGGGACGTCTGATGGTGGGGTCGAGCTGGAGATCTTGGATGCGTTGGATCTGAAGTGATGATTGGATTGGCGATGAGCTAGATTTAAGCATGGACTGACACCTGCAGATTTGAGGCATTAGAGAAACATCTACATGGGCTAGAAATAGAATGCGTGGCGTTCGAGTACAGACCTGAAAAGTGGTCCAAGGGTCATCTCATCGTCTGATGTTTGCACAAGAGACCGCCATCGCCATCGCCATCGCCAAGTGATGTACAGATGTCAGGTAAGTGAGTGGTGGATGATTCTTACCTGCGTAGGCACAGTACCATTGCAGATGATGCAGTGGAAGTGTTATTTTTCAAAAGAAAATCTGCATGCCACCTTCCTTTGCCAACATGCCATTCCTGAGTTATCCTCGGGGAGTGGTTTGGCTCCCTTTGATAACAGAATAGGGGTTATACCCATGTTATTGACATCCTTGATCGCTCAGATTTCTTCAACTCTTGACTGGTGGGAGAAAGGGGGTACATCACATGATTCGGTATCTCGTATCTGAAGTTTTGCATTCTTTAGGCAGACTTGCTGCTTAGGAAGGACGTTTGTACCGCTCCATGCTATTGCAAAGAAGCCCAGGCGCACAACCAGTGAAGTAAGATCAAGAGATAGCATCCGTTTCATGACGAAAAGTACTCTCCATCTTTGACTATGCATCACCTCGCGTATGTTATATATTTTCTCTCTTCACAATGCACGCAAATGGGCTTTTCGAAGGTCCATATGATAGGTTAGAGATTGGAATGTCCGTCCCTCCTGTAATTATACTAAGGCCGAGAGTATAAAGTGGATAGAATGGTAGGAAGAAACAATCAACAAAAGAGAGTAATATCATTATATTACTTGTAACCACCAGCTGTACTTCCTAACTTTAAAAGACTAAAATGGAATTGGTGTGCGTAAGGTATAGATAAGCCATCAAGGTTCTATGCATTCCCTGTTCTTTAGATGAACCCAAGTCAAGCACCAAATTTGAAAGAAGGTAAGCAAGCACAATAAAGGGAATTATCAAAACACACTGACACATTAAACAACCAAACAGATAAGTTTTCTACATTCAACCGTGATAAAAAAGCGCTATAGTACCCGTACGCTCCGCCCCCACATCCACATCCAATCTAAGGATCGGAGTCAGAGTAGATCAAAGCAAGGAGATATGCACTATGCTTATAAAAACTAGTTACCAACGCCTATTTCGCCATTCCGTTCCCATATTACCCCACAAATAAAGAAACTCGATAAATACTACCCCGTACTATGCAAATATCATCAAGCATATATATATATCCCGCCAGAAGGAAAAATCTCTGCTCTGATGAACGACACTATAATGGTATATTGCATATTTTCTCGTAATCACTTGAAGAAAAGGCGGAGTTTGCCGGGGTTATGAAGTAAAGACATGCACTTACTCTGCTAGGTAGATGAAATAAAAATGGAGATAAAGACCGTAAAGTGAAGAGTTACATGAAGGGCAGTCTGTATTTACTTACTCCGTACTTGTATATATAACACGGTGCATTCTAATACCTAGCAGAGCAGAATCGAGGTCTTAAATTTGAATGCTTTGTTTAGAAGGCGAAGCTTACGGAGGAGAAGTTCATACTTGATTGCTTGCTTCTCAGGTTCTGGAAGGAGCCAGATATACAAGCTTGTTTGCTAATCTAATCCAATACAGTCCTAATTCTGGACCGGTAGAAGCATGTTTCGTATATTTAACATTACAAGCGAGCAATCAACCAAATGGGTTCGTTGGCAAGACAAAGTGAAAGAGAGGTCCTGAAGAAAAAGGGGGTAACGGACATCGACATGGCACTTACTCCATACTCCACACTCGTGCGCCATTCAGCAAAATACACCAGGTATAAGTATTAAGTATGCATGGGTGAATTAAACAGCAGAAATAAAAACAACCAAGACAGGTATATTAAAAGTGCGCAACCAAACCAGCAAGCATAGTATCAACACCCAAATCAAACAGACCTGAACTAAACCAAGTTAAAATACGAATATACCTGGTGCTTTATCAAATAAATCCAAGATATCTTTAAAAACATGCAAGTGCGTGAAAAAGTACAGCTTCACAGTAACAAGGAAATCATCAACAATACCCCTCGCGTCAATGCAAGCAAGTATTGTGAGAATCAGCGAGGAAAGGACTTTAACACGGTAACACCCTCAGATCAGAATGCGATAGGATACACATCATCCCTCTCCCTCTTCCTCGCACATGCATAGGAAACAAATACCAATCTCATCGGAAGATAATTGGAAAGAGGTTTGCGTAGATCGAGCATTCATGTTATAGACTTGACGCTGATGGTAGACTGTTAAGGGGTATGTGATTTTTTTTACAAGTAAGTTGCAATTGTTTATGCATAGATTAATATAGAAGTATGGAAGTAGGAGGAGTAGGGTATGTTGATGTGGTGGATTAGGTATGTAGATTTTGGACGTATGGTGGGTGGGTGGATGATCGTTTGGGAGGATTGGTTAAGATGTATGTGTGTATGTATGTGTGTATGTATGTGTATGTGTGTATGTGCAAGGAGAAGATTTAGGCTTTTGATCGAATTATCTTAAGGGGGGTTTTTAGGGAAGGCAGCTATTTTTATTTCTACAGAAGCAGAAGCAGAAGCAGAAGCAGATTATTTACGTCATAAAGAATGAAAGATTCAAGAATTAGGATTCATGCTATAACAACCGCTCTTACATCTATCTGATTCTGCAACAACAACGAATGAAGATATGCCAAAGGGCCTCCCACCATCCCTGAATCTCGCTTGTGCATAACAACAACAACAATCATCTGACGGTCACGCTTCTCACACGAATATAACTTAATTTAGGGGTATGTACCTAAGGTACCCGCCTTGGGTAGACAGAAAAGCATTTTCCCGCCCAAGATGACTAAGCCTACCCTACGACTAAAGCAGAAAGTCGCCGACCTATGTAACGACTACAAGTACAGTGCAACACGAGAAGGCAACGCTTGGAGCCGGTTGTGGAACCTCGGCACCAATGCACCGGTATGGACGTGCAGCAAGCAGAGAGAGAGAGCGTCGCAATTTCATTATGTACGGGGTACGGAGTAAGGGAAAGTGCTAGTTATGCATGTCTCGCCATGCTTGTGACAGAACCAAGGGATTGGATGACAGTATTACTGAAAGCTGCGTTTCTCGAATCAATGGGATGGAATGGATGGATGGATGGATGGATGGATGGAAGTAATTTAGGAATCGAGCACGCCCAGACGTAGCTGAGGTCGCCGACCCCTGTAACAAACGCACGTAGTACGTTGGAACGCGACGATTGAACGCTTGCTTGGGACCTCGGGACCAGAGTGCTGGTAGGTATGTTGCAGCTTGCAATTTGGTGGTGATGGGGTTTGGAAGGCAGGCAAGCCGTCTGTGGGACTCCGGGACCAGAGCACCGGTACATGTCGTGATAGTTGAGGGTGATGGGGAAGGTCGCTTGACGTGAGGAAGGAGAGGAGGATGAGAAAAGAATGCAGGAATAAGAGAATGATCTCCTGTGTGATAATTTCCAAAGGCGAGCTGAACGGTCCGGAGAGGAGAAGAGATGAAATTGGTGTAGGACGAGATGAATCCCGTTGCCTGCAGTGCAGCTGTGGTACTCCGAGACCAGAGTGCCGGTACGCTATCGGTCTACTCTAGGGAAGACGTGTATTTGTCATTCTCACACCATCACAATGTGACAGACTGCTTTTGACATGAAAGTACAACCGATAATCAAACGTTGGGATCATGTGGTCATACATGCCTCGGGAGCAATGCAGAAGGGCCGAGTCGCTTGGTTTGTTCTCTGGCAAGAGCCCGCCCTCACAATACTGTACTGTACACGATTTTCCGTTGAATCGGCAACGGTCGAATCCATACCCGTGTTAGGCAAGGAGATCACTGTATCGCCATCCCTTCATGTCGCGCAGAAAAGGGGCCTGTGCAACGCAGGGGTAAAGTAGGAAGCTGAAATATCGTCATCGATGCTGTGAAGGAAAGACATTCTCCTCTTTGATTCCACGATCGAAGAAAGGCGCCGATGCCTCTAGATACGAGCTCACTTGGATATTTATTCTCCATCGGACTTTCTGCCAGTCTACTCGTACAGTACTAATGCCTATCGCGCTTGCGGGCGAATGCTACCGGTAGTAAGGTAGTTTGTGTAACAAAAACATGGTGTAATGTGAAAAATGGAAAGGGGCTGGCTGGAGAAGCAACGCTGTGAAGTATCTTGCGACTAAGAAGAGTTTACGAGTACGAGAAATTCGGATGAAGATACAATATGTCCCGTACATGTGGATGATGGGTCGCCATTCCCTTGGTAGCTTTAGGCCAACAATAAGGCGAAATTGTGAGTTGTAACTAACCATCGGGAACCAATAAAGCCGTTTGTTGGCGCCCGGAAAGCTGCCATAGATGATGGCTTGTCCTTGTGTGCGACGGGGGCGCGAGCCCGAGTCTCTGGTTATGGGGAACCTCGGGGATGTAGTGTTGCGATGCGGGAAGCCGTGATAACTGACTGGCATGAGAGCTCTCAATATATCGAGTACCCCTGATGAAGGGATGGGATGTTGGGAGCCGATGCAAGGGGCATGATGATGATGTGGTTGTGTTCCCATTAATTACGTGTTATGGGTACGTGGAGCCGAGTCGTGAGTAAAAAACTTTATGAAAGAATCCGTTGGACATCCGATTAAAGTTGCAAATGCAAACTCGAATTATTTTTGGTAAAGAGGAATAAACAAAAGACACAAGGGAGTTTAGAAGTAATATATCGCAGCTATTTTTGGTCCTCAGCTGGATATTCCTTCCTCCACGACTAGATGGCATGGCTCTATAGCGACGCCACCCACCACTTTGATACTGTAAACAATGCGGCTCTCAAACCCAAACTTGACTAGTCACCTGAACTCCTCAAAAACCGTACTCGCATGATCTCTCGCGGCAATCTGGGTCTAAATATGGAAACTGGCTTTCAAAGCGGGATGAGGGTCAGACATCT